ATAAACCAGATTTTTACCAACAAATTTAAAAAATATTGTTATAACTGCATAGACAACCCTACAAACCTGTACCTATTTATACTTAGGTCGTTTCCATTTCACGTATTCTCATCCCAATTGACCCCTTTTTCGTTGTTATTTGTACCTAAGACGTCCCCAATATCCCCAAAAACAACAGATTTTTACATGTATTTTTATTTAATCAAATACATTAAAACCAATAACAACTGAGACTTACCTTTAATATATATGCTGGTTCAAACACTAAATAACGTTTATAAATCATAGTCGTCTTCTATTATTATCAAATAAATAAAAGAGAGCAAAGTTTCTAGCACTAAAATAATTACCACCACAGGAAGTTAATTTGAAACGCGATTTTTTATAAGTTAGCAGCTATTATTATGCATATTCAGAGTTGTTTTGTGAACTTTCAACATTCTACTATTAAACTACAAAAAATGGAAGATTTTGCAACGAATTTATAACTTATATTGAGCGTCGAAAGATTTTCCCGGTTTTTTCCCGATTCGCCTGTCAATCCCTAATCGCCCCATTTTACCGGTACATTTTTTTTCTCCTACCTACGCCGAAAGTTCGGTTTTCGTCCCGCTGTACAGGGAAGAAAGTCTAACTTTTCCTCCCTGGGTACTGACAAGTGCGCATGCGCGTTAGTGTCTAAGTCTGCTCTCACGCACCTAAAATTCTCCGCCATTGTTGTGATCGGGAAATTTGCAATATTGTGTTTAGTGTAAAAGTGAATTAAACAAAAGGCAATAAAATTTAATAGTGAATGAGTATTAAACAAAGATGAGTTCATCAGACAGTTCTTATTCAATTAATACTAGTTTATTTAAAAATTAAAAAAAAGTTAAATTGTTTTTTATGAGTTGGGGGCTCTGTCCCCCGAAACCCCCTTGGACCCCGGCTCTATCACTCCATGGGTGAAACTCCAATACCCTTGTCCAATTCGAGTTCACCTATTTGCCCTAATGATTTTTTATTATTTATTGCTTAGATGGCTGGACGAGCTCACAGCCCACCTGGTGTTAAGTGGTTACTGGAGCCCATAGACATCTACAACGTAAATGCGCCACCCACCTTGAGATATAAGTTCTAAGGTCTCAAGTATAGTTACAACGGCTGCCCCACCCTTCAAGCCGCAACGCATTACTGCTTCACGGCAGAAATAGGCAGGGTGGCGGTACCTACCCGCGCGGACTCACAAAAGGTCCTACCACCAGTAATTAGGCAAATTATAATTTTGCGGGTTTTTTTTTTATTACACGATGTTATTCCTTCACCGTGGAAGTCAATCGTAATCGTTTGTTGAGTACGTATTTCATTAGAAGAATTGGTACCCGCCTGAGATTCGAACACCGGTGCATCGCTCAACAACGACAACGATCCCACCCTCCAAAAAAACCAGAGCCTACAATGACGACTAAAATAAGTGTCCCAATATAATTATATGTTCATCTTCACGTGTAAATTTTCTTCCTTCCTTCATAATTCCACATTCTGTCCTCAAACATTGCTTCATTTGGCAAAAAAACCCACATGATCACAAATTAGGGTTCCTTGTAGCCATAACAACCAGTCTTATTAATATATTTTTTTACACTTACATCTTATATTTTTTGTATATGTATTTATATTTGGAGAGGAAGGGTTTGGTGGCTTGAATTGTTGAGAAAGTATATTGTATAAGTAAATATATCACCTATCATTTCCATTTTCATTCCTAGTCGGGCTTTCCTGCCGTCTGCTCTGACCAAAAGCTCTCAATCGAGTAAGCAGTGAGAACTCTGTAAGACCCCTCTTCCAAATGGGTTTAGGTTGAATTTGATCCGATTTATCTGTAACTAGTTATTATATGGCTTACTTTATTTGTAAATGCCTACTTTGATTAGCTATCTGTCAATAAATTATATAGTTTTTGCCATGCATTTATTAGTTTATTATATATGTTTGTAATTTATAATTAATGCATGTAATATATACTGTATTTTAATGTAATGTAATGTAATTTATACTTATAATATGGTATATGCACATCACACTGGCTGGAAGCTTACTCACTAATCTACTTAATAAAAAACGTTTTCATTTTCTTTGTTCAAGTAATTTTTGACAACTTATGTTATCATAACAAAAAAAAAATATACTGCATAAAATGATTTTAAGCTTTGAAGTGACAGAGATAATGCTCAAGTCATATTCATTTGATGGACATTACTTTTTATATCACTACAGACAATAATAAGTACTCACTTACCAGTCTGTGCATCTCTTTTAGGACTAGTTGCCTGCACCCTTCTCACCACGACTCTTCTAGGTGAATTCTCATATGCATTCTGACTGTGACTCCTGACTACATGAGCATCCGAAACGTTTCTATTCACTTCACTACTTGTTAGACTAACGAGTTCAGGGGTCACATGTGCTGCACTTATATTAACTTGAGCATGACTAACAGAAGGTGTAGATGTAATTTGGGCAATGCTCACTGTTGCAGTCACTTGAGCAGTACCAACAGAATGAGTAGTTGTTGTTACACTTGTCGAACTTGAATTCTCAATAGTTATCTCTTCGTCAATAGAATTAACTCTCATTTGAACATTATTATTGTCTCTGGAACTTCTAGCTCTGGTATTGACGCCGTTAGTACTGACTACATTCACAGTGTTACTCTCGGAAGCGCTGCCGGGAAACAGAAACTCATAATCCGATTCTTTGACTAGATTAGGTAAGGAGGACTTCCTGTTTTTGTCTAGACTCTTCAAAACTTCCACCTTCGACGTCGACGCGTTACATAGCCTCTCGTAGGCATCATTCTGATTGACAGCTGTCAGACTGACAGATGTCATCGTGCTCACGTGACCGTAGTCGTTGAAAACCGTGCCATAATCATTCGTATTCTGTACATTGACTTCTGTATTAACAATATTGACGAAGTTTGGAGTTTTTCGGTTCACATCAAAGTCGAAAACATCTTCAGTTGAAACTATGGGTATAGCTGTATGAGGTGCTTCTCTGTTTGACACTTGTATAACTGTTATATTGGACGGACAGTCTCTGAAACAAAGTATTAATAAAATACATTTTAATGTACTATAAACTAGTTAATAACCATGCAATTTGTCAAACAATATGGTCTGGACAGTTTAGTGATCAATCTATAAGTGTTAATAAAATTGAAATACTCAAGGAAACAAATTAATTTGTAGAATAGCTCACATTGATTATTCCAACCATGCCAGCAACTATCTAAATTCATACAGCAATGTAAGCTTAGTTATGAATTCTGGTCTGGTCGTCTAACCATTATTTAGTTTAAAATAGAAAATATGTACAGTTTTCGGAACTTCAGATTAGGTTATTTTCATAGTACCAATCTAGGACAGGTCGCATGTTGAGTAGTTTCAACAAACAGATGTTTTTCATAGAATTGTATAGTGGTTTATGGCAATTTCACTTGTTAAAAATAACTAGATGATGACCGAGCTTTGCTCGTTTTTTTTTGATAACGCCATCTTGGTTAGTTGCCCTCAATTAAGAAAATTAGTATTATTATTCGCCAATAGATGTCAGGAAGAGTTGATTATTGAAAACACGAATAAAACAAATTTTCTGAAAATAAATCGTAGTTAGATCGATTTATCGCCCCCGAAATCGCCTGTATACTAAATTTTATGAAAATCGTTGGAGCCGTTTCCGAGATTCAGATTATATATATATTAATATGCAAGAATTGCTTGTTTAAAGGTATTAAGATACAGAATAATTACATTCGTGGTTGATCCACAGCAGCAGAGTCTTCGGGAACTAATACTGTCTGTCTATATTCTTCAGTTTCGCCCAACTCTTCCTCAAAGTCACCACCCGAGCCCGATCCGATTCTTTCCAACAATGACCCATCCAGACATATATTTTGGCCACATATCTTGGCAATACCTTCACTACGCTGGCTTGTGCTGGGAATTGCAAATGGTTCTGGGTTTTGAGGTTCTGGTTGACTGGGCTCACTGAGTTGGGTGACTTGTTCAGGTTGAGCAGGTGATTCAGTGCTTACAGGAGCTGTGTGTACTGTTGGTATAATTTCGATACCTGGTACCCTGAAAACAGTTGAAGATTTTGTTGTTTTAAAACTTATTTGTCATTGTCAGATAAATTCTTATCACATAGATCAACTATTTTATTACATAATTACATGATTACTGATGACATACATGATTACATAATAATTATTAGCAGCTATCCGCTGCTTCATCCCTGAAGCCACTAAAAAAATGCCAATATAGTTTCCTGTGGGAATGAGATATTTTTTCAGGACAAAAAGGTAGCCTATATCACTCTCCCAATTAGTTTTACTATAACTTTAAAAAATGGCGTCTATCCTTCATATTGTTTCGAAGTGAAAGTAAGGCATACAAAGACACTTTCACTTTTATAATATTAAAAGTAAGGAGAGCAGGGAAGTGTGGTTTAAATAGTAACTTTTCAAATGTAAGACTGATTTCATTATTGTTATATTTAATTAATTAAAAAACTAATCAACATCAGGGTCATTCAACAACTATCATCAAGCAGTTTATGGACTCTTTTTCATGTATCTACAGGGATATACAAAGATGCGACTCACCTGTCAGGAGGAACTGGCGGTGTGGGTGGCAATGGTGATGTTGGATCTCGGTTCGGGGCCCGAGGTTGTGGCGTCACAGGCGGAGCACAGTACACATTCTCCCCTTTGCTCATAATCTTCAGTTCTGACAGTTTATTACGAAGTGTCGTGACCCAGTCTTGCATTGTTTCCCTGTAATATTGAGGAAAAGCTATAAGTGTAATTTAAGCAAGTATATTATGTGTTGTCAGAACAAGCACAGAATCTGCACAGGTAGGTACCACCACCCTGCCCATTGCTGCTGTGAAGCAGTAATGTGTTTCGGTTTGAAGGGTGGGGCAGCCGTTGTTATTATACTGAGATCTTAGAACTCATATCTCAAGGTGTGTGCCGACATTTACGTTATAGATGTATATAGGGAGCTTGTCCACCCATTAATGCATCAAATTAAATAAAAAAGCTTCAAAACTTTACTTCAAAATTTAAGTTTTGGCATTGACGAAAAGATTAATTTAATTTTATTGCTATTAGTAACTGTCAACATATACAGAAGTATATTAATCTTCTTAATAAATTGAAAGTAGTATCACAAAAGTATCAAAAAATGTACACACCAATCTGGGGCAAGCATTCTGACTGGACCTTTTTCTGTGTCCACAAGAAAATCATATTCATTCCCCTGTCTTGGTCTAACGCTGCCAGTTACATGTCGGGCTGTCAATAGACTGGCTCGCCAAGTTGGTCGGTGTGTAAGTGCTGTAGGATGATCAGCTTCCGGGTATTGCTCTAAGTACGGAGTACGACCATTGTGTATGCATAGTTGTGTCCACATTGATTTTAGTGGGGGTTTCTGAAATATTAAGCTTTTATTATTACTAGACGTCCCGCAGTAGTCGAAATTCGACTATAATTAATCGGAATTGTAAGTTTGTACACTATTATGATTGTATTTTATACTTCTATAGATCACGAATTTCGCCAAGACTGCACTCTAAAATATATTAATAAAAACTAATAATATTTAATTAATTCTCAATTTGACAACAGACGTCAAGAACAAAAGTTTGACAATAAATAGTATGCATGCGTGTGTGCGCCAAAAACATGGTATGTAGTGTGTGTAATGTTTTCTTTATTGATTTAATGTACCTTTTATGCATTATTTAAAAAAAAAATTAGCATTGTGCACTTCTCTATACTCTCTATAAGTGTGGAAAATTTCATACTCCTCCATCCGCGCAATTTTCGTAAAAAGGGATGTAAAGTTTTTGCTTCACATATTAATATATAGATTTGTCTAAGCAGATCACTAAATCTAAACTGCTACTAAGACATTTGCCTATATAAGAGTCAAGTTCGGTGCTTAGTGCAAGTTTTTTAACATTCTCGATAGTGTAAAAGTTAACTCAATATTTTATGCAGTTGAAACAGCGCCCCTAGCAATAAACATAGGAAAATGTTCCAACTCCATACAAAATTGAGTTAACTTTTACACTACCTATTGAGAATGTTAAGAAACCGCACTAAACAGCTAGTGACATAAACAAGCATCTTAGAAAGATGCTGCATACATGCAATATTCTGAATTATAAAAACAATGGGATGACATCACTCATTGCATCTAGTGATTTATATAAATTTAAATAACTTAATTGAATAAATTTACTATTACATAAAACAATCAGAATATAATGGTGACTTCTAATGGCAAATTGTATTTCATATGTAATCTTCTATATTTCATATCTAATCATAATCTAATAATTATATTCAGCATTTTATACTAAACTACAATGCATACCTTGTGACCCAATGCTATTAATTTACTGCTCGGCAATTCATTGGGTATTCTCTTTAAATACGTATTCTTCTGTATCTCCCGGTAATAGACTGGGCCGTCCTCTCGTTCTGTAGACATCCTGATATGTCATTCGGATAGCTAAAACAATTACATTGTATAATATAAGCGGATTCCACTTATCTGAGGTATTTGTGAATCTATGTGAAGTTATGCAGGTCTTCAGTACATTTCAGTGATCAACATTAATCAGTAGAGAAAGTTCTCGAATAATAATATTACGAGAAACAAATTAAAAGATCAATGAGTCACAACATTAGAGCCACATTAGAATTCATCAAACAGACTAGCATAAATTTCTCAGAAGTCATATCAAGAATCGCACGACAATCGTCCTGTGAATTAAATTATGTCGTGCTTCGCTTGGGAATGTGACTCAATGTTAAAATATTTCGTCGATTCTTTAAGCACATAGAACTCCGATGTTTTCATCATTTGGAATCCAAATTGTCAGTTGTATAATCACAGACTCGATCGAACTAATTTTAATCAAACCGTTTAGTGCCCAGAAGTGTTGCGACCAAATATATTAAGTGTATAATCTATGGTTGCGACTATAAAATATTACATGAGCAAGTTTAATTACAATTTATGTAAATCGAAAACACTTACTGACTGTTGGTGCAATCTTTTTCAACTCGTTCGACAGTTAGGTGCGTTCCTTAATTGTAACAAGCATTATGCGCACAGGAAACGACTTTTGTAACATTCACTGGTTATTACGAAATGTAGAGCCCCGGTTAATTTGTAATTGCAAATGTATGCAAAATAAATAACGAATGCAACTAAACAGCCAACACAAAACTACGCCATGTTTGTTTTTGTCGAAGACATTTTTTTGATCTGTCATAATTAATAGTAGATACTACCTACTTTGTCTGTGGATTCTGTGAAACCATAATATGATCATAGAGTGCCCTGACCTCAAATATCGACAGTAATAAAATCGTATAAATTTCGAATCAAGGCAGGAATACGAGATAACTTTTTGTATAAAAGGAATTTTTTTCTTAATTTTTTTTTATTGCTTAGATGGGTGGACGAGCTCTCGGCCCACCTGGTGTTAAGTGGTTACGTACTGGACTCTATAGACATCTACAACGTAAATGTCGCCGCTACTCGCCACCCACCTTGACACTTAGCTATAACCTCTAACAGTACATGTTGTTCAATCAATGTCACTTTAGCCTAATGGGTAATAACGGTGGCGATTTTAAAAGTGCAAGCGTGTGGGAAGATGAAATAATCATTGGCCGTGCCTTCTTAGGTTCTTTCAGAATTCCCAGTTTATTATTATCTGCATTTTTTTCTTTTAATCAAAATTTTACACTGATAAACAGAAATACAATTTCTAAAAAATCATCATATCCATAATAAAACTTTATGATTTCATAACTCCACACTGGCAGTAATACTAACGGAAAAAGCTTGCGGCATTGAAAAACAAGAGAAAAACTGTCGAGTCTTGTTAAAATTAAGTGACCTATCATTTTGCATTGTAATATGTTATTTTTAACCATACTTTTCCACCCTCATAAGCACCAACTCTGTGTAAATAAATAATAATTTTAAATATAAAAATAACTAAAGTAGGATTGGTACACTTTGATTTAGCATGTGACGTCTCAAATAGTATGTAGGATGATGGTAGGATGTAACGCATAACAATGACTTTTCCATGAAAGTCTCGAAGTACTCAGAAAAACGTACTCTGTGGTTAGACCCTATCTAGTCTATATTCTGTTATCTCTAGTTTATGGTAATTCTTGACGTTCAGTGCGACCGTGTATTATCATAGTAAACAAAAGAAGAATTGCATTAAAGGTAAGTGAAAGAACCTTTTGAATTATTCGCAATAGGGAAACTATGTTGATATCTTGTTTAATCAACATTAACTATATATTACAAAGAAAAATAAACCAAAACTTCATGACCAGCAAAGTCAGTTGACATCGTCTAACTTTTTTATTTTAGTTTCACAAAATACCGTCGCGGCGTTGTAGTCGACACATATTTTGGTCACGTGATCATTTCAACCGCCAAAATAATTTGTCATTTTTCACCGATCTTCAGCGAGAATTAAACAGTGTCTGGACTTTTTGAGATCAAAAACATTATTAAAAGTGAAACGTGTGTGTGGTTATAGTTAAAAAAAGAATTCAAGAAAACCGAAACATGGCCAAAGTTCATATAACCAATGTAGTTGTATTAGACAATCCAAGCCCATTTCTCAATCCGTTTCAATTCGAGTTAACCTTTGAATGCATCGAAGAACTCAAAGAAGATTTGGAATGGAAGATGATTTACGTTGGTTCTGCGGAAACTGAAGAGCACGATCAAGTTTTAGACACAATTTACGTTGGACCCATCCCAGAGGGACGACACATGTTCGTATTTCAAGCGCCACCACCGGACGTCACAAAAATACCGGAGAATGACGCTCTCGGAGTTACTGTCGTATTATTAACGTGTTCGTATCGGGGACAGGAGTTCGTGAGAGTAGGCTATTTCATAAATAATGACTACAGTGAAAGCGAACCTGAATTACGAGAGAATACACCAGCTAAGCCTCAGTTTGATAAAGTAGTGCGTAATATATTAGCTTCAGCGCCCCGTGTGACGCGGTTTAAGATAAACTGGGCAGAGCCTGATGCTGGTACGGCCATCGACGCTGGTGACAGCAATCTAGAAATTTCTCATGCGCCCAGCAACGACTCTTACAGTGCAAGTTTTAATGCTGAGAGTCAGATAAGTGGAATAGAGTTTCAAGGTAGTTTAAGCGGCTATGGAGACAATTCTAACTCAATAGCGCCAATGGAATGCTGAGGTGAGTGAATATTTTTTATGACAATTTTCTATATTGCTGAAACTGCTATTTTGCCTTTTATGTCAATGCTAATTTGAAGGAATAACTTTTTGCTTATTATTCATGCATTTGCATGATGTGGCAATGTCACCATATATTTAATTGCAGTGGTTATGGTAACTTAATATAAAGGAAACCGATCTGAACTTTAAGGACAATGCTAAAATAGATATAGACAGACAAACCTTGTGATGAACAAACATTCTTTGGGTTTATATGCATATAAATGTAAATATGTGTACGTTTATCAGTCTCTAGTTTCCATACTATGGAGAATCCTAGTTTATGACAGATGGCTGTTTATTTTTGATTGAAAGATTGATTGAAGAAGGATATTGAGCTTTTATGAATGGCTATAGTTGTTTTCCAGAGCTTATGGGCATCAATGTGATAGCAACTAGCTTTAGTTAGTCCAAGTCTTAATTCTTTATTTGTTTATTTGATACGTGGTAGCAATATAATCTACTGTACTACTATAGCAATATAGCTTACTGGTTCATGCGGAGTTGGAATAGCCCCTCTGGCTAGCAAATTGAATGTTTACCGGAACCCATTGACATGATGATATGAATGTCGACACCTACCTTGAGACCCTGAAAAGGCCCTTGGTAATCATGTCTTTTCAACTGAAGTTACTTCTTAAAGTGTAATAGTAAATAATTAAAAAAATATATATACTGATAGATATTATTTATTTTCAGATTATGTAACCAGATATAATAAGAAAGAAATATCATGGACCGTTTTCAAGGCTTTGTTTGTACATAATAAAAGGATTGTAAATGCATGCACATTATTATGAAATTTAATGTGTGTAATGTTAAAACCACATGATTTTGTGAATGGAGAGAGTATTCTCGTACATTGAGCGTACAATGGTATGATCTTGTTAAATTAAAATCTAGCTTTGACTAGTCGATGCCTTTTAAAATAAATATGAAATTTTACTAAAATTGAACACCATATCACAGTGTATAATTATAATGGTAACAATAATAATGGTGTTTATTAGTATTTCAATGTAAAATAAGCTTTATGGAATGATTAACGTAAGAAAACCTAAAGCAAAATAATACAATGTCTAAACTGTAGTTAGAATAAATGATATGTGAAGTGTCCTTAAAAATATATATAGTACATAAATATTTTGATATATGAGGATGGGATAATAAGTGTTAAATGTTATCCCTTACGTAAACAAAGTCGCACGCAGTGTCGTGATTCCTTAATATATCAAAGATAATTAAATTTGATTAATATATTTCGGATTGTATATTTTGAAAACAATGAACTATATATCTGGATCTTGATAAAATCTATGGTTGTTCCGAAAAGTCTCGCATTAATGATCTATGAAGTTGACTAATATTTATACATAAGTTAGTAAATGGTATACTTTACTTAACGTTTTTTGTGCCGTTTAAATTTGTAATAGACTATTAACACCCTATATAATGCAATGCAGTGGTGTCACAATGCACTGGCCGACACGATCTTTAAGCACGAAGGTCCCTTCAGAAATGTTTCCACTTCTGTTCTTACTTAGACTGTGCCTATCACTTATATTTCTAACATTAAACTAACTACCTAATACACTCTGCCTCTGTAATTATGAAATTGACCAAAATTTGCCCATTTCATTATTATATGATAATTGAGTTTCTTTTAATATTAAAACATATATAACTGCCTAAGTATGTATACAATCTCTCAAGTTAGGGTTGTCAAATAATATAAAAATTTCAGTATTCTACAAATATTTATCTTAATGTAAATTTAAGTTTAGCATAATTGAAATATGAAGTCTATTCTTGATGTATACGCACGGTTCAAAACAAAACAATTCCTATACATCACTGAAAGACTACACACTGCTATGTATTTGTTGTGAAAGTTTTTATTACAAATTTAACTGTTTAAACAAGTTTTCCTGCCATTGATACTTGCTACTATGAGTACCCTCACCAGTGGAGACCACTGGTGAGGGCCCTAAGTACCAGCGGGGTGCCTTAGGACAACAACAACAACAACCCTGGGTGTTCACTCTGGACACTCTCCAATTTTAATAATAAGATTATACGAGTTACTGACTTAATATGTTACAATAGAGAAACAAAGAAGAGAATTAAAAAGAAATAGAATGAATCTTGTGGTTTTAACATTTGTTAAATTAAAGTCATTTCAAATTTCTCGATAACGTAAAAGCAAACGGTTGTATACAATGACTGCTGAAGAATAAATATAAGTTTGGAGTGTTTCTTAAATGTATATCAAGTTTTTATTTCATTTGCCGCAGTGAAGTACTGGCTTAATGTGTCAGCTAGGTTACCATTTGATCATGAGACCTGAAGCCACAGTGTCTCATTTGACTCTCATTAAAGTGAGGAACGTAGTGTTTAATATTGGAAGTTATTTAATTAGGATTATGTTGTGAGGATATTTTTACTAAATGATTACATGAATATAATTTTACCCTTGCAGTTTTTTTTTATTGCTAATATTACTGGAGGCGAAGCATGCAGCCCAGCTGGTGTTAAGTGGTTACTGAAGCCCATAGAAATCAAGAACAATCTACAACGTAAATGTCGTCACCCACATCGAGAAATGAGTTCTAAGGTCTCAGCCCCACCTTTCAATTTGAAACGCATTACTGCTTCACGGCAGAAATAGGCAGGCTAGTGGTACCTGCCTGTGCGGGGTCACATGCCTTACCAGTAGACCGTAGTCTTGATACTATAAGAAAGAGGTTCCAAAGATTTTTAGAACAATATTTGGGAATTGTCGAAAACTGTAGTAGAATTATCTTATTGCTTTAGTATTGCCAGTATGCAAGCTTCCTTAGGCTTAGCAACGTATAACTGTAATTAAGTTTGATAAATTAACTATAAAAACTTAACTATAAAAACTTCACACTAACATAGAGTATTAATGAAATTTGTATGATAACGAAGAAAATTAAGAAAATACATATTTTGTGATAATTGAAAAAATAGTAGAGTCCTAAGTTAGCAAATAAAAAAATATTGTGTAAATAAAATAAAATAAAAAAACTGGTAAGTTACAATATTTGTTTAATTTAGTATATTACCTCGTACTGTTTATTACATTTTTTATTTATTATGTTGCTTGAATGGGTAGACGATCTCACGGCCCACCTGGTATTAAGTGAGTATCGGAGCCCATAGACATATACAGCGTAAATGCCGCTTGTGGGTACAAGGTCTGGTTTTTTTTTTATTGCTTTGATGGACGGACGAGCTCACACCCCACTTGGTGTTAAGTGGTTACTGGAGCCCATAGACATCCGCAACGTAAATGCGCCACCCACCTTGAGATATAAGTTCTAAGGTCTCACGTATAGTTACAACAACTTTACAGTACAACGGCTTAAATAAGCAGGAAGATCTTCATTCATTCATTCATATACAGTGGGCAGGGCCGTATTTGATCTACCCAAAATAAATCTTAAAAAATTTGCCTTGGAAACGGAAGTTTATGAAGTTCATAAATCGTCTTCTCGCATTAAAATTGTATAATCTCAAAACTTACTAATCTTACAGCAGAGTGATTTAAAGGTTTAACATGTGATATTTTTAATATTAATCATCTTAGCAACTTTTTTTTTTATCAGTTACATTAATTATCTGTATTTTAAAGTAAGATAAAATGATGTATTAATTTTGTTAATAGTAGCCAAAATATAGGTAAACTAAAAAAAAAAAACTAAATCTAAACTACGCTCTTTTGACAGTATTTATGAGAAAAATACTGGTGAAAAACTGGAGAAAAATACCAAATGTTTACGCCATATTAACTCAATTTCGAATATTTTTGGAAATTGTACACTTTTAATGCGAAAAGACGAAACGTCATTCGTCAGGGAAGTTTTATTTGTGAAAGAGAATACTCTTTTTACACGTTAGCGTACTGTTAAGGTTACAACCTATATACAATCCCCACACAAAACAATCTCATCTTTTAAAATCTATAGGTAATAATCGATTGTTGATTGGCGGTCTGGCAGGGATCTAAATCTTGCAGGCTCAAGGTGTTTTCCCGGATACTACACAGACAAAAGTTCGCCCAAATTGCCGCCGAGAATACAAATTAAGTAATTCCGCTTTGAAGGTTTGGTCAGCCGTTGTATTATAGAAATGAGACTTACAACTCGTGTTCTCGTCGAACCCGTCACTTGCGATGAAGGGTTCGGTGAGTAAACTAACCCATAGACACAGCCCACTGAGCTTATCGCCGGATCTTCTCAGTGGGTCGCACTTCCGATCCGGTGGTTGATTCTGCGAAGCGGTGCTCTTCCTAGGGCCATTGTTAGCAACGCCTCCTGGTTTGAGCCCTGAAAGCTCACATACACGTTAGGGTTACGCTGACCCATCCTCTCAAGGCTATCAGCATAGGTAGAAAAAAAAACAACTCTTGTCTAGTTATGTTAGTAACAGTAAAATCTTTTGAAATATCCGATTATATTACAGTACCTCCCTAGTATTTTATATTACGTCCATGTCGAATGTGAATAGCGTGTATTTTGCAATTGTTCGATTGTGCTGGCTTCAGTGATGATAACGAAATGCTAGCCGTCGCACTGATCGTCATTTTAACAGTCAAATGGTAAGTTTTTTAACACGCTTTCATTAGCTATATCGAGGACTGAAAGGGGATTTGGTTTAAGAGTCATTTCGCTCAATACGCGACATTTAGGTATCTTTGTAATTAAAGGTGCATATTATTTGGTATTAGCACCAACAGTTCGATGTTTTTAATTGAACTTCAATTAAGTTTATTCCATTTAAAATAGCTGAAGAAGTTTTTTTTTCCACTTAAACTTTAAATGGTTCTTCCTGTAAAATGGCAAAAATGTCGCTTAAACCTTACTTAGCCTTTCACCCCTCGATATGTATTTAGTATATTTAACCTTTGAATGTCATTTGTCAACGACTTTGAAGCTTTGTTTTGTGTTTTCCTACCTATGCTGGTAACGTAAAGGGTTATGGCAGCGTAACCGCGCGAGTTGGTGAGCTCACGGGGCTCTAACCTGACGACGTTGCTAACACTAGCCCTAGCAAGAGCAGTGCTTCGCAGAATCTACCACCGGATCGGAAATGCGACCCACTAAGAAGATCCAGCGAGAAACTCAGTTGGCAGACGATTTTGAAGATGCCCGATGATTAACTCGAAAATTTGTACACGCATCAAGAATCGATGAGGATAATAACATAACTTTATAGCATCGCTCGAATATCCTGACCGGTAGATATCATCAACAGATTTAAAAAAAACCCGATAAAATTAAATGTTAGTTCGATTTGCGGTTCAAGAATGTGTTTTTGTATGTTTTAAATTAAGTATGTTATTTTTTAAATTAAATCTTTTTTTTTTATCTATCTTGACCCCGTCATTGAGGTTAGGGCAAAGTGTAAAATAATAATAATACGAGCACGCCATTTCTTTTTTTATCACAAGAATGGAGATTTGAAAAAAAACAGGAAATTGAGTGTAATAATTAGTGACGTGGCGACACCATCTAAAGCCCACGCTCTTAAATAAATGGACGAAAAATGGATGGAAAAACCTAAAATTCATATTTTTTTCCCTACCTATTCGCTGGTAGGTAGTCTAGGGCGATATTCTAGCTATGTCTGGACGAGTAGGTGAGCTCACGGGAGCAGTACGATATTTTCGTTTATTTTTTAAAAGCATCTGATGAGGCTTTGTCGCAGTATCTACCAGTACGATCTTGCAATACGCCCTACCACCGGTGTGCTTAGCGCGAGTTTATTAACGTTCTCGATAGAGTAAAAGTTAACCCAATTTTGTATGCAGTTGGAACAGCGCCCCTAGCGACAAACGTACGCAAACGATCCCATTCCATACAAATTTGAGCTAACTTTTACGCTATCGAGAACGTTAAAAAACTCGCACTAAGCACACAGTAGCTAAAGTTGTGTCAAAGCGCACTATTCGATTCGAATTATATTATTATATAATTTTTTTTTTGTTTTAGTAGCCTGACAGAAGGCGCTTTGGCCAGTAACAGTTCTATCGACCGAAAAGGTAATTGATTATAATCTATGGATTGTTTTTAAATTTCAAAGGTAGAATTAGTTCGTACGAGGGTTGGATCCCGGCCCGAGTTTTTTTTCTTTTCTTACAACCCTTATGCTATTGAGATTTAGACCTCATGTTGCTATGCAGGTGGCGTTTACGTTGTGAACGCAAAGTGGGACATGAGTTCTTTGACCCGTTAGTCAATTTGAGACACGGGTAACCTTTATTAGAAGTGTTTATGGTTATGACATCTTCTGTGACTATGATCGTGTTTTTTTTTTTCATTCTATCTGTATTTCTGGATCGCGTTTAGATCGCAACCGCGAGATGTCGCTACAGCGCTTGCAAGCGCTCCGAGCGCTAATGTCGAGTCAGCGTCCCGTGTTGGCAGCTTATATTATACCGACCGCCGATGCTCATAATGTAAGTCGTGTAACAATTCGTGTCACGTTCTTTGTCCGCGGTGAACTTTTAAATGAATTAACATATTTGAATGTAAATACGCGAATTGTGTGTATTTTGTTCCAACTTTAGAAATAAGATATTTATAATCGATTATTTTATTTATAATTGTAAAGAAATAAATAAATAAAGGTGCATCTTTGGACGCGTGACAGAAGTGATAACTTGAACTAATCTAAATTGAACTATTTAATATTGAAATTGTTTAACTTGAGACAAAGCTGAAGGATACCTAATGTAAAGAAATTGTAACATAAATTGAAAAAAATTTACAAATAGGATTTACATACGTTGTCAGCAATATGCGAGAGAGAAAGGGAAGTCATATAGACTGGCGCCGTAACGCGTTACGTAACGAAGTCTTTTACCCTCCCATAAGAAGTTATCACTTATGCGATGTTACAGTACGTCCTATCATGACGAAAATTCAGAGCGATAAGGCGATATAACAGTGATCTTCGTATAAAATGTCTACTTGCAGTCGGAGTACATAGATGCAGCGGACGCCAGACGCGAGTGGATATCCGCCTTCACCGGGTCGGCTGGCACTGCAGTTGTGACGTCATCGCAGGCTCTCGTCTGGACCGACGGTAGATACTACACGCAGTTCGAGAGGGAGGTCGACTTGTCAGCGTGGACTTTAATGAAACAGAGTGAGTAGTTTGTCTCGCTCTAGGCTGCTTGTTGAGGACTCGGTGTTAGTGGACATAGGTGAGGGGGCAGTGAAAAATCGCCTTTGTCTCCGCCATGTTCCCTTGAGGCCTCTCGGTGTTATAAGGGTCCTTAGTCCCGCCCCACCAAGGGCGGATCCAGCTTTGGCGCCAGGAGGGGGTCACAGTCGTGGGCAAGTTAAGAACTTATAATTTAATTTTGATAACAATAGATAATAAATAAATCATGATGTTCTTCAATTAGTCCAAGTTAGTTCAAGTCCTGGAACTAGCTCAGGGGGGGAGGGTCATGTCCCCCATGACCCCCCTGGATCCGCCGTTGCGCCCCACTCGTGGAATGCGACGAAGAGTTCGACGTGCAATTTGACCTATATACCTATAAGACACAATACCAGCCAAATTTTATATAGCCCCTTAGGGCTATTGTGAGGGCATATATATTGTTATCCGAAAACTGCGTCTTCTCACAGCACTACCGGACACTCCCACTTTGGAGAAATGGCTGGCCTCGAACCTCAAAGACGGTGACGTAGTCGGCGTGGATCCCCAAACGATGACCAGAGACGAATGGACTCCGATACAGGTATATAAATATTCTAAAACTCTTGGCATGAGACTCGACAGGTCTCAAATGATCTAGCGGAGTGCGGAAATGGGACGACCATCATTCAAACCACATTGTATGATCTATGTGTGACAGGAGGTAGTTCTTAACTGGTTAACTGTGGGACCATTTTTGAGGGACTTTCAGCGTATGAGGTCTTTTCGAGACAATACTGGACTTCTTACAGTGCACATGAGACCTTAAAGGCCTTACAAAAGTCCGTCTTTGAATATAATTCATACTGGTAGACATAGTCGCCTCCAGTACCGAGCGAAACACGCGGTGTTATCTGCCGCACCAGAAGACTTTGATGTTTTTTCAACCACATAACGCAATCTTTGTGTGAACTTTCCACGACTAAAGGGTACCTTACCACCGGTAATTATGCAGTTTTGTATTTTATTAGCACGGTCCTCTTATTGTCTCGGTATGTTTGTTTCTTTGCGTGTCAAGGGAATCTTTGAACGTCGTTATCTTCGACTCCAATACGTCGGATTAGCTTGAAAATTCGCAAGCGCATCAAGGACCGATGATGATGCGACAATAGTTTTGAAAATTTTCGCCCTAATAAACTTCCCGGTATAGAAAGGATACAAGGAAATGTTGTGTAAATTGATTGTTAGTTCGACTATGATATTCAAACGTATCTCTTAGTTTTTGACGTGATAACGTCTTAGAAATCAATGAACACCGACTCTACGCGTGAAGTGTGTCACGTTCCGCCCGAGCCTGAGCGTGCGAGCGAGAGCGCGGAACAAGCGACAGAGAGGCACGATCGGCCCAAGCGTTGGCTTGTGACACGTTTATCTCTCTTCTTGCGTGACGTCAGAGCTAACAGTTCGAATAGTTCCGCTACTGACGTTACCACGTAAAACTATCGTCCGTAAGCCGACTTTACAGACAACCAATATTTTTAAACAGTTCAACATAAACTTTTTATTACACAATTCTATTACTCGGTCGTGGAAATTTTCACTGTACTTACATGTTTTAAGTACACATTTAATTACAAAAATGTGGTAATGATTACTCGTACTTATAAGCCAATAGCTGTACCCGTCCGTTTCGCTGGGCATTTAAAATTAACATTATTGTTTCTCACCCCCATAAAGATTCTCATCATTAACGCCCCCGCAACTTGTGTAGGGAGTCCAACACTCATATAAATATTATCCTATCCATTAAGTATGTGTATTTTCTACATGGATACCAAGTTTCAAGTCAATCGGATGCACGGTTCAGTAGTTATAACGGAACGGATCTGACACGACATCTCCTATCTCTTTCACTCAGTCATACTCCATATCTGTCATTCCATTCCTACATGTATACATTTAAACGTCCATAAAGTATGTTTAATGGTGCTGGTTCCCAAGTCCTAGTTTGTGACCGAGTGACCATATCTAGAATTTTACTATATTCCTTATGGGACGATGCGGAGGGGTACCGTAACCGGAAAAAAACGTCCGTAAAGTAAGATTTGATGTTTGATGCCTCATAACTTTTGACTAGGTGAATCGATTTTGATGATTCTTTTTTTATTAGAAAGCTGACGCTTCCCGTGTGGTCTCATTTCAATTTAGTCCAGTTCTGATAATGGTATTCGTGAGAAAACTATATAAGCCTTAAATTTGCATTAAGTACGTGCGCGACAAATAGATAATTCAATAACTCAATATCACGCCAACCGATTTCGATGATTATTGTTTTTAGTGTATACTAATTTGTTTTGGAATATCTTTTTTTTTATCAATAAAAAATCATAACAAAAATGTATACCCGAATAATTATTTTCTTTATACCTCGAATAGAACTTAAAATTAATATTTTTATAACAAGGAACTTCGTTCCTATCCGGTGTCCCACGACACCACAAATTTTCTAATAAGTTGAGATATTATATGAGATTATATGAGAGAGAGATTATATACGTACGCATTTTGTTATAAAAATAGACTGCCCTAAAGAAAATTAGCGCTCAACTAGTGCCGATTTCGAACAACCTCGTGGATGATGTCAGGATTGAACTTGGGGACCCGGCGCCTAAGAGATCGCACAATGAACTCGCGCCATTACACGTCCGCTACACTGGTAAGCGAATATACAGGATTTATATGGATACCTTAGGTACGAACCCAAGTCGGAGCTTTTAGGTACCTCAAGCACCGGTCATCGTTCTCGTCGAACCCGTCGCTTGCGACGAAGGGCTCGGCGAGTAAATTAACCCACGACACAGCCCACTGAGTTTCTCGCCGGATCTTCTCAGCGGGTCGCATTTCCGATCCGGTGGTAGATTCTGCGAAGCACGGCTCTTACTAAGGTCAGTGTTAGCAACCAGGTTAGAGCCCCGTGAGCTCACCTACTAATTCTGCGAATTTAGTATAACCCCTCGAGGTCACTAGAATAGTTAAAAAAAAGACAAGTAATAAATTTATTAAATCATCGAAGATTACTCCTTTGCTCTTGTAGGCAGATAGGTATGATGCTCACCTGATGGTGTGTAATTACCATAGCTCATGGACGTTAGCAAGGCCAGGGACAGAGCGTTTTTTTAAATTTATTTTTTATTGCATAAATGGGTGGATGAGCCCACCTGGTGTTAAGTGATTCCCGAAGCCCATAGACATCTACAACGTAAATGCCGCCACCCACTCTGAGATATGAGTTCTAAGGTCTTAGTATAGGTACAACGGCAGCTGCCCCACCCTTCAAATCGAAACCCATTACTGCTTCATGGCAGAAATAGGCAGGGTGGTGGTACCTACCCGTGCGGACTCACAAGAGGTCATACCACCAGTAATTACGCAAATTGCAATTTTGCGGGTTTGATTTTTATTACATGCTATGTTATTCCTTCACCGTGGAAGTCAATTATGAACATTTGTTAAGTACGTATTTCATTAGAAAAAATTGTACCCGCCTGCGGGATTCGAACACCGGCTAATCGCTCAACACGAATGCACCGGACGTCTTATCCTTTAGGCCACGACGACTTTAGAGCCAGGCCGCGACAATCCTTCAAAGTAGTTTCAGTTTCATTGCGTGACACAGATGTGATGTGACCGAAGGAGAAATGTGATAAAGCGAAGTATCTCGTTCTCAGGCAGAACAGCGGGAGAGAAGATCGCGGAATTAAGACGGAAGATGGCGGAGAAGAAAGCTTCGGCCCTCGTTCTAACGGCCTTAGACGATATTGCTTGTAAGTCATGCGACCAGAGAACTTTAAATGGGACATGTCTTTTGCTTTTGACTCTGTGGTTTATCTCAGCAGCCTCTCATATCTCTTCTCGGGCTTCGTAAGGCTAGAGCAGCGCTATACCAAGATCCTCGATCGCCAATCAGCCTTTAGAAGCACGGCGTGCTATAATCCCGCCCGAGTGGTCACCGTCTAACTTATTTCTGCTGCGAAGCAATCGTGCATTGCAAAAGTCTTGATCTGAATTCGTGTAGGCATTTTGTAATACTTATAAGTTTTTGTTTGCTAAGGTGGGGAATGATCTTACGGTCCAACTTTGTCCGTGGTTACCGTGGCTTATGGACGCCAGCAAGGCATAGCCAAGCCGCTGCCTACCGTTAAGTACTCTCCTCGTTTGAAGAAGGACATGTCATAGCGCTAGGAAAACACCGTGGAGGGGAGCTCATTCCAAAGCCGGATGGTACGTGGCAAAAAATATCCCTGGAAACGCACTGTGGATGAACGTAAAGGCTCCAGGTAGTATGGATGAATTATATTCCGATGGCGGGCGGTGCGATGTTAAAAACGAGATGATGGTATCATCTCAACCAATTCCTCAGAGCACTCCCAACTATTGTTATGTGGTCAGTGAGATCTATAGGCATCAACCACGTCCATGCCGGCGACTATGTCGAGAAATGAGTTCTAAGTCTCAGTTTTTAAAGTACAACGGCTGTCCCACCCTTAAAACTGGGATTCGAACACCGGCACAATCGCATTGCTCGAGATGAATACATCGGGCGTCTTATCCTTTAAGCCACGACGATTTAACATGAAAGAGACATAGGGCTAGATGACTAATTATCGGAGAAGTAGCACGTCATTAACTGGAGGTCACTCGACCCCGAAAACGTTCTGTTTGTGTGTAGTGTAGTACATATAAGTCATGTAATATCTAATAAGAGAATAGTATTAAAACAACACTAGGACAAGACAGATGTTTCTCATTCGAACTAGAAACTCCCTTCTGTCATCATCTCCGTCATCACTCTCCTGTCATCATGGTTTATTTACTACATAAACTTCCTCAATACTTGCGTTGTGGAGAATTGATTTGACCTTAACATCAGCCGTGTCCTCTCGGTGGGCCGTCCTTCCGAAGCAGCTGCTCTTGAGCTGCTTTAGCAAATCCTACCCCTTGTAGCTCAGCTACCACGCTTACCCACGTATCCTGGTGAAACTGGTCAGACCTCCGGACCACCAGTTACTCCCACCACGGTACTGACTTTTCAATTTCCAGACACGTTAAATCTACGCGGCTCCGACATCGAATATAATCCGGTCTTCTTTTCGTACCTGATCGTGATGGAGACCAATGTTGTTCTATACTGGGGCGACGGTCAACTGCCCCCCTCCGTGACGGATCACCTGAGGGAGGAGGGCGTGGACAGTGTCGAGGGCAAACCTTACGGGGACATTTTGGAGGGCTTAAAGGAAATGGCGGTGAGCATTGTTCAGTGGTTCGTTAATGATGGATGGATGGATCTTGGATATCAGTCTGGGTGAGAGGACTAGCGTCCTCCGGGATACTAGGTGACAGCCTCGGCGGCTCCGTCTAACGGCGTCGTATCCTCCGAAACAGAAGGCAGGTCTGCTTCCAAGAGCTCCTAGCAGCGATACGATGTTTAAGTGCAATCTCTGAAATTATAATTTCGTGCGTATTAATACGTAGCCTGAAGAGACAGACAGTCAGGTTCGTCATTATTCACCAGGAACTGGAGTCGGACGTTTTGGATATGCTTATCGGCTACTCGATTGCAGACATCAAAGGCTGTAACTTTGACGATCCTACGTTAGTTTTCGGATGACAGCTGTCAAATTTGACAGGTGTCATTTTTTTTATGTCTGCTTTCGTTTTCACAGCGAGAACTGTCGGAGAGCGGCGACGGGAGACACGTGATCTGGTTGTCCAATGACGCTAATGAGGCGATCCACAGAGCCGCCTCCGGGGTGAGTTCTTAAAATTGTTCTCTTATATTAGACCTTGAAATGGAATTACTTTTTTAAAATACGTTGACTGCTATGTAGGTCACTGGTGCCCTACGCGGCGCACTGAATAAGGTTGCCAGACGTCCCGTATTTTCTGGGACGTCCCGTATTTTAGGCTCTGTCTTTTTTATAAGGGACTATTTTTTTCAATTCTCCAACGGCCTTGTTTGCTTAATTTCAGTCTGATGTCCTAAAGCGTCCGATTGATTTAATATCGGAGGTGTCGCCCGTGAAACTGGCTAAATTGGTCAAAAACGAAATCGAACTGCAAGTGAGTATCGTATAGAGCAGATCTGTCGATTAAACGTAGGAGATACAGGTAAGATAAGGATAAAGTAAATATAAGTAAGAGTTTTTAAGGTATTACATAGCTTTTATCGTGGGTTTTGAGCGCGGCGACCGAGAAATTCCGTAACGAAAATGAAACCTAACACCCCCCCTCCGCCTACCATATAGCTCGGGTTCAACACATTCACACGTTGCGCTTGTGTAGTGTTTGTGAATAAGCGTGCGGCGTGACGTCGCACTGCATGCAGATCATGAAAAGTCTGTCCATCTCTCTCTCGCGCTGTCTGGCTTTCGAGTGTGAAGGGGACAGTTTGTGTTTTGCTTTTGATAATGTTTATAAATATAGCCTGGTCTTAATTTATTAATTATTGTTTTAATATTAAATTATTATTGTCTAATTATAATTGCATAAGTTGAAAAAAAATGCTATACAATCGCTTTCAGTCCCCGAGTACCATACGTGTTTTTTTTTTATTGCCTTTAACGGCATTACCGTCGCCCATGGACTTCAGCAATGCCAGGGGCAGAGTCAAGCCGCTGCCTACTGCTGCTTGCGGGATTCGAACCCCGGCTCAGTCACATCTCTCGATACGAATGCACCGGGCGTCTTATCCTTTAGGCCGCGACGACTAGGATATGAGAACATATGCCCATTGCTCATCAGGGCTTCCGTAACTGCCACATCAAGGACGGTATTGCCGTGGTCAGGTTCTTCAGGTGGCTCCACGATCAAATTGACGGCGGCGAGCAGATCACCGAGGTGCAGGCCTCGGATAAACTTCTGGAGTTTAGGAGGTAAGGAACTTCGAGTAAGGGCACGTAGGTACTGCAATAACCGTCGACGGCAAATGAAATTCTGATGAATCAATTAGCCACATACGATATCTCCCGCTTTTATTGGTAATTATATGAAAAGAGACAAAAAAATCGATTTTAAGGCAAAGCCAACATGTCTTATCGGATTCCCTGAATCCATTTACTAATGGTAGGACCTCTTGTGAGTCCGCACGGGTAGATACCACCACACTGCCTATTTCTGCCGTGAAGCAGTAATGCGTTTCGGTTTGAAAGGCGGGGCAGCCGTTGCAACTATACTTGAGACCTTAGAACTTAGATCTCAAGGTGGGTGGCGCATTTACGTTGTAGCTGTCTATGGGCTCCAGTAAACACACCAGGTGGTCTGTGAGCTCGTCCACCCATCTAAGCAATAAATAAAAGCTCGGTGCTTTTATTACCCTCAAGCACCGGTCACCCTTCTCGTCGAATTCGTCGATTATGACGAAAAGTTCCACGAGTGAACGAACCCATAGACACAGCCCACTGAGTTTCTCGCCGGATTCTTATCATGATGATAATAATACTAATTGATTATTTTTTGGTTTGATATATTCCGGTGGTCGCCGTGTTTACAAGAACATAAAGCTTGTTTTATTTGTTAGGGACGAAAAGGACTTCATGGGTCCTTCGTTCGGAACGATAGCGGGCAGCGGCGCTAACGGCGCAATAATACACTACAGCCCTGATAGAGAGGGACAGCAGACCGTGATAGAGAGAGACCACATGTTCCTTCTCGACTCCGGCGGGCAATACAGGTGCGACCCCCCTTCGGATGGCATGTTACAGAGTGGGGTCCGACAGTGGGACGGGGTCGGTGCGTTTAGGCCAGCAGTCGGGGAACTTTTTTAATTAGTATTACCCCAAAATATTTTTGTGTAAGTTAAATATTACCGATAAGAACAAACAAAAAAAAAGAAATCGCTTCTTTTTAGCATCTTTCATATTATAGACCCCATGATAATTTTGAAAAGAAAACAATAACTAAAAATTTTATCGATTCTAAAAAAGTTTCACTTCAGTTTCATTTTACCCTATTTGGGGTACTTTACCCCGGTTCGCCGACCGCTGTTTTATGCCCTCCAAGCTCAGTTCTGGGCTATGATGTCGAATGCGAAGAAGAGTTTACTGGTGGTAGGACGTCTTGTGGGGCCACACGGGTAGGCACCACCACTCTGCCTGTTTCTGCTGTGAAGCAGTAACGCGTTAGAGGGGTTGGACAGCCGTTGTAACTATACTTGAGACCTTAGAACTCATGTCTTGAGGTGGGTGGCGGCATTTATGTTGTAGATGTCTATGGACTCCGGTAACCACTTAACCGCCAAGTGACCATACCATCCCAAACGCGCACTTCTCAACTTCTCTGTCACAGGTGCCACTTTCAGACTCCCTCTAACATATTTATATTGAAACTAGCTGACCCGGCAGACTTCGTAGTGCCTCAATCAATAAATAAAAGACCTAAACTTTATTTAATTCCGAGAATTTTCATATTTAACTACCTTTTAAACCTTCTCTGGACTTCGACAAATAATTCAAGACCAAAATTAGCCAAATCGGTCCAGCCGTTCTCGAACTTTAGCGAGACTAACGAACAGCAATTCATTTTTATATAATATATAGATATTAACAAAAACGAAGGCTGAAAGGCTTTTGGCTTATACGACATATTTGCAACTTTACAGCAGAGCCATTTAAAGCTCAAAATTTGGAAAGAATATAATAACAATAAAAAAACTTCTTCAGCTATTTGAATGGAGTAAACTTAATTGATGTTCAATTAAAAACATCGAACTGTTGATGCTGATACCAAATAAAACGGACCTTTAATGACGTAGATAAATATCGAGTCTTAAACGAAATACCACTTACACCAAATGGTCTTCACCCCCCGGTATAATGCCGGCAGATTAAAAACCATAAAATATGGTTTTAAATTTTCAAAATCGAATATTGTGTGTTAAAATTGTTGGCCATGTATCTTGGCTCGAAGAGTCTTTCTGCTTAGTGCAAGTTTTTTAACGTTCTCGATAGCGTAAAAGTTAACTCGAATTTGTATGGAGTTGGAACGTTTGCTTACGTTTGCCGCTAGGGGCGCTGTTCCGACTCCATACAAACTGGAGTTAACTTTTACGCTATCGTGAACGTTAACTGACACTACACACACTGACCTCTGTGAGTCTTGTTGGAGTTGTCCCGTCCACTACGTTACATGATCAATAGAAAATCCTCGCACCGGAACCGTGAATGAGGAATCCAGCAGAGCTTTTGTTTACGAAATTCAGGGATGGCACGACCGACATAACTCGCACGCGGCACATGAGCGGCAACCCTACCGCGGAACAGAGAGATGCGTTCACTCGAGTGCTAAAAGGTCAGATTATGATCGGCAGCGCTTTATTCCCGAAAGGCGTTAAGGTAAGATAGTTTCATTACATAGTCCAGCCAGTTCCTTGCTTAAATGAAAGGCAAAAAAATATATAATATATATGTTAAAATGTTAGTTAACTAAAACGATTCTAGAAATAATATGTACTAGGGGCCCCCCGATAGTCGATATTCGACTATAATTAATTGTAATTACAAGTTTGAAAATTATTATGGTTCTATTGTCAAAGACATATTATACTTCTATAATCACAGATTTCGCCAAGACTACATTACAAATATGAATAAAGACAAAAAATATTTAATCTATTCTCAATTTGACCACAGACTATAAGCAATAAGAAAAGTTTGACAATAAACAAATAGTATGCATGCGTGTGTGTATCAAATACATGGTTTGTGTGTTTAATGTTTTTATTTATTGATTTAATGTATTTTTATATATAATAAAAAAAAAATAACATCCTGCACTCCTTCTCTATATTCTCTATAAGTGTGGAAAATTTCTTATCAATTTATTTATTCTTATTAATATATAGATGTAAAAACAGGCCCCCGGGTGTTAGTTGTTGTTACTCTTTAAGTAACCCTGAACATTTGTTTCGCGCATCCGCATTTCATTTTGACAGCTGTCAAATGTGACATCTGTCAGCGTTTATTGAAAGTCGAAGTTTCGTCCGGCAGGGCAACGTTCTGGACAGCTTCGCGCGTCACGCCCTGTGGGAGGTGGGCCTGGACTACGGCCACGGGACGGGTCACGGAGTGGGCCACTACCTTAACGTGCACGAGGGTCCGTCCGGGGTCTCGTGGCGTCCGTACCCCGACGATCCTGGACTGAACGTTGGACAGATATTGAGCAACGGTCCGAGTTGTTTTATTTATTTACAATCTCTCTTTTATCATTTACAATCTCTGTTATTTAGGACTAGCTGACCTGGCAGACTTCGTAGTGCCTCAATCGATAAATAAAAGACCTAAACTTTTGTATAAAATAAACTTAAAACAAACAAAAGGAATCCGTCCGACGGGGGACACCTCATAAGAAAAACAAAATTGTTATTATTATTTAATTTCGAGCATTTTCATATTTATCTTTAAAACCTGCTCTGGACTTCCAAAAATTCAAGACCAAAATTAGCCAAATCGGTCCACCCGTTCTCGAGTTTTAGCGAGACTAACGAACAGCAATTAATTTATATAAATAGATTTAAAATATTATAGGTTATCTCTTTTATTTAGGATTTTGCGTCTCGTGAACATGCTTAAAACTAATAACAGTTTTACTACTATTAGAAATAATAATTGGTTGTCTGTGAAGTCGGCTTACGGACGATAGTTTTACGTGGTAACGTCAGTAGCGGAACTATTCGCACTGCTAGCTCTGACGTCACGCGAGAAGAGAGATAAACGTGTCACAAGCCAACGCTTGGGCCGGTCGTGTCTCTCTGTCCCTTGTTACGGGCTCTCGCGCGCACGCTCAGGCTCAGGCGGAACGTGACATTTTTTCGTGCGTGCAGCCGATGTTCGTCAATTTATAAGACGTTATCCGTTATACCGAATTTACAGACAAACCAATTATTTAAAAAAAAATCGACACTAGCAACAATAGAATTTCAAGAATTCGTTTGCCATACCGAAAAAAATAATAAGAAGGAGATGATGTTTTTTAACGTTTTTTTTTTAAAACAGAACCAGGCTTCTACAAAGTCGGCGAATACGGAATTCGCCACGAAGATCTAATAGAGATTGTGGCTGTCGATAAGGGAAGCGATCATCCTAAGGTAAATAGTGTATTATAGTACATATCTTATGACGTCACAAACTAGTAAACAAAGTAGCTACGATGATTATATTTGTGTTAGGTAAGTTTTATGAGCTCTCAGGGGATAAGTACCATCTTTTTTGCTCACCATTCAACATCAGTATATCCCAGCATTTTTTTATTGCATTTTTAGGCAGACGAGCATACGGCCCGCCAGATGGCAAGTGTTTACCATCACCCATGGACTTCAGCAATTCCAGGGGCAGAGCCAAGCCGCTGCTTACCGTTTAAGTAGACCTTTAAGTCTTACTTGTGTATAAGACACATCGCCGTCTCATCTATTTTTGTGACGAAGTGAATGCGGATTCGACTTCATTAAGATTCGGTCGTTTGACCACTTCACTCGAAGGGCTCGGAATCGGGGCCGCGAGGAAAACCCAAATTAATCTATGGCCGAACTCACGACGGCCATTTTTATTCCAGGCGAAGAATCTGAGAGGCGATTACGATGGTCGAGGCGTTTTGGGCTTCAGCACGTTGACTTTAGTGCCCAATCAAAGGGAATGTATCGATGCAGAGATTATGACCGATTTCGAGGTGAGTTCTGACGTGCCGATCAATTTGATTTTGATTGGTGATTGCTCACTGCGATGTCTTCGGGAAGAGGGTTGGGGGGGTGGGTCAATGAGTTCTGATATAATTCTCCGAAGCTCTACCGTTCACAGATGACAGACGTGATTTTGATTGGTAATTGCTCATTGTGATGTCTTTGGCATGTCGGGGGGTTCGATGGGGGTGTTGATGGGGGGGTCAATGAATTCTGATCTAATTCTTCGGAGGGCTACGGTTTAGAGATGTCATACATGATTTTGATTGGTAATTGCTCATTGCGATGTCTTTGGCATGTCGGGGGGTTCGATGGGGGTGTTGATGGGGGGGTCAATGAATTCTGATCTAATTCTTCGGAGGGCTACGGTTTAGAGATGTCATACATGATTTTGATTGGTAATTGCTCATTGCGATGTCTTTGGCATGTCGGGGGGTTCGATGGGGGTGTTGATGGGGTGATCGATGGGTTCTAATATAATTCTCCGGAGCTCAACCGCTTACAGATTTCATACGTGAACGCGTACCATCGAAGAGTGCTTGACACATTGAGTCCTATACTGAAGGAGCGCGGTTTGCTTAAGGATTTGGAGTGGCTCGAAGGTCAATGCATCCCGATAACCAGGAAGTGAACCCTCAAGAACCTTGGATCACTCGTGCAACAGAGACGCAAGATTTGGTTTCTATGCGAATCGAAAAGAGATGGCTAATAAATAAATGATTTTCAGACGATGTTCTATTGTGTATTAATTGGTTTGCCTTTATTGGCTTGGTATGTTTGTATGTATGTGAGGGAATCATTTTCAGAGACGAAAAGACGTCCCATTGATTTGGCAATTTCCACACGCGTCTAGGACGATGGGTAGGTACCACCGCCCTGCCTATTTCTGCCGTGAAGCAGTAATGTGTTTCGGTTTGAAGGGTGGGGCAGCCGTTGTAACTATACTTGAGGCCTTAAAACTCATATCTCGAGGTGGGTGACGCATTTACGTTGTAGACGTCTATGGGCTCCAGTAACCACTTAACACCAGGTGGGCTGTGAGCTCGTCCCATCTAAGCAATAAAAAAAGAACAAGGTTGAGAACTGACAAGAAATAACGATGAGGTTAGTAAAACTTACAATTTCTCCGCTTATGTCAAGAACGGCCAGTAACAACGCCAAGCGAACAAACTCTTCAGATGGATTTTGCATATGTCCTCTCGGGTATTGAATTTATTCCCGCCTAATAATCTGTCAAAACTTTGGAAAAAGTACAATAACTGTTGACGCACGCTCTGAACTTTCAACCTAGCTTTTGTTGCTTAGAGACCGTCTCTTGCGTCGTGTGAGATCGAGCGGTGTCGTTTAGGACCAAACGATTTAACAATCGAGCTTCTGCATCATTGTGGCGGGCTTTTTTTTATTGCCCTTGTAGGCAGACGAGGATACGGCCCACTAGATGGTGAGCGGTTACCGTCGCCCATGGACTTCAGCAATGCCCGGGGCAGAGTCAAGCCGCTGCCTACCGAAAAATATAGGTAGCCATCATACAAACACAAGATATTTGACAGACGCCTGAATATCGCTTACGACATTTTCAAGATAAGCTTACGTAGATAGTAACAACAACATGGGACCGTCGGTCTACCGAGCAATGTCACCCGCTCGGTGGAAGATCTTCCCTCCGTCGTTACACCTATAATTGTGTTCAGTTCCTCACATTACACACCAGCTGGTGCTATTTGGTAAGAAGTTATGATGATTACACCGACACTAGGCCATCGAACTGTTATACGGAATTCTATGAACTCCTTTTTTTCTAAAAAAAAAACTAAATTATATATTTATAAATTAAAATTAAAATTAAAAATAAAATTAAATTATATATATATATATATAATTCGCACTGGATTTAATTGAAAAGTGATAGGCACGAGCGCGGCGAAGGATGGAGACGAACTGACTGAGTGAGTGGGAATGGTAATGAGGTATGGTATGGATAAGGTTATGGGAAAGCTGATGCAGCAGGAATACGGTTGGGTCTGCATATCTACAGTACTGGAGCCCGGATATAACAGAACGGTGAGCACGGCTTTTTTATGAGTAAGTTTTCGTTTAGAACTTTCTTGCCAAACCCGGCGGCCCGCACCAACTTGGAGCCCCTTCAGGTTATTCAATCCCGATTCTGCAGGATAGCCGTCAGAGCACCATGGTTCCTGAGGAACGTGGATCTCCACGATGACCTGGAGCTCGACTCTGTCAGTAAGTATCTACAGTCGGCATCGCTGCGCCATTTTGAGAAAGCCGCACGACATGAGAACCCTCTCATCGTGGCCGCTGGAAACTACATACCCGACCCAGTAGACCGAATGGTAAGCCGTCGACGTCGCCTAAAGCACGTCATTACGGATCCTCCTGATCCGTTAACGGTGTTTTTAGGCACCACAAGCACCGGTCACCGTCCTCGTCGAATCCGTCGCTTGCGACGAAGGGCTCGACGAGCGAATTAACCCACAGACACAGTCCACTGAGTTTCTCGCCGGATCTTCTCAGTGGGTCGCATTTCCGATCCGGTGGTAGATTCTGCGAAGCACTGCTCTTGCTAGGGTCAGTGTTAGCAACTCTCCGGTTTGAGCCCCGTGAGCTCACCTAACCAAGATCTATCTAACCAACATAACGTCCACTTGCGATTATCAAAAACACTAAATTTTTGCGGAAACGGAAATGTAGTTACAAATTATTTCGCTTCTACGTCTGTAACTCAAGGCATAGGTACCTTAACGGCAACTTCATCATCGATAAAAACCTATTATTAAGTTTATTATCTATGGGATGCATGTGACAGCGTTGTGCTATAAAAACATTGTTATTAGGTCATTGTGTTTTCATTTCAAATCAACAAACACGTTTATATGTGAATACCGAATTCCAGATACTATTTTGAGTTGCATACGCTACATTTGTCAGCTCAACTTGTTTTCACTTTAAGAGTTTTGCAACTTCAAATACATGTCATTAAGAAGATCAATGCCAATTAAAAAGAATACCAATACTAATTCAGAAGACTTTTAAGTATTGTTAGGGTAAATTTTCAATTATACAATACTACCGTATAATAATAAAATAACAGATTCGTTAAGAAATAGTCAAAGATACCTTAATGAAAAATTGAAAATGCATCATTATAGATTTGAACGATATTTTTAGTGCTGCGCCTCTAAGGTATGAAAAATGAACATTTTAGTCAATTCATCTGAAAAATCAATGCCATGTTCATGACAGAATTGTAATTGGGTCTATGGATTAGCGCAAATAAAATATGTTTTGTTAATTATTTAATGCTTAAATTGAGACACAAATATCTCACAACAAAGCTTTTGATTTATTGTGATTCGATTTTAATCAAATTTTTATATCTGAATTTGATATAAGACCAACAATTCTTGGAGATTCCTAACTTTTCTAAGCGGTTTAAAAAATATTGATACTTTTTCTGAACAAAATCAATCAATCGAAATTAAGATTATCGATTTTCAGTTCAAAGTCGATTCCTTGATAGATCTTCACGTACCACAACACTAGCGCCCTGGAATTTTTGCTCGAGAATTGAGTAAGCGGTGCTGTTAGGAATTGTGTGTTCCTATTTAATTAAACTGAATTACTGTTTTAGGTATGTATAATTTCTTGTTTTTCTATAGAAATAGAATTAATGCATTGAAACGGTTTTGAATCATTCATTATACAATAAACTGTGCGGAAGATTGTAATACATACAGGTAATAAAACATAATATGTACTATTTGTTGATTTAGAACTTATGTGTTTTAAATCGTTACGATCAAATTTAAAGTAGGTACTATAGGACATCCGTACGCAGCTGCACATTTAAAAAAAATATCATCAAACCTTTCCGACGGTATCATCTGTTTTGATAAATGGACACAAAACTAGGGCATACGAATAGATTCAGTCAAATTAATTTCTAAATAACATTAATTTAACTAACATCACATTGTCTGAATATTATTTAAAATCTAATTAATACAAAATATAGGTACCATAAAACGTTGCTGCTAGTTAAGACACCTACTGCCATCTTGTGGGGGCCTTCAAAAACTTATATCTTTAGCCTCGTTCTCGAAAACAACATATTTTGTAAAGATGAAATGTAATGTTATTTAAAACTAAAATCATAATAGCATTTTTACGTACTACGCACCGCTAATTTTATTGTGTAAGTACGTATTTAGCATGTGTTAAGAAACTGGGGCATGATAGATTTACATCGTGCTGGATAAGAACAACCCACTGCCTATGACTGGGTAGGTTGAGAACGCCTTTCACTTAGCGTCGACCATGTTCACCACAAAATCACTTAGTCATAGAATAAACATGCTTAAATGATAATTAATAGACAAATAAACAATTTCACGTGTGCTAAGGGGCATTTTTTAAAAACTTAAATTAGGTACTTCCCGATAACGCCATTCGCAATTGCGCGTAAGAACTTCTCAAAGATTTTGAATGACTTAATGTTATTTGAGACACAGTGGCCATAATGTTATACCACATATTCTCTAATCATTAGATATGTTAATGTATGCTAAAAAAAGAAACATTTTACGCGAATGTAATTCACAAAAATTTAACATTTAAAACGCGTGAACTTATTTTATAAAATTTCAATCCCGGAAATAGACAATGTTTCTGAGGCATTACATTCGTATATATGCATAAAGAAATCCGAAAATTAATATGCGGACCTGAATATACCCATGCTGTAAATGTAAAATACACGCATGCGTTCTTACGACAATGTCGACATTCGCGCACCCCGATGCTAACACAAGCTACCTACTTCTTTTTTTGCTTCTAAATTTCATAAAATAGTCGTCATTTTCTTTTTTTGTGTTGTCTTATTTCAAATTATTTGCTTGGAACTGGGTTACGGACCGCACGTCCGTGTATAGAGGTGAATTCAATTAAACCTGGATCGATTTGATCGTAAGCGACTACCGTAGTTCGAGATTGCTAAGAGACATGTTCCCGCATTCTAGCCCATTGAGTTTCTCGTCGGATCTTCTCAATGGGTCGCCTTTCCGATCCGTTGGTAGATTCGGCGATTCGGCTCTTGCTAGGGTTCGTGTTAGCAACGTCGTCAGGTTTGAGCCCCGTGAGCTCACCTACATGTTAGGGCGAAGCGGAAATAGCTTCTCAAGGCTATCAGCCTAGGTAGGAAAAAAAACGCATTTGGTGTCAAAAAAATATATTTTAATTTACTCACATAATTTTATTTTACGTATTTTAATTTACGTATTTATTTAATGTTAAATTTAAAGTAATTCCCACTTATCAAATGTTCGTTATTTGTCACTATTATCTGATTAACATTCATATATAGAACATATTTATATATGATTAAAAAAAAACAAATTTATTGTATTATTGTTATTAAAAGTTAAGTATTTTCTGTTAATCTATAAAATAATACACATTCGGATTATTTGATTCATATTACTTCTATATGCACATAAAATTGATGCAAGCAAACTTATTCTTAATTTTGTTTATAAAAAATAACTAAATCAATAATGCCAATAATGCCCACTCTACCGTCATATGTTTCCTGAATTGATTGAAAAAAATACGAATGTGTTTTGTATTTATAGTTATTTAAATAATAAATTCAAAAACTCCTTAAACGCAGTAGTATTGATGATTAATTTTTATAAGTCATTGTTGATCATTTTGCAAATACCTTTCAAAACATTCATTGTTGCAGAAATAACAGGGCAAAACCTGCTCACTTATAAATATATTCATTCATAACCAATTTAAAATCTATATTTAGATAGGCAACAATATTAATTGTAATTTGTGGTTTTTTAATAACTAACTACAATATTCAAATTAGTCCAGACAAACCAACGTAGTTAATAATGCTATTTTCTGGATTTCCAGGATTGAATAATGTCTAAAAACTATACTAAGAGCAAACCTCAAAAACAACCTCGTGCAGAGAGCTCTCAAAGCAAGCTCAAGATGAAAAAACCACCAGAAATACAGCAAAATGATCCCGGTAAAACTGTCACCCAACCAAGACTAAAAAGATCACCTAAGCAATTAAAAAATGTGGACAAAAACCCAGAATACTATCCAGAGAAAGTGAAACGCACCAAACCCGTCAAAAAGATCATAATGAAACCAAAGAGCACTTTGAAAGTCATCGGTGGGATCAGAAAACGTAAATTAGAGAATCCTGTCAGAGGTAAGCACTTGATGCATTCTAATGACCGCTTAAATGATCACATTCATGTCATAACTTAGTAGTTTTTTTTTTTATTGCCCTCGTAGGTAGACGAGCATACGGCCCACCTGATGGTGAGTGGTTACCGTCGCCCATGGACTTCAACAATGCCAAGGGCAGAGCCAAGCTGCTGCCTACCGCTAGATGAGCACTAGCATCAAATAGAATAAGATCACTTTTTCTTTTGTTAAAACAAGTATCAAATTCTCATCTTAATCAATCACTGTATGTGATATTATTACAAACAGTTCAACTAGGAATAGACCATATCAAGAGATTCTGCCTAACATGCCATCCCAAAACTGGTATTAATTGTAGTTCTATAGTCAATAGAAAATATTATTTACAAATCTAAGTAAAACTGACGTAATGAAGTTCAAATATCATGATAAAGACTGCAGGCAGTTACTTATGCCTCGAGGACTGTCTGAATCTACAAATTGTAAGACATCTGCAATATTAATAGGAATAGTTGAAGACATGAGCGGATGAAGGGGTTAAGTACCATTTTTAGGATTTTTGAGTTTTTACATTGAATGATGGTGTTATGTGTGCTCGTTCAGCCTCCCAAATTATGTACGAAGAAAAGGTACAAGTAACAAAAGTTTATTGTCCGTTTTCTCAAAAGTAACAAATTGTATCATATCCCCTTCATCCACTCATGTCTTCATAGTAAACAGTTTTTTTATTTCATGTTTATTACACGATCACACCTTAGAATGTTATCTGCCTTCTTTTATATGCCACTGTAGTGAGCTATCCACTTGATAGTGAGTGGTTACCATCCCTCGTGGATGTAAATAATACCAGGAGCACAGCCAGGCCACATCTGAAGAGACTTCTAGAGCTAGCATCTAGCATCAACATCAACATCAACAACTAGCATCACTGGATAAGACTGCACCTGTCAACTTATGCATTAGCCAAAAAAGGCATTAAGTATATTTATTAAAAGCAAAAAAATGCTTTATTATGTCTATATTTTAGTCTTTCTCTTAGAGTTTCCCTATAATAAGGATGAATTATAGGATTCAGGAATGAGGGAAATCAATAAAACTTGAACTAACCCATGTTTATAGCATTGTTAATGTTTATTAATTAGAAAAACAAACTAATTTCAGGTTCGCATTTGACTATGGAATCCAATTCTGATTGGGAGGCCGATAGGGCCATTCAAGAAGCAGAGCTGGCCTGGAATTCTGACGAGGATCTGTTGGAGATCCTGACTTGTCCTAGTCCAGTTTGGTGGGAAGATCCACCAGATGACCAATATTCTGAAGGTATGTTGAATATTAACTGGCTCTTTTTTCAGGCTCTCATAGTCATATGCACTGAGACTTTTAAGTGTAACAGAATTTTTATTGTTTTGAGTGTAGGAAATGAGTGATATCTTATTATTCATACATATCCAGCCTTGGTAACTATTCTCCACTATTCTCAGGGACACTAGGCATGTAGGCTAAACTGTCGTCTACCGAGAACTCTGTGACTTAATGTAATGTCCCATAATGCAATTCAAAATTGAATTCCCAGAATGAGATTGGTTGAAATTCAGCACGAAAAAAGTCTTTCTATTGCCTAACAAAAATAAAATCAATACAAATGATTATTATTTTACAATATATTTTTTTTTATTTTGCAGATCCAATACCCATAAAGACTCGATTAAACTCAAACAAAAGTAAATCAAATTGTTCGGGACAAAACAAGGAAACGATCAATTTAAAAATAAACATTGATAGGAACAATAAGAAATTCATCGAGAAGCGATCAAAATTGGAAAACATTTTGGGTAACATTAAAACTAAAGTTTGTAATAGCGAAGCCGATGTCATCACATCTGAAGAGGAGCCATTGATCTTTAATGACGATTTGGCAAAGGACTTCGAGAACATCAAAATCCCGATCGCCGGTGAGGATGCCGTTAGAAGTGCCGTACCCAGGAGCCTGCCTCCGTTGAAAAGGAGGCCAGCTAAGAACTCTCCCCAAGACAGCATATCGGATAGGAACATAACGTTTCTAGACGACTCCGACATGAAAGCAACCGACGATGTGACAGCTGTCATTAATGACAGATGTCAAAGTGACGGCGTTATGCGCGAGATCGAATCTAATTTGGACGAATTTTTAGACGACAGCTTGGTAACAATCTACAAGATTATGTCGAACGATAGAAAACATAACCGAATGGAAAATAACAATAAAGCTAACAAGATCAATGAGTATTACAAGAAACGTAAGAACTCAAAGATTTTAAAAAAGAAAAACACTAGTGCTATAACTAAGAAGTGTGTGTACTGTAAAATGGATGTGAAACATATTAAAAATAATAGCGTTTGTATGATTTGCAAAAACATAATAGTGGACGCTTGTAAATGTCAACCGTTGGTATCGGGACTTCAATATTGTTCATGCTCGACTACGTATGCCTACAAATGTAAGTTGTGCGAATACACAACATTAGTAATCGGTGAGATGCGTAAACATTTGAATGTTCATGAAAGTAGTAAGCAGGCTATTAAGAGATCATGGAAGAGATTCTGTATTGCGGTTAAAAGATGAGCTTTCCAATTTTACTGCCCACCGGAGCGGAGAGGCAGTTGATGAGTTGATATTAGCGGAACAGTGGATTGATATATAGGTATGGTTTACCGTTGAGACATTAGGTAGGTCAATCGTGTTCAATAATTCTAGCCATGTTATTTGTTAGAAAAATGTAAAACTTCTCTTTTAGTGAGCTTATTTTCACATATTTTGCAGGAATTGTTAACAAATTTTTTTAAAAGTACTTTAAAAAAATTTAAGACTAAATTCACAGCAAAACAATTTTAAATGGTTATTGTAGCCAATTTTTAATGGTTATAAATGTTATTAACTCATTGAGAACATTATACCGCGCTAAGACACGTCCGTACAGGTCGATAATGAAACTGCGCAAATAATCGGTATTCCGACACTCCGCACTTTATTAATAGAGTGTATCTATCGACGGTTCGCGCTCTAAGGGTTGATATGTAAAGATAGAAAACTATAAATAAAAAGTTCCTAATTTATAATGTCTCATTATAAGAAGTTAAGTTTTGTTGTGCATATTTAACTTGCCTATTTATAATGTATGTATATAGTATCACAGAAATTTGTTTAGACCAGGAGGAACTTTTTTAAAGCGCCTGTAGGCAGGCATTCGGTCCACCTGATGGTGAGTGGTTACCGTCGCCCATCTATACCAGGGGCAGAGCCAAGCCGCTGCTAACTATGAACTTAGATTTAATATCCTCAATTGAGATCAAATTTTAATAGCATTTTTTTTTATTGCTTAGATGCGTCCTAACATCTGTTTGAATGTACTAATTAATAAATTTGAATGAAATGTTATAAGAGATATTTAGGTCATTTTAGATTTATACAAAATACAATATTATATTATAATTCAAGTTACTATGAACTAGTACTAATTTGTCGTTTACATTGAACCAGTGACTCGGCACAGTAGCTTGCTCCAGCTCTAACAAACTGTGTGGCCGTGTTTAAATGTATTAATTAATAATTAAATTAAGAGTATTTATAACAATATGATGGAATGTAATTTTGAATTGGAAGAGACGAGACGAGAGAGATTGCATGTTTTTAGAAATCTCAATGAAATAATATCTTTTTATTAACGACAAGTCGCGAGGTATTCGAAAATTGTACGTCATCCATTGCGGTGTTTGCTGCTTGCGTGATTTTACAAATCAATATTTCTACATTCTATGCGCGTAAATTGTCAAAATCTTTACTTTTAGTATCGAATTATTGATTGTTCGGACTTGCAAAAAAAGTCACTAAAGAAATCGATAGATTTTGCATTACATTGACGGGTCGTTTCATGTATAAATTTTAAACTAAAATTGGTTAAATATTTGTTAAATTTGTTGTTAAACTTTGAACTGAAAAAATGTAAATGAAGTCTTTAAACATCATTCGATAATCGATTATTTCTAAGTGTAGACTTTAAAAATATTACCGCCGACTGCTCCGCGTGTTAAGTCTATATATTTTTTTTGAGTTTACATTAACTTTTATTCAATTCTAGTTAGTTTTAAATGCCCAGTATAAATTAGTTAGCAATTGGACCCGAAAGTAAATTTTCTCGTGAGGCGGGTAGACAGAAAAAAGATGTGTGGTGTCGTGGGACACCGGATAGGAACGAAGTTCCTTATTATAAAAATATTAATTTTAAGTTCTATTCGAGGTATAAAGAAAATAAAACCGGAGGTTTCGCAACAACCCACGGTCATTCGGTAACGTGCGAACTTATTGTGGTACACTTCATTCACGGTTGTTTTCATAAGAGTAAGTGTATTGCGCAAACGAACGCTCTGAGATCGTGGTCAATGAATGATAAAAAAAGATGTTATTTTTTGTACGTTATTACAAAGTTAAGTCGTACACTGTGCATTACTAGTAAAAATCTTACGTTACGGACGTTTTTTCCGCATCGTCCCATAAGGAACTTCGTTGCAAAAAAATGCATTTTTATTACAAACTGTTTCTGTTCGAACATTAGTCGTAATGTTATTGCTTGCCAACAAAATGAACATAAATGTCCAATTAAATAAATATGTACTCTTAAAAGCAAGACTGATCTTTATTTTTATTTTTTATCGATAATGAATTTGTTGTTTAGGGTGTATGAGCGTAAATAAAGCATGTTGAGGATTGTGGTTTATTGTTTTATTCCCTGTTTGATACTGTGTTAATTATACAGGCTTTTCTACAAATGGTCAACTAGAAAAATAGATGTGTTCTAATATTTTCTACATATATAAAAATGAATTGCTGTTCGTTAGTCTCGCTAAAACTCGAGAGCGGCTGGACCGATTTGGCTAATTTTGATCTTGAATTATTTGTAGAAGTCCAGAGAAACCATGAAAATGCTCGGAATTAAATAAAAATAACAATTTTGTTTTTCCTTTGAGGTTTCCCCCGTCGGACGGATTCCTTTTGTTTGTTTTAAGTTTATTTTATACAATAGTGTAGGTCTTTTATTTATCGATTGAGGCACTACGAAGTCTGCCCGGTCAGCTGGTGTTCTAATAAAATAATTGGAAAAAAAAAACTCAAGTAAACAGTATTAAAAATGTGGAGTACTTTGAAAATTATGAAAGAAATCCTAATATTCATAGGAAATTAAAGGAATTCTTATCGATTAAGTATCGTAGGTAACTTTATTTGCAATAAACATTTATGGAGTCGATAAATGTATGATACTATTGAAGATAAAACTGGCCAATTAGATAAGTACACTTCAAAGATATTCAGCATGGCAAAAGTTGATTTATTTTAATTGGTTTATGTATAAATTTTTATTATTAATATGTATATGGGTAAATTAATTTTTTATTTATTTGATTTATTAGGCACACAATACACATTACAAGCTAAAAAAACAGATGAACACAATAATGAACAACAAGTAAAAAATCTGACTTGTAACATAAGCCATGCGCGCACGACTAATCAAGATAAATATGCTAAGTACACAATGTTCCTAACAGCTATAGCAGAAAATACTCGTAATGTGATTACGAAAACTAATCTTAGTTATGATGTTATGATAGTAATTCCACACACACACACACACTCACAATTAAACACTAAGGAATTATACTTTTTTTTTCCTACCTTAGCTAATAGCCTTGAGAGGCTATGTCAGCGTTAACAAGCAGGAGAGCTCACGGGGCTCAAACCTGATGACGTTGCTAACACTAATCCTAGCAAGAGCAGTACTTCGCAGAATCTATCGCCGGATCAGAAACGCGATCCACTGAGAGATCCGGCGAGAAACTCAGTGTTCGTCGCAAGCAACGGGTTCGACGAGAACGATGACTGGTACTTGAGGTACCTAAAAGCACCGTAAGTGGATAGTAGTAGAGGAATGAATAATCAGACGCAGCTAGATAAAACGCCAGCAAAGGATTCATACGCCAGCAAACATGAAACAACTTTAGAATAATAAAACATTTACGAAAAATATACAAAAAAACACGTAAAAAGGAAGCCATCTGCCTATGCCAGAAATTTGGCACTACTACTCGACCTACCCGGTCGGAGACCTAGAGGTAGACCCAAGACAAGGAAGGATGTAGTGCTGAAAGACAATAGGGAATGCAATGTTGCTGACGAGGATGTCGAAGACAGAGCGAAGTGGAGGAATAAGTGAGGAAAGCTGACCCTACCACCATGTGGGATAAATAGCCAGGAAGAAAGAGAGAGATAAAAAAAAAGCGTAAAAAACCAAACCGATCGAGAGACAACGTTAATATTGTTCTACCTTTAAAAGAATAAGTTTTTATTAACCTATACATATAAATAAAATTTTAGTGTCTGTCTGTAATATTGAAATAACCGCTTTTTACTACATGCATATGAGTATATATACGGTACATACACCAAAATAACATTTTTTTAAACTTTTGTCTGTCTGTCTGTCTGTTTGTTCCAGCTAATCTCTGGAATGACTGTACCGATTTTGACGGGACTTTCACTGACAGGTAGGTGATGATATAAGGAGTAACTTAGGGTACTTTTTTTTACTAGCTTCGCCCCGCGGTACGACAACAACCACGGGGAACATCGCGGGACTCAGCTATCAATAATAAAATTTAATGTTTCCGAAGCGGAGCGTGGGCGGGTCGCTAGTAATTAATAAATCCCTTTTATAACGTGAATCAAGTGCGGATCCATTATCGGAAATTGTTTTTTTATTAACTCATCACTATCTAATCAAACGCTTGTCTAAAACAACGTAATAGATAGATACATTTACGATTAAATCAATATTGTTCACGACAAATTCGTCGCAATGGCGCGTGCCTTCGTTCTAATTATATGGTGGTACGTATTCGCAGATATAATTACGAATTTAAAACCTACATTTACGATTTATTCTTGCATTGTTTTATTGTCATTATACATAGCTCGAGGGGTAAAAAGTTATATGGTTTAAGTGACACTAGATAATGACCGGTTTTTTTTGTTAACGCCATCTTGTTGTGTCTTTAAAGCGGTTAGCTGCCCTCAATTAAGAAAAATAGTATTATTATTCGCCAATAGATGTCGGGAAGAGTTGATTATTGACACACGAATAAAACAACATTTTTTGAAAATAAATTGTAGCTAGATCGATTTATCGCCCCCGAAATCCCCTGTATTGGACTGTACTAAATTTTATGAAAATCGTTGGAGCCGTTTCCGAGATTCAGATTATATATACATATATATTAATATACAAGAATTGCTCGTTTAAAGGTATATAATTTCGTTTTTTACGCGACATTTATTTTTGTAATTAAAGGTCCGTTTTATTTGATATTAGCATGAACAGTTCGATGTTTTTAATTGAGCTTCGATTAAGTTTACTTACTAAGTTACTCCATTCAAATAGCTGAAGAAGTTTTAAATTTTAAGCTTTGAATGATTGACTCTCTTGAGGCAGTAATGCGTTTCGGTTTGAAGGGTGGGGCAACCGTTGTAACTATACTGAGACTTTAGAATTCATGTCTCAAGGTGGGTGCTGGCATTTACGTTGTAGGTGTCTATGGGCTCCAGTAACTACATACTGCAAGCTCATTCATACCCATATAAGCAAAAAAAAAACAATTAACAATGCTCAATCTACGCAGGCTAAACAATGTTCCAATATAACATACCTAACCATGGATTCCCACCAAATTAGGACATTTAATTTTTAATATTTCTGTTTTCTGAAGTACACATAATTTACTATACCTAATTAATTGTTTGTTTTTCAGTTTATGTTTCAGTATATCTCGATGTCATATTCCTAATAATTATTACGATTCAGCTGAGAGCGTTGCACCGGTGGCAGGTAAAATCTTTCTCTCGCTCAAAAAGGGCTTTATTTTAACCTTGATGTGCACTAGAAATGCTGATGATACAACAGATACAAAAAACCAATGGAAATCGAAATTCCATCCGAAGTCGAAAACATCCAAAGGAAACTGTCCCAGTTCTATTGCATAGATGCTCACGAATCGCATGGTGTTAGTCTAGTGGTCGTTGGAGTCCATAGACATCAACAATGTAGACGCCATCACGTGTCCGACGACCGGTGCTTGGGGTACCTAAAAGCACCGTTAGTGGATCGGCAGGATGCGAAATGACGTGTTTTGTACCTGCCTGTGTGGATAGCATCAATAGTCACGACTTGATTTTATTACACAAAAGTTCACGTTTGGCGCCAAAATTTCATTTTTAATTTATGTCGGCAGACATTTTGTTTTCGAAGCCTTATATGGAGGTTTAATAAAACTTATTATGTTATATAAAAACAAAAGCTTTATTAATATATTAATAAGAGATAATGCGTGATATTCACACAATATTAATTACTCGAAACAAGGCGATTAATAAATGGTAGAGTTAACATTTTCTTTTACATTTTGACATTCAACAAGTGTGTTTTTGATGACATCCAAGTTGAAATAAATGATTTTGAATTTGAATTTGAATTTGAACTATTAACTGGTGTAAATATAAAAAATTGTTATTAAATAGTGTGCCTATAATAAAATGCTTTTCGGTATTCAATTTAGAAAAGAAATAAGAGCGAGCCTTTATATTTGGGACATAAAGCCCACTCAATTACTTATTTTTTTTTAGTACTTCCCGGAAATGTAACAAAGTTGACTCGGTCCGAGAGCCAAGAGCGTCTCAGGGCAGTGCGAGTTGTCTTGGCTTCTAGAGCAGTCGACGCATACATCGTGCCCACAGCTGATGCCCATAACGTATGTGTAATCTATTACCTAGCATAGTTTACTTTGCGCGTAACGGTCTAGAACTAAATCTATTCCAGGGGCTCCCAAACTTATTTTGTCTACGTCCCACTTTGAGAATAAGTTATTTTGAGCGCCCCCATTTTTTCACCCACCCAAAAACCACTATAGCGAGAGCTCAGTCGGTATCTAAGAGTCCTCCTAGATGAAATTACAAATCGCCTCCCAAGCCTCTACACAACGCCCCCATTTTTTTTCTGGGTCTTTTACCACCCACCCCCCTTTAGGCCTGCAGCGCCCACAAGGGGGCGTTATCCCCACCTTGGGAAAGGCTGCTCTATTCCAATTACGAAGTCCCTATTGACACTTCTTAGAACGTAACTCTTCACGATTCGCATAATGTTAAGTAATAATCATTTTTTGTTTATGGTCATAAACATCATTTAAAAAATACACAATCAATCTAAATCATTATAATATACCTCAAATTAATTCATACACACAATCACTACATAGTATAAAACAAAGCCGCTTTCTCTGTCCCTATATCTGTCTGTGCCTATGTATGCGTAAATCTTTAAAACTACGCAACGAATTTTGATGCGGTTTTTTTTAATAGATAGAGTGATTAAAGAGGAAGGTTTGTATGTATAATAACATCCATTAAATAGTGGAGAAATCAATAATATATTACAGTTTCCGAAGCGAAGCGAAGGCGGGTTGCTAGTAACATAATAATAACATCTGTATCACGGGACTTCGTCATTGGAATAGAGTCATTCCCGATCCTGCGGACAGAATGGAAAGCAGTCGACGTCGCCCAAAACACGTCATCTCGGATCCTCCCGATCCACTAACGGTGCTTCTAGGAACTTCAAGCACCGGTCACCGTTCTCGTCGAACCCGTCGCTTGCGACGAAGGGCTCGACGAGTAAATTAACTCTCAGACACAGCCCACTGAGTTTCTCGCCGGATCTTCTCAGTGGGTCGCGTTTCCGACCCGGTGGTAGATTCTGCGAAGCACGGCTCTTGCTAGGGTTCGTGTTAGCAACGTCATCAGGTTCGAGCCCCGTGAGCTCACCTACAAACGTTAGGGTTACGCTGAAATAGCCTCTCAAGGCTCTCAGCTTAGGTAGGAAAAAAAGAAAGAAAAAGGAATAGAGTATAGTTTAAATCGTGCATGTCAGTTCGGACACGCGACTGAAGCTTTCTCTGTAAGAATAAGACTGTCATCGTGATTTAAAGAGCCAAGACAGCCAATTAATACTTATATATCCAAGCTTATTGGCTTAAGCGACATTTTGCTTAACACGCGACTTTTATCTTTGTAATTAAAGGTCCGTTTTATTTTGTATCAGCATCGACAGTTCGATGTTTTTAATTGAACCTCTGCTAACTTTATCCCATTCAAATAGCTGAAGATATTTTTTCTAAAATTTTAAACTTTAAATGGCTCTCCTGTAAAATTACAAAAATGTTGCTTAAGTCTTTGCCTGTCATGTAGGTCATCGGTGCCGTACGCGTCGCACTGAAGTAATTACGTCGATTTACTGTTACTAAGGCGTCTAGATTGCCTAAATTTGCCTAACTACATTTGTTTTTAATGTACGTTTTAGTCTTTTAGGTATCTTAGAAACAGATTAATTATCATTGTCTTTACCAGAATCGACTAGATATTCCGGCGCTTTATTAAGAACACCGAAGAGAGAAATCAACATAATTAGTTCAGTGCGCCGTGTAGGGCACCGGTGACCTACATGGCGGTCAAAGGGCTAAACCAAATAGTCTTTCACCCTTCGATATATTATTGGTAGCTCGTCTTAAGACCGTTTAAAAACTCGCACCAAGCACATAGTATATGTAATTTTTCAGTCGCAATACATAGCGCCTTCTGATGCTCGCCGAGAATGGGTGTCAGGACTGCGTGGATCATCTGGTACTTCTGTGGTAACCGCCACCAGAGCTTTAGTCTGGACAGACGCTAGATACTTCACGCAATTCGAAGTTGAAGTAGACGGGAGTCTTTGGGAGCTGATGAGGCAAGGTAAGACGATTCGAGAGTCGATAAAAAAAAATGTGTAAAAAAACGCCAATGACAGCAATGATAACTTAAGCTAATCTATGTTAAACTATTTAATATTGAAATTATTTATTTAACTTTTTGAAGTGAAAACTTCTTTAGAATCGTTGTGATTTCAAACCGGATGCAACGGAAAAAACGACAGGTAAGAGACACAAATACAAAAGAATGAGACAGAAATATACATACTATTTAATACAGCGCCATCTGTGAGATTTTTTTAATACTAACGTGTGTATGAAAGCTCTTGTAGTGAATTTTAATTTAGGATTATACGTGAAATTAAAATATCAATTCACAGAGGGCGCCACCTTACAATTATTTACTAATGACAAAATTTTAAGACGTTTAGGATAATTGTATTTTAATTTTGGAAGGTTTCACTTCTACCACGTGTGAATTGCACACATGTATTTTTATTTTTATTTTTTTATTGCTTAGATGGGTGGAAGAGCTCATAGCCCACCTGGTATTAAGTGGTTACTGGAGCCCATAGACATCTACAACGTAAATGCGCCACCCACCTTGAGATATGAGTTCTAAGGTCTCACTATAGTTACAACGGCTGCCCCGCCCTTTAAACCGAAACGCATTACTGCTTCACGGCAGAAATAGGCAGGGTAGTGGTACCTAACCGCGCGAACTCTCAAGAGGTCCTACCACCAGTAATTACGCAAATTATAATTTAGCGGGTTTGATTTTTATTACACGTGTTATTCCTTTACTGTGGAAGTCAATCGTGAACACTTGTTGAGTACGTATTTCATTAGAAAAATTGGTACCCGCCTGCGGGTTTCGAACACCGGTGCATCGCTCACCACGAATGCACCGGACGTCTTATCCTTTAGGCCACGACGACTTCAAAACTTGAGAAATTTGAGAAAAGCTTAGGTTTATTAGGTTATTTATGTATCGAAAACGGCTCTGCCGAGTCTGTATGGAACATAAGTACATACATACATTGGTGTTTTTCTAGGCACCGATCCCTCGATCCAAAATTGGTTAGTTGCGAATATGCCACCGAACTCTGTAGTTGCTGTCGACCCGACTACGTACACCAGAAACTCATGGAACACTCTCCAGGTAAGCCCTAGTTAAACATTAGGAAAAAATCTTGATTTATTCTGATGGCATATTTTAGGAAGATATATATTTTTTTGATCAGCTTATGCTAAGCTCTTTTCTACATCATCCTTGGTCGATCAATTCGCGATAATCTAATGAAATGTAATAAATATATATCGCTTTGCAGGCGGCACTAACTCGAGCCAACATCAAATTAGAAGCAATATCTGAAAATTTAATAGACTTAGCCAGAGTTAGTATTGGTGATGATCCTCCGAGCCGACCTAACAATCCACTGATTCCTCTGACCGTGAACTTTACTGGTAAGCAGTGCATTCCGACAGCACTACAGCAAATAAAAGCGTGTCAGGTATAGAGGGACAAAATAACACGACAAAATAACCTTGCCAGACTCATACCGACTGTGGTTACAAGCGTATGATAGTAGAGTAGGTTGATATATCTCTTTTCCCATCTCCTTCCTCCCTCTATAGTCAGTTTCTTTATTGCTGAGAGTCATGTCTAGCTTCAAGTATTGATCCCTCGACGCACTCTGCTCTTCTCCCACAATTCTTCACCTTTCACGGAATATAGAGCTTTTTTGATTATATGATGTTCTCGTTTGAAGCTGATACAAAGCAATAGAAGATACTCGATACCCGAGAACGAGATGGTTACCTTAGCTCGACTAACGTTCATCCTTTCTGCTGCTTAGTAGAAATTTCTGCCAGCTCCTTCTAGATCGGCCTATTGATGCTATTATTGATGGGGAGTGACCTTGGGTTATCATAGTATTTTGTCTTGTATTCTGCAGTCATTTTGAATGCCACCAATGTGACTGCGACCTCGCGCCTTCACTAAAATAAAAATTATTAAGTACTTTTTTGATATATATATATTTATAAGTGGTTTTAAATAGTTGTGTTTTTTACACCGATTCGGATTGCAATGTGACCGTTGAGTTGAATCGGCAAGAAGGTTTGGTATTTTTAATAAAAAGAACACTATTAAATCAGTTATAACAACATATTTGAAAGGAATTTCAAGAAACCGTTTCAAGCAGCAACCAAAGATCCATTAGCTTATCTGATTTCTTATCTAATATCGTGTAAAAAATGGATTTACAGGTCGACCTTCGAGTGACAAAATCTCGCAACTGCTTCAACAAATGAATTCAAGAGGCGCCTCCGCTTTGGTCCTGACAGCCCTCGATGATATAGCCTGTGAGTGCACTTCTTAGGGTACCCTGTGATGGGCCAAACCAATATCAACTTAAATACAACTACTAAGCTCTTAGTTTAACACCGAGAGCATGGACATTATGCTCATAATGGCGCCGCATTTTTAAGCTATTGCATAGCTTTTCTCGCGGGCTTTGAGCGCGGTGACCGAATCAAGAAATTCCGTAACGAAAATAAAACCTAACACCCCACTCTGCCTACTATGTAGCTCGCGTTCAACACATTCACACGTTGTGCTTGTGTAGTGTTTGTGAATAAGCGCGCGACGTGACGTCGCACTGCATGCGCATTATGAAAATCGGCCAATCTCTCTCTCTCGCGCGATATAGCTTTTGAGTGTGAAGGGGACAGTTAATGTTTTGCTTGGGTTTATGTTTATAAACATAGCGTCGTCTTATTTTATTATTGTGTTAATATTAAAATTTAATTATTATTGTCTAATTATAAATGCATAAGTTGTTAAAAAATGTTATGCAATAGCTTTACCGTGGCAGTCACCGAGTGCCACACGTGTTTTTTTCTATTGTTTAATTAAGCAAACGGATTAGTAGTTACCGGTGTCCGGTACCGGTTTGGTGCTCACCCATACAAACCTTAATGATATTATGGAGGGTAAAAGTAAGGAGCGTCATCTTTTATATGGGACAAGTTAAAAAAGCGTCCACCTGTAAACAGCAATTTATTGTTGGAAGTCTCACGGAAATAGCGCTAGTGTAGCAAGTGGAAATTATATGAATATAGCAGTTTTCAACATAGTAAAGTGTGGTACTTTATGGCGCTGTTTTTTTAAATCCTTCCACTTGCTACTGTGGCGCCACCTTAATTGGCTCCCTTTCAGCGGACGCTTTTTAATACACTAAAATGGTCCTCTTTTCTTTTACCGTCTGTACACGATATTAAAAAGGCCAGTAACAAGCTCATACAACATGTTAAGCTAACCACACCGAGCCTATGATTGCTGAAATATTTTATTCAAAAAACAAAACGATCGGTCGTTTATCGCTTACCCTCAAGAGAAACAAAAATAACAGCCGCCATCTTTGCTCTTTTATAGACACACTAAATCTCCGTGGTACTGATATACCGTTTAATCCGGTGTTCTTTGCCTATTTGGTCATCAGAACGGATCTGGTAAGTACACAATACAACACAACACAACACAACACAACACAACACAACACAACACAACACAACACAACACAACACAACACAGCACAGCACAGCACAACACAATACAACACAACACAGCACAACACAACACAACACAATACAACACAATACAATACAAAAGAAAAACACCATAGCACTTACGTACACCAAAATAATGACAATGTATAGAGAAAGTAGACGAGCAAAAAAAAACCTAGTATATCGTTGTCTAGTTATCGGCAGTAAACACGTTTCCAAGGGCAGTTAATACTCTAGTATCGATCAATAGTAATCAATAGTACTGTGACAGCTAGAGCCATATCTTGGTCAATACATGAAACGGACAACACGATAACAACTAACGCCATCTAGTAATGAAAAACGAACATAGAACTCTTCGAAGCTGAAATTAGCCGATATTTTCTTTCTAAAGATCAATGAGCAGTAGTTATCGTCGAGTACTGTACCTTAAGTATAATTAAATTTGTCATTTACGTCACGTTTCTGTGTATAATAAAATTGAAGATATAGTAGTTATCCGTATTTTGATAAAATAACCTATAGACACAACCTGCTGAGTTTCTTACCAGATCTTTTCAATGGATCGCGATTCCGATCCGGTGATACATTCGACGCCTGCAAACGGTTTTACGTGCGACTATAGACGTTTCATATCAAAATATTATTATACACACTCTATTTTACTGACTTAGGTAGCGCCGAACAATATTATTCTGTTCTGGGGCAACGGAGTTCTGTCGTCAGACATATCACAGCACTTGGCTTCAGAGAACACCCAATTACAGGCAAGACCGTATGCAGAAATCTTCACGTATCTCGGTACGTTGGCGGTGAGTATCAGACCTGTTAGTGAAACCAGTTAATTTAACCGCGAATCCAGTTTAATTTTGAACGTTAATATTCTTACAAGCGTACTGCAGAGCGAGCCATCTGTCGGTCAAGGACGGCAGTAACAAATAGCGCGATAACGCCATCTAGTATGGAGATGAAGAGCTATCCCTAGTCGACTAAGCTTAACTAGTATTAGTTTTTAATAATAGCCGTTTTTTGTAATTTTAGAAATATTTATTGATGTCATTATTAACCGACTTCAAAAAAGGGGAAGTTACCGACTCGACTGTATTTTTTTCTTCGTTCAAAAGCGATCCAATTTACATGATCGCGTTTCATTTGAAAGCCGGTGTTTTTCTAAAACTTTCATATTTCTGTTGAACTTTATAAAGATCCGACCTGTGCTTTTGTGTTGTCCGTAACGGTGTATATTTGATTAGCTCACTACATTACTAGTACTAACGTTTATTAACCTAACCTAACAGGAGGTAATCTGAAGATCTATGAAACAGATATTTGAACCTAATATAGCTCTTTTTAAGGTTATTAATGTAAATTACAACGATGAATTGTGTGATTTTAATATAAAATAAATGATTATTATTTTTATAATGAGGGTACTATAAAATTTTGCATTGTGCTATTAAATTTGCAGTCCGAAGTATCCGGCAGGAGTATCTGGTTGTCCGATGACGCGAGCCACGCTGTCTATTCTGCGGTTGAAAGTGTATGTACACATTAAGTTGTTGTAAAGCTTTTTAAATATGTTGGAACGTTATGTCGCAAGGCTATTATTTGGTTATATAAGATTAGTTAAAGTTAACTGTGTTTCCTTAATGTTACGCATGTCAACAACTGTTTAAGACGATATTCAAGAGAATTCATAAGTAAGCTACTCACACTTTCTACTATAGATACGATTGACTATTGTCGCACAAAACATTCCGACTCGAGCAGCCGACCGAGGCGGAGCTCTCTGTTGTTATCGTTGTGCACTAGAAATGTATTAAATAGAATTTATCATCATTCATCAATAAGCGATATCATTTTAAAAACACCATAAAATGCCAAAAATAATACACTATATAAATATAGGAACGGAATGTGTGGATAAATTACTTATATAGAACATGACTGTGTGAAAGAGATAGGAGATGTCGTGTTAGAAAGTAAGAGAGACGGCGAATGTATGTTTGACTTATAGTTTTGAGAAGGAATGATGGTAGTTACCCGACAGAACGGAAAACAGACGTAGGGTAACTCTGAAGGTAAAAGACGTGTATACTTTGCTATAATAAAGATGGAATTAAAATCAATTTCGTGCGGAGAAATCAACCATTTTATTGGCTCGAATCGAATAAAGGATATAATATCGAATATTCTAGAATGATTGAACAATAATAAAAGTATTAATTGCGTTTTCTGTAAAATATTAAGAAAACAACATTTAATCTTGTGAAGTCTTTAAATTCATTTTTAAATTATTATTTTAAGCAGTCTTATTGAATTACTATGTAAAACTGAATTCCTCTTTTTTCCTAATGACAAACAGGTTAGTGAATCTGCCTAAGAAAAATCTGTTTTTAAAAACTAAGCAGTTTTAAAGACTTTACATGAATATAATTATGTATATTATGTTCACGTAAAACTACCATGATGAAAGAATAGCATCGTGTTTTTAAAAATACCGTCAATTTTCAGTAACTGATATAAATCGCCATTTTGTCCATTTTTTACGCGGAGTAGTTACGCTGGGTAATGTAACAACGGGTCATGCCAATGTCTGGTAGCCATTTAACACCAACACAGGTGTTAGCTTGGCCGCCTTTAAGAAAAATAAAGATGTTTTTGTCCAATGACACAGTTTTATGTTCATCCGGGGCGGTCTGCGGATGTTCGCGCGGGGCCGGTGACCCTGCTATTCAAATTGTCATACATTACGGTGTTTTCGATTATCAATGTAGTACATTGCTTTTTTTTTCAGGCCTCAAACGTTAACATTCAGTCTTCTGTATCTCCTGTAGCCTTGATGAAGGTTATCAAGAATGAAGTCGAATTGCAGGTATGATGACACCAGCTGACATTATCCACGTGATATCTCTAGGTTTGATAGAGGTTCCACATTCATCGACTCCCAAAGATTTTGTCTCTAACGTGTGACGTCATTTGAGATTAAAATAAGTACTAAATTAGACACTGAACCTTTTTTTTCGGGCAGGGGGCCGAACCTTCTGCGAGCTATTCGCGACTAGGTGGTACGCGAGGTATGTGGGACTTCAGTTTGAAAATCTTGGGAGCAGACCGCGGGCCTAAGGATATTTTAGACCCCTAACGCAAAGACTCTGAACGTTGTCTTAAGTGGTTACTTGGACATCAACAAAGTAAATTCCGCCACCTACTTTGAGACATGATGTCTAAGGCTCAACGGCTGCCCCAACCCTTCAAACCGAAACGCATTAGTGCTTCACGATATAAATTAGAAGGCTGGTGGTGCCATGCGGACTCACAAGAGGTCCTAGCACTAGTGAAATCGATCCATAGAACAAAACATCAATCAACCGATGCCCATTGCACCGGCTGAACACCGGCTGCACGCACGCAAAAGTATCACGTTCCGCCTGAGGCTGAGCGGGCGAGCGAGAGCGCGGAGCAAGCGATAGAGAGGCACGATCGGCCCAAGCGTTGGCTTGTGACATTCATCTCTCTGCTCGCGCGACGTCAGAACTAGCAGTTGGAATAGTTCCGCTACTGACATTATCACATTTTAGGGCTTCCGTAACGCACATGTCAAAGATGGCGTAGCTGTGGTAAGGGCGCTCTACTGGCTTCACCGGCAGTTGGACGCTGGAGCCGAGGTCACCGAGGTCGGCTTGGTAAACAAACTAGCAGAATACAGGAGGTGCGTTGTTCTTTAAGGCGAAAAGTTCTTCAGCGTCGTTGTGATTCGAAAGTCGATGAAACGAAAAAGCGACAGTAAAAAGAGACAGACGCATAAATTAATAAGATTTAACGTGGGAGGAAATGAGATAGGAAGCGTTATACAGTGTTCCTTATATTCGTGGTTCTCTTTGTTTTCTGCTACGTACCTAATATTCGTACTTAATACATCTATATATTAATACGTGAAGCAAAAACTTTGTATACCTTTTTTACGTAAATTGCGCGGACGGAGGAGTATGAAATTTTCCACACTTATAGAGAATATAGAGAAGAAGTGCACAATGCTAATATTTTTTTTAAATAATGCATAAAAGATACATTAAATCAATAAAGAAAACATTACACACACTACATACCATGTATTTGATGCACACACGCATACATACTATTTATTGTCAAACTTTTGCTCTTGACGTCTGTGGTCTTGAGAATAGATTAAATATTGTTTGTCTTTATTAATATTTTTTATAGTGTGTAGCCTTGGCGAAATTTGTGATTATAGAAGTATAAAATACAATAGAGTACAAACTTACAATGCCAATTAATTATAGTCGAATTTCGACTACTGCGGGACCTCTAGTTCTCAATAAATCTATCTAATATAATCGAATGCAATGTAAAATAATTATAAAACTTTGTATTACTTTGATTATTACGAAAACCTACAATTCCCATTTCATTTTCATTTACTTTTGCATTCATATTACATTTATTAACAATAACATTTCATGTAGAATATCAAAATTAAATAAAAACAATAACTACAATTTCGGAACAAAATAAATAAATTCTAGTGAAGAAACCGACTCCATGGGTCCTTCGTTTTCGACTATCGCCGGCGCCGGAGAGAATGGCGCGATAATACACTACAGTCCTCTGAGCGAGGGTCCTCAGAGAGTGATCACCAAGGATGACATGGTTCTGGTTGATTCAGGAGGGCAATACAAGTAGGACTTCTTTTTTTTTTCCTATATAAACTGGTAACCTTAGATTAGGACTATCCAAACTACATACCTTTGCGGGCCAATTAAATTGACTACAAAACTTGGAGGGTCGCAGAGAAAAATAATTTTAAAAAACAAAAATACTTTCCGGGAATCCTCCCAATAATAGTGAAAAATAGCTTCACTTTTAAATGATGTCATGAGAATGGAATGTTACAAGAACAAAGATAAATTGTAAATATCAAATATTGATTATTTTTTACTGCCGCTGTAGGTTTATTAGGCTGACTAGCATACGGCCCACCTGATAGTGAGTGGTTACCGTCGCTCATAGATGTTAACAATGCCATGGGCAGAGCCAAGCCGTTGCCCACCGCTTAATGTTTGTAATGATTATATGTGTTTGATTTTGGCACGTCAAAAGTGTCAACGAGCAACGTCCGCTGTGACACTTTTCCCTTTCAATTCTAGCCGCCAAGGGTGACATCGATTTCATATTTCATAAATTCAATCTTTAATTTGTCACATATGTATACGGCTCGAAGGACCATATGTTGCGTCGTGGTAAATGAGAGTGGACTGTATTTATTGGTTTTGATATATTTATTAGTCCTTATGTATCAGAGCTAGCAGTTCGAATAGTTTCGCTACTGAAGTTAACACGTAAAACTATTGTCCGTAAGCTGACTTTACAGACAACCAATTAATTTTCTTCTTATCACAGAGATGGTACTACCGACATCACCAGGACCCGGCACATGAACTCTTCTCCAACTCCTGAACAGCGTCGAGCGTTCACAAGGGTCATGAAGGGACAGATCGCTCTGGGAACTGCCGTCTTGCCAGCAGGCATATTGGTAAGACTCTATTGATAATACACATTTAATTAATAAAAATTACAAATACATACATAGCATTTAAAGGGTAAATATATTTAATATCGGCGTAATCCTGCTATTTTAAATATTATAAGACTCATTAGAATTAACTGTTTCCGCGATATTAAAATTGTTGGTTAATAAGTCCTAAAGCATGTCAACAATTGCTTAAGACGGTATTCAGGAAAATTAATGAACAAACTACCCTCACTGTTCTACTATAAATATGAGTGACTATTGTCGCACCACACATTCCGACTCGCGCAGCCGAACGGAGCGGAGCTTTCTGTTGTTGTCCTTGTACATTTGACATTCAATAGAAAGGATTGTTTGGAAAAGTAAGTATTAGTCATTGTCACTATGGAAGGCCGTGATAATGATGAAGAGAATGGCGTCAGCGACGATAGCTTCATCATTTTGTAAACGCCATGGAACCAGTCTAACGGTCATATACACATATTCACAATTACATATAATTCACACTTGAGAAAGTTATGGAAGTGTCCATTTATTATTTATTTTTATTGCTTAGATTGGTGGCCGAGCTCACAGCCCAGTTAGTGTTAAGTGGTTGCTGGAGCCCATAGACATCTGCAACGTAAATGCGCCACCCACCTTGAGGTATAAGTTCTAAAGGTCTCAAGTATAGTTATATTCTCAAGTATTTCAACATCCAGGGTCACACAATTGAGGTGCTGGCCCGCAAGGCGCTTTGGGACATCGGCCTCAACTATGGTCACGGGACGGGTCACGGCGTGGGACACTACCTCAACGTGCACGAGGCACCGGCCTGGATCCTCAGTGCAGTCTCGGTTGATGACCCTGGCATCAGACCAAACATGATATACAGTAATGGTATGTAAATCGAAAAGGAATCTATACGTTAATACGTGAAGCAAAATTTTTGTACCCCTTTTTACGAAAATTGCGCGGACTGAAGAGTATGAAATTTCCCACACTAATATAGAGGAGTGCAGAACGCTAATAGTTTTTTTTAAATTATGCAAAGTAAGTTACATTAAATCAATAAATAAAAACATAATACACACTAACATCTATTTGACACACACACGCATATCTACTCTTTTTTTATTGCTTATACTCTGGGTCAAATTGAGAATAGATTAAATATTGTTTGTCGTTAGTGTGGCCTTGGCGAAATATGTGATTAAAGAGGTTTAAGAGTCTTTGACAATAGAACCATAATAATGTACAAACTAAGCAATAAAAATTCAAAGAAGCAATAAAAAAAATAAAAAAAATTACTATAGTCGAATTTCGACTACGGCTGGACCACTAGTAAATGTTAAATGACTGACTGACTCGATGGTGCAGTAGTTTTGATTTTTTTATTGCTTAGATGGGTGGACGAGCTCACAGCCCACCTGACCGTGCATGATTTGTTCCCAATTATTATCATACCATACCTACTACCTACTAACTAGCTAACTACCATATTAGAGGAAAAACTGGTAGGTAGCGCACTCGACTATATATGAGTCGACTATTATCAAAGCCGGCAATGTGACTTTTGGACAATTATTGGTAAATCAGAAAAACGAATTATTGACTTTATATTCCATTGGCAGTCACAAAACTCTTCTGAACGACATCTTAGATAAATAACAGGTTAAGTATTAACCTTTATTTAATGCAGGTTTTGAACCGTATTCTTTGAAAGAGACGATTATATTCAAATCAATCTGTATTGACATATCAATAACATTTTTTTGTCCAAATGCACAGATTGCCACCTTTGATAATAGACGACTCATTTAACATTCCTACTTTTCGATTCTACTCCAGACAAATTGTCACAGTCGCAATTGATGCGATGTCTAGAACGAAATTAAACTAATGGTCTCTCATCAGAACCCGGGTACTACGAAGTAGGGGAGTACGGGATTCGCCACGAAGATCTTGTCCAGACTATCGAGATGAACAGCAGCGCTGATCATGTACTGGTACGTGAGCATTCGATGTACTGTAAACAAAATTGAGGTGCGCGACCATATAGTACCGACAATATACATTGCTGGTTGCTTTTTTTTATAAAAATTAAAAATAATTTCACATTATACTTTATTTGTGTGGTAATTTTCCACTTTGGTCAATTAATAGATAGATTATTGCAATTTCAATGAAAGGCCTCAGAAAATGCATGTAGCAGAGATGCGAATGTTGCGACGGATGTATGGAGTAACGAGAATGGATACAATACGGAATGAATATCTTAGAGGAAGCCTGAAAGTGGCATCTGTGACAGAATTGAAAAGTGCGCGTTTGGGATGGTATGGACATGTGATGAGACGAAATGAGAATGAGGTTGGTAAGAGATTGTTAACTATGAATGTGGAAGGATATAAAGGAAGAGGTAGACCTAAGAAGAAATTGCGTGAAAGACGATATGTCTAAGATGGGAGTGAGCGAAGAAATGGTATGATAGAGTATGGAAGGAGAAAACATGTTGCGCCGACCCCAGGTGACTGGGAGAAGGGCAGGAGAATGATGATTGCAATTTCGCAATTTGATTTTGCGCTGAACATACAGGTAAAATCTGGCGCGAATACTTTTTTTATTTTTTTTATTACTTAGATGGGCGGACGGGCAAACAGCCCACCTGGTGTTAAGTGGTTACTGGAGCTCATAGACATCTACAACGTAAATACGCCACCCATCTTGAGATATAAGTTCTAAGGTCTCAAGTATAGTTACAACAGCTGCCCCACCTTTCAAACCGAAACGCATTACTACTTCACGGCAGAAATAGGCAGGGAGGTGGTACCCACCCGCGCGAACTCACAAGATGTCCTACCACCTGTAATAAGATTGGTAATATCACCAGGCTGACGGCATTATCGGTGATTTTGACGGGAGAGGCGCCGTAGCGTTCTACACGATATCCCTGGCGCCTCATCAAACAGCGTGCCTTGATGTCAATCTACTAACCGATCTGGAGGTTAGTAAATACTCCTCTATTCTCGTTTGCAATTATCTGAACACATCTGATCACGTAATATAGTCTGTTTTGTTTTTAAGCTATTGCATAGCTTTTATCGCGGGCCTTGAGCGCGGCGACCGAATCATGAAATTCCGTGACGAAAAAACCTAACACCCCTCACTCTTCAACACATTCACGCGTTGCGCTTGTGTAGTGTTTGTGAATAAGCGAGTGGCGTGACGTCACACTGCATGCGCATCATGAAAAGTCTGCCCATCTCTCTCTCGCGCGGTCTAACTTATGAGTGTGAAGGGGACAGTTAATGTTTTGTTTTTGTTAATGATTATAAATATAGCGTTCTCTTATTTTTATATTTTTTTAATATTAAATTATCATTGTCTAATTATAATTGCATAAGTTGATAAAAAATGCTATGCAATAGCTTTACCGCGGCAGTTTCCGAGTGCCACACGTTTTTTTATATTACTTTTTATTAGCACCAATTATGGAGGGTAGAGGTAAGGAGAACCGTTTCTTAAGGGAGAAGCTTGAAAAAGTGTCCCACTTTCAGTATACTAAATAACAGTTCAAAAATCCTCCAGAATGGCGCTAGCATAGGCACAGGGTATGATATGAATTGAGCAACTGTCAACTGATTGAATTATGCTGAGTTAGGAAATTTAATATATTTAATGACTAGAGTAGTTAGTGACAGTGTAGTATACAAGACCTCACATGTTTACGTAGTCCAAACTAATTTCGTCAATATAACCTAAAATTATTGCTGAGGTAAACTGTGGAAAAACCCATTGTATTTTCTTAACAGCTTTAAATAAAATACTTTTTTGTTATAGTTCTTTCGTCCTTTTTTATTTCTCTATCTTATTCTAATAACTTTCAGCGGCTTTTTTAAAATTTACCCGATTGCTACTGTAGCGCCACCCTTATTTAGCAGATTTTAACGAACACTTTTCACACACAGAGACGGTTCTCCTTACCTCTACCCTCCATAGCACCAAACTTCGTTCAGTGTTTGACCTGCAAAATATATGTAATCTAGAAGCTAGAAGCGCCATTGTTTGGGTTTTAATGGGGTTTAATTAGGGTTCGATTGATTTAGAAATCACCAGTCCCAATCAAGTTGTTTCACCGATTCTGCTAATTCTCGGCTTAAATTGACAGGACTGATCCACATAGCCGTGGCGGTAACTCATATTTGCAATCTCTTTCAGATCAAGTACCTGAATAATTATCACGCCAGAGTGCTAACGACTTTAGGTCCTATATTGGAACAGCGAGGGTACAATGACGTTCTGGAGTGGCTTACAGACGAATGCGCGCCGATAACTAGGTCTAGTGCTCCTGCGAAGGTTGTAACGCCTCTTGTCCTGATCAGCGTTTTCGTAGCTTGGCTTGGATAGTTTGTAATTAATATATGTGTGGTGTAAAAATAAAATTTTCATATAAAGTACCGTTTTTTATTATTATTTTTATGGCACGATGACTTCCGAACAGTGGCCGGAAAGAAGTGGATGAGGGGAGCCGAAGACCGGCCTCAGTGATGTGGATTGGCAGAGGCCTATGTCCAGCAGTGGACGACTGTGGGCTGATGATGATGATGACGAATGCCAACTACACGGCGTCGTGAAGGATCGGGAGTTACACATTCTTATGGATCCATTAGATCCGATAACCTTTACATTAGACGCCTTCTAGTCTAACACTAGGAGCCGGCTTAGGGACCCCGGTAACCGTGCTCGTCGAACTCGATAAAAAGTTCGAGTGCAACCTAACCCACGCATCAAGCCCGCTGAGTTTCTCGCTGGATCTTCTCAGCGGGTCGGTTCATTCGCGAAACAGCTGCTCTTGAATTGTTAGGCGCTCGGGCAGCTGTTAGCAAATACCACCCCTCCTGGCTGAGCCTGCGCTCGCCTACCTGTCCTGGTAAAACTAGAGAGGCCCCCGGGCCACCAGTAAAGTTTCAATCATAAAAAGGATCGAGATCCAAACACTCGTAAAACATACAGGGAATATTGTATTTCTCTTAGATGCAGGATTGCTGCGAATTCGTGCCGGTAATTCCAAAGACACATTCATAGTTTATAAACATAAAACGACATTGAATTTAGTACTAATAATATTTTAATGACAAGAAATTCGATATGTCAAACTTCCGCGCAATTAATATGAATGAATTGCGTGGGTGACGTGTGACTACAGATATTACACTATAATAAGTGACATTGCGTATAAAATAGGCCGTTTTCCAATTACAGCACAAGAGCACAATTGGAAAACTACCATTAAGTAATGGTTAATTACAGAGCATAATGCGACTCAGTGACGCACTACGCCGAATTATGCTGAAGCTTAGTTGAGCATTATGCCGCATAATGCGCTCTTGTGCTGTAATTGGAAACCGGCCATTGTGTCCGTCGATAAACAAGATGGAGTGGCGCCACGGTAGCAAGCGGAGTAATTTCATAGATATCGGCAAAAATTGCTAAATTTAAATTTTCAATACTTCACGACGCTGAGCTGACAACTGCTACATTCCATCACTTGCTACTTTAGTTGTGATTTTTGCTTAAAATTGGACACTTTTTGTACTCGTCTTCCTTACAAGAGTGATCTCCTTACCTCTACCCTCAACTATGAAAGATCACGTGCGTCCGTTTTTCCCAAAAAAAAAAACTCAAGTTTTCTAAGCTGAGCATCAGTACATAGTAATTAAGCATTGCATTAGTGTGTGATTCATAAATATAATTTAATTGACAAATAATTCCTTTTTATATGCTCCTTGTAGATTTTTGTCTTGGAATCTCTTGCCTAAAATCCTTACATCACAAATATGTTATTATTTTTATGCCTTGATCACATAGATAATGCTTCAATGCATAAAACCGTTTTTTTTATATGTGGTAACATATCAACAATTTAATTCTTACCTCAAACCCTCAATATTAAGTTAGAATATTATAATAAAACTAGCGACCCGCCCTCGCTTCGCTTCGGAAACATTTAAACACACATGAAACCAAAAAAATTAAATAAAAATAAAATAAAAAAAAGTAGCCTATGTTTATCAGGGACAATGTCGGCTTCTAATGAAAAAAGAATTTTTCAAATCGGTCCAGTAGTTTCGGAGCCTATTCGAAATAAACAAACAAACAAATCTTTCCTCTTTATAATATTAGTATAGATTACAAAATAAAACACAGTGGATTGATTTAAATTAACATTTTACTTAGAACAGAATAGACTACATATTTTTTTGTGATCATTTTATTGCTTGTCGCGATAATGCTTGATGTTGACCAACACCCAGGCTGGGATGGCAGACCAGCCCACCACCATCAGGCCGGCGAGGAAGATCATCTCCTGCAAATCAAAATGATTGAAGCTGTACATCTCGGGACATAAGTTTGAAACTCTCATTTTCATAGCTATGGCAGTTTTAGGCAGAAATAGGCAATTAATGACCGTAATCTACTTTTTAATCAGTACCAATCTACTTTGATAGTATATAAAAACTTGGGTTAATGATAACAAGACTAATTCGAATAGAAACAAAGATTTAATTTTTTTTATTGTCTTTGAAGGTAGATACGGATACGGCCCACCTGATGGTAAGTGGCCACCGTCGCTCATGGACGTCAGCAATGCCAGGGGCAGAGCCAAGCTGCTGCCTACAATTAAGTACTTTCCGCAAGCCTAGTTTGAAAAAGGACATGTCATAGCGCTCGGAAAACACCGTGGAGGGGAGTTCATTCCAAATCCAGATGGTTAAATGAATAAAAAACTTGATAAAAACTGCAATTTAAAACAAACCTATAATTGAATTGAATATCAAAGTTAGTGAAAATAAATAGGTACATAATATTTAGAATATCTTTAGATCGCAGAAAAGCAACCACTAAGTACATTTAACGTTATTTGATTTTCTTAATTCAAGAAGAATACTACTAATTTTTATTCGAAAAAGACATCTTGCAATAATGGCATAGGTCAATATATTTTTCGAGTTTTTTTTTTATCTAGCATAACCTAAAATTTATAATTACGTAATGAAAGTTTTCGAACCTATCAATTTAGAATTTTTATTTTAATGTGTTAATTTTCTTTTATTTGCTATATCTTTATAAGAAAACAAAAAACTTAGATAAATAATTAATTGTAATAAATGACGACTTTGGTACGTACACCTCTGGAAACCTTGTTTCTTGGCGGAGTGCAGATAACGCTCATGTTCCTTTGTTGGGCGACATTCTTAAAGATTTGGTTGTTAGCGCGAAGTAAATTTCTAATTCCAAACATTTTGTTTTAGTATAATTATTCTTCGAAGTGTAGTCTCAAATATTTTTATGTAAAATTGACAATGAAAATCAATTAACTAGTGATTTAGAGATGTCGGTATTGCATTGGATTTGGCAGTTGATAGCTGATTAGTCGATTAATCGACTTAAAATCGATTTAGCTTCAACAAATTCCTATATTTTTTATTATCATTTTAACATTTATGTTATCAGACAAGTTCAAAAACTATTAGATTTGATATGATATTTTATATAGAGTATTTGATAAAATACCTGACAACTTTTTCAATCTTGAAGCTTTACCTTTATTAGATAGAGGTATCTAGTAATATAAAATTCTCATTTTCACTCTCACTTTGTACTCGCCATAGCTTATCTTAGAAATATTCCACTATGTTAGTACTGAAAAAATTTGTGATCTCGGCGTGATTACGAATCAAAATTACCCACTTCCAGATACAATATTAAGTTCAGTAGGTAGGTACCTATAAATTCTCAAAATTCTATGTATATGCATTGCTATTACCAGTATTTTTAGTACTATACCAAGAATTTACAAGACCGTATACAATAGGTTTCTCAGTAAACCTAACTTCATGCTACATAATCAGGAGCAATCACAGTCGATTGAAACAATGAAATTGAAAATAAAACTATTACCCATAACAGTAGCACCCTATTTACCCTTTGTATTGCTGTTCTCAATTCAATTTTTTCTCAATTCTTCTCAGTGGGTCGCGTTTCCGATCCGATGGTAGATTCTGCGAAGCACGGCTCTTGCTAGGGTTCGTGTTAGCAACGTCATCAGGTTTGAGCCCCGTGGGCTCACCTACTAGTTAAGGCGACGCTGATATAGCCTCTCAAGGCTATCAGCTTAGGTAGGAAGAAAAAAAAAAAAAACAATATTATGGTGTAGCATCCAAAATCACTATATTCAAATATACTGTTTTCCTTACCATTTTTTCGAGAAATAAAACACAAATATACACTTGTATTTCTTTATTATCAAATTAAAAAACTAACAAATCGTTTTAAAGCCATATTTGCTCTTGAAATATATCTGTATCGTAGGTCAAAATTCTAACCATTCGTTATGGTCTAGTTGCTTTCATATTATTTAAAACATTACTTTTTTTATCAAACAACTTTTATAAGTTTGGCAATACAGAACCCTACCACAGAAATGATGTAGATTTGTTTCTCTTCAATGTAGTTGTGGAAGCAATGAAGAACGTTGTATTGCAAGACTTAAAGAAACATGAGTTTAAGGTAGAAAAATATTTCTCGACCAACCAATAGTAGGTTTAAGTAAAAACCTCAGTGCTTCATAGAAATAATAAATTTTACGCAAAGTAAAACTGAACAGTGTCATTTGTAGAAAGATGTTTTCATTCTTTTACTGAGATACTTCCATCATCACTTGCGATGCATCTGAAAATAAATTTCATTAGTTTGCATTGTCATGTATTACTATTTTTAAGTATTTGTTTTTAGGTTACAGTCTAGAGAAAAAGTCTTTTGACAAATTTTCATACACAGTGTTGCCAACCAAAGATTCCTATGTATTAAAAAACTACCTCCTTCTCGAATCGGTCGCTTACTACTACGCATTGTGATGCGCTAACTTAGTACACGGCATATTCTTGTGATCTGTAGCTACTTATGTTGGGATAGTGAAGTATGTCGTATCGTATCCAGATTGTATGACATTTAATTTGATAACTCAAATTTTCAGGCTCCGAAACCTGGATCACTTCCCATCCACCTTGCCCGCCACTGTGAGTCTCTCAAAGTTATCATAGTTTTTTCTGGCTATGACTATGACTAATTATGACTAATGACTAATTTACTAAAACACTATATACATGCATTTGGTGGATATATATAAAATATTGATTTACAATAGATTTAGCTCCTTCTTATTGTTTGTAATAGTCCGAATAAGATTTTTTTCTAGTAAATGGGCAAACGAACTCCAAGACAGAAACCAGTCTGCCATTTTTTTGGGAAAATAAAAGTTTCCCCGAAAAATCGGGTAATTAATGGAACAACACAATTTTCGTTCCCCGAGTTTTTAGTAGAATTTCAAACACGTACCGCCGGAACCATCGTTAAACATAAACTCGTCCTGGTACTCCTTCAAAAACTGCTCAGAACGATGCTCGTCCAAGAACAGCGAGTAGACTTTTTTCACGTCTTCCATACTGACCTGGTATTTAGGAACAATAACATATCTCTCAACATTAGAATGTAAGTACAACACTACTTTAGAATTAATAAAAAAAAGAACACGACTGCGTTAATAATAATACTATAAACAAAATATACTTTTAGAGGCGAGCATTGATAAACAAACAAATCTAAAATATGGCAAATAATCCGACAGGCAGCGGCTTGGCTCTGCCTCTGAGCATTGCTGAAGTCCACGGGCGACGGTAATCACTCGTGGGTCGTACGCTCGTCTGCCTATTAGGGCAATAAAATAATAAATATATACTTGTAATTTAAACATAAGATTTTGATCTAATCGCTAACAAACATCACTGTTTCTCAGGACGACATCCACACATCGACTTTTATATACACTAACTGGTGCCCGGTGTGCTTCGCTTCTACCATACATACAAAATTTCAGATCAATTAGGCTTAAAGGTTCAAAAGATAACAATCATAACGGACAGCGCCATCTATCCGCCACTAACGTAACTATATCTGTCGGAGCGGTCATGTCGTCCTTTAAATATGTATAAAGTAACATATTAATTGGACTAACCTTAATCGAGTTTTTTTTATCCTACCTAGCTGAGAGCCTTGAGAGGCTATTTCAGCGTAACCTTAACTAGTAGGTGAGCTCACGGGCCTCAAACCTGACGACGTTGCTAACACGAATCCTAGCAAGAGCCGTGCTTCGCAGAATCTACCACCGGATCGGAAACGCGACCCATTGAGAAAATCCGGCGAGAAACTCAGNCGGATGCCTCAAGAACCGGTTCTAACCTCAGCCGCCTTCCGTCTCTTGGCGACGAGCGAAGCCGTAGTGATCAGCTGTATGGCATAACGCAATGACGTTTCTGTGGCGACCCGCGTCAGAACTGTCAAAGCGTCGGCTGACATCTGACAGTCCTCTTCTTCGCAACTGTCAAGGGAAAAACTAGAGATGTAGAAGCAATTACAGAGGTAACCTAATCGATAAAACATTTTATCTTTTTTACACTTCATGTATTCATCTATATTACTGGACTTAAATACATAAGGCTTTATCTACCAGTCAACCAAAAGTTGTGCAGATTAATTAATGGTGGGTGCATTGAAATATAAAAATAAACACAATAATAAATACACACTATAAAGTGTTAATATATGTATGGTTTTTTTATTTATTGCTTATATGTGAGGACGAGATCACATCCCACCTAGTGTTAATTGCCTACCTGTGCTGACTCACAAGAGGTTCTACCACCATACAATACTCAAAGAAACATAGTTACACATATATTATGCAGGTACCACCGTCCTACCTATTTCTACCGTGAAGCAGTAATGCGTTTCGATTTGAAGGGCTGGGCAGCCGTTGTAATTATACTGAGACCTCAGAACTTATATCTCAAACGTGGGTGACGCATTTACATTGTAGATGTCTATGGGCTCCAGTAACTACCTAATACCAGGTGGGCTGTGTGCTCGTCCACCCATTTAAGCAATAAAAAATATATAGAACTCACCGTATATTGAGTATGTCCTTGAGCTCACTCTGGGAGTATGGCGAGGTGGCCACGATGATCATCCGGTCGAGCAGGTCCAGCGGTATGCCGTGCGGGCTGCGGTAAGTGGTACCCCGTATCCGGGTGATCCCTCGATTCGTCGCCATGATCACGATGGGAGCGGTCTCCGATTCCAGCGCTCGATTGAGGAACGAGAAACACTCAATGTCCAGCATGTGAGCCTGGTGAGTTTGAAATAAGAAAGTTTCGATAGAGCCCGTGGACAGCAACTACTTATCTATTTCTAGAGTCTATTTCTGCCGTGAAGCAGTAATGCGTTTCGGTTTGAAGGGTGGAACAGCCGTTGTAACTATACTGAGACCTTAGAACTTATATCTCAAGTTGGGTGGCGCATTTACGTTGTAGATGTCTATGGACTCCAGTAACTTCTTAATACCAGGTGAGCTGTGAGCTCGTCCTCCCATCTAAGCAATAAAAAAATAAAATCTACATGAGGTTTCAGATGTACAGCGGAACGTCCGTTGGTCAGTGATAGAACTAAGCTGGGTTAAGTTACCATCGGAATGTCCCCTAACTTGCCTGGGTCTGGCTCGAGGAAGAGTATCATCTATGAGCTTCATAATTTTTTTACTGGTGGTAGGAAGTCGAGTCCGCATGGGTAGGTACCACTTCTCTGCCTATTTCAGCCGTGAAGCAGTAATGCGTTTCGGTTTGAAGGGCAGCCGTTGTACTGTTAAAAATGAGACCTTACAACTCGTATCTCAAAGTGGGTAACGGCATTTAAGTTTCAGATGTCTATGAACTCCTGTAACCACTTAACACCAGGTGGTCTGTAACCTCGTCCACCCATCTAAGCAATAGAAAACAACTCCATCCCCCTATAAAAATTACCACCCATTCTATGTTAGACAGAAAAAATATTACCTCATCAATGAATAGCACACCGGGAATCATTTCCGCTTTCCCCTCCTCTCTCCACTCAGCCACTTTACTGTTAATCTGCTCCCGAATCTCAGATTTAATCTCGCCCGTGTCACCTGAGAACACAAAGTCGATCCGTGGACATCAAAACTTTGGAGGTCTGGGGTCCGGTTAGTTTAGAGACCTTATCACTTGACCAGGTCGAATAACAGACTCTAGAGCTCCAGCCAGTACTGAAGGAGCGCTGATCTGGAGATCTGACAGTTCAAGGACTTGGCCTTTGAGTACATCTACTGGATCAGATCGGCAGGACCCAGCGAGAGACTCAGTTGACTGATGCTACGGTCTAAGACTGGATCCTTTATGTCTTTAAGGGTAAGGACAAAGGGAACATCTTCCACCGAGCAGGATTGATGCGTCTTACGATGTTCCGCCATCTCTCCCTGCTCGAGGTCATTCTACTGCACTCATTTAGGGAACCTCCCACTGCAGTTTTAATTTGGGCGTTCCACCACATTGGTGATCTCTGGAACTTGTATATATGCACACATATCTTGAAAATGTCGTTAGCGAGATTCAGGCATCTATCAGATAGCTACGGATCATTTAAGACAGGGGTTCCCAAACATATTTTGTCTACTGCCCACTTTGAGAATAAATTATTTTTAACGCCCCAATTTTTTCAACTACTTAAAAATCACTATAGCGAGAGCTCAGTCGGTATCTAAGGGTATCCTAGATGAAATTACTAATCGCCTCCCAAGCCTCTACACAACGCCCCTTTTTTTTTTCTGGGTCTCTTACCGCCCCCTTTAGGCCTGCAGCAACCAAAAGGGGGCGTTATCGCCCACTTTAAGAAAGGCTGATTTGAGAGATGTATGTCCCATTACCTTTTGCTCTAGATCAGGGGTGGGCAAATATTTTGATTAGTCGGGCCACATTGCAGATGAAAAATTGACCTCGGGCCAAACAGTTTTTTTTTCTAATTTTATATTGTGCGACTATTATACATACTGTAATTGTTCAATTATCATAATTATATTTTCGAATAGGAGGCGCTGAATAGAGCGGTTTTCCGGGAGAAAATTTTGGCTCCCACCGGCCCTGATAGTATGTATGTATCAGTATTGCTTAATATTTTATCTAAAAAAAATTATGCACCAATTTATGTTAGACAAAAACTAATACATATTTGTGTTTTTAATAATAATATAATAAAATACAATGCTTCACGGGCCAGACAAAATTCTACCGCCGCCATTTGCCCAGGCCTGCTCTAGATAGTTTATTAGATAGCATTAAGAGGTATCCGGACAACTGCTCCACCCTTCAACTTAAGAGGGCAGTCCTGCCGGTTCAATGCACACAGACTCACCTGAGAACAGTGCCAGAAAGCCGTGTGTCCTGGAGTTGATGACGTCCACCTCGTGCAGCGTCACCGTGTGCACCACCTCCTTGCGCTTCTGCAGCTCACCCTCGGGACATTGGACGAACCTGGCCTGCTGACCTGATGTATACAAATAATAATGTCATATACTATTTACTATTGTTACTCACTGGGGGTCAGGATAAAACAAAACTTCCACCGAAGAACTAAATTAAAGCTCTTTTAAGCACTTAGAATTCTTAAGGAACTGCTTCGCTTCGAGTAGATCCGATTACTAACTACCTCTCTGTTTTTTTGCCTACCTAAGCTGAGCGCCTTGAGAGGCTATATCAGCGTAACCTTAACTAGTAGGTGAGCTCACGGGGCTCAAACCTGACGATGTTGCTAACACGAACCCTAGCAAGAGTAGTGCTTCGCAGAATCTACCACCGGATCGGAAACGCGACCCACTGAGAAGATCCGACGAGAAACTCAGTGGGTTATGTCTGTGGGTTAATTTACTCTTCGAGCCCTTCGTCGCAAGCGATGGTGAACGGTGCTTGAGGTACCTAAAAGCACCGTTAATGGATCGGGAGGATCTGTAATGACGTGTTTAGGGTGACAACATCTCTACAACTATCGAAAACATTCCTGATGGGATCAGTCGTTTTGATAAGTGTTTCCGCAATTTGATAATAGATGGAGTTATACTTCTCGATCATTATCGATTTTACTATTTCTTTTAATGTTCATTTTTGCTATTCGACGATAGATGGCGTTTTTATTATCGGCGTAATAAGAACCTTGGTACAAGTGAAGATTTTCAAGTTGATCAAACATCTTAATAAATTTGAAAGAATCCGCTACATACAATTGATTTGTCAGATGTTTTTTTTATATATTTTTTGTGCAGGCATTTTACTATAGGCAGACGAGCATACGGCCTACTTGATGGGAAGCAGTTACCGTCACCCATGGACCTCAGCAATGTCAGGAGCAGAGCCAAGTCGCTGCCTACCGTATATCTAGTGTTTGTTTAAAGATAGGCTCCTTCCAAATCATTCCTTTCACATTGTCTTCGATACATTGGCAATTCAATATAGCTGCTCACCGGTAGCATCATAGTCTCTGGCTCTGGCAAAACTCCTGCCGAGCTTGTTTATTTTGCCTGTAGCCTTGTCTATGGTGATCACATCTCCGGCTTGAACCTGTCAACAAGAAAAACGTTCAGTAACTAATTCGGACCTAGCAAGCTAGAGTCTAGTCAGCAAGTATGTGGCTTATTTGGTATTAAATAGTTACTGGATCTCATCTACATCAACAAGGTGGTGAGGTTACTTGAACTAGGTTAACTAGGTTATATATTATATTATATACTATAACGAATACAGCTAAATCAGTCAAGCAGTTTTTAATCCACTGAGTTTCTCACCAGATCTTCTGAGTGAATCGCGATTCCGATCCGGTGTTAGATACAGCGAAGCACTGCTCTTGCTAAGGTTAGTATTAGAGTCCCGTGAGCTCACCTACTTGTTAGGTTACGTGAATATAGCCTCTCAAGGTTACCAGAGTAAGTAGGAAAAAAAAACATTCTGACCATATCTCTACCGAGCAATATCACCAGCTCAGTGGAAGATCTTCGCTTTGTCGATAAACCTTAGTACCAGACTACCATATATCAGACCTTCTCTTTAAGCAGCGAATCAATCATTTTGGCTCCCATGTCGTAGTTCGTTTCCATGTCGGTGGTCTTGAGGGTGAGACGGCCGACCCTGGCGCCGCCGCCCCCCGCCGCACGCTCCACTACCACCTCGACGACCTCCCCTTCAATTATCTCAGACTCCTCCCTGTGATTACGAATAATAAAATATCAATAAGGCAACGCTGGTACAAAAATCATATCGAAGGGTGAAAGTGGTCCACCGGTCATCGTTCTTCAGCCCACTGAGTTTCTCGCCGGATCTTCTCAGTAGGTAGCGATCCGGTGGTAGATTCTGAGAAGCTAGGCTCTTGCTAGGGTTCGTCTTAGCAACGTCATCACATTTGAGCCCTGTGAGCTAACCTACTCGCCCGGTGAGGCTGACATAACCTCTCAAAGCTATCAGATAAGGTAGGAAAGAAAAACACACACACACACACACATTAAAAGGACGTAACGACTAAACGACATAACTTTGAACGTCATTCTCAAGCAATAATGCGTTTCGCTTTGAAGGGTGGGGCCAGCCGTTGTTCTAAAGAACTCACGTCTCAAGATGACAATTACGTCATTGATGTCCACTGACCTCCATGGGCCGTGAGCATATTCACCCGTTTCAACGATGAAAAAATGAAATAAAAACCGTAAAAAAGTAATTTCGAATATACATACAATAATTCACATAGATTTAAGACATGAGTGGATGAAGGGGTTAAGTACAATTTTTAAGATTTTTGAGTTTTTACTTTGGATGATGGTGTTATGTGCCTATAAACCATATTAGATCTTAAAACGCCAGGTTTAAAGGTTATATTTAGAAATTGAGGAAGGAGTTGTGTACGAAGAAAAAGTACAAGTAAGAAACGTTTTCTCAAAATTAACAAATTGTATCATATCCCCCTCATCCACATATGTTTTCATGTATTACATGTTTACAATACAATACAATACAATACAATACAATACAAATTCTTAGTTAGTGCAATAGTAGTAGTAGTTAGTGGTATGTATAATGAACAATATAAAATTTTACTTACTTAATTCTAATACCTATAGACTTCCTGATGGCCTGCGTTAGAGCCTCAGTTTTACTCATTTCCAAAGAGAATATCTCCGAACCTGTCAAAGAGAAAACAATATAAATTTATTTCAATAAAATTAAATAGATATTTTTTACTCTACCCATTTGCTAGTTTCCTACGGAACTATTCAGCTGTACCCGGACGGTTTATGAGCTCATTGGCTCAGCCTGAGAGAATTTGCTAACAAGCAAGCAAATATGGCCAGGCTAATGGATGGGAATCGCGATCAGCTAAGAAGATCGGACGAGAAACTCACTGGGTTGTGTTTATGGATATATAAAAGTGAGAAACTAGGAGATATTCGTTGATGATTCTCTTTCAAAGCTAACCAACTTAGTACTTGTACAACCAAGTAACTTGAATCTCACGAAGAGAGCTGGAACCAAAGTTGACTGACCATTGGTAACAAAAATATTTGATTTACAGCAGAAGTTTTAGGTCATCACACTTGCAAATACGTTTATAAAGGAACAGTTAAAATTGTAACGTACAAATTATGCGGTTTGATTTGAAATGTAAATAACAAGTGTGCATTGAATTATGTATTTAGAACGTAATGCAACTTAAATTAAAGGCAAATAAACTAACGAAATAGATTGAGGATTGACTAAAAAAGATGCTGTAAAAGTTGTATTAAAAAAAAACATTCATGTGTAAATAATAAAAAAAGACAGCAGAATTGTTTCACTCACCAGCCATGCTCGTAAATGGTGTGTCCGGTCCCAGAGCTTGTGCTAGTCCCATAGCGATGGCAGTCTTCCCTGTACCAGGCTGACCGGCCAATAACACTGCTCGTCCCGCTATCTTACCTATAATTACAATATTGTAGATGTATGCGATCTAAATTCACCTGTTGACCGGGCTGCGCTTAACTGGCGCCCACAAGGTTCCACTCAGTTTTTTATTACTCTACACTGCTAATCTAAGCATTTTAGTGGAGTGATGAAAGTATATAACAAAAGGACATAACAGTACCATAGAAAACGAGTTCATAAACATAACTTTTTACTTCCTAGGCCGCAAACTTTTTAATTGAAAAAAAAATAGTTTGAAAATTTCTTGTTACCTAGCAACTGTATTGTTTGATCAAAAAGTTTCCTTTGGGTTACCTTCTCGAATCATCTGTAAGATGACTCCGGCGGCCTTCCTTGCCATCTTCTGGCCGACCATGCCCTGCGATACTTGTCTTGGCTCCAAAGAGTCATCTAAGCCCAGTCCTCTAATGTGGGAGTGCGCGCCAATTCTCTCGATGCGCGTTATAGAGCGCACTTCTTGTACTTGCGCCGCTGCTATTGACTAAAACGTACAGTGACTTTTTTATTCTGAAGGAAAATCCCACTAACAATTTTTGAGGTTATGATTTCGGTTTAAATACACACTATTTACGAATTATACATATAGCTCAGATACTTACAGCCATTTTCGTGGTATTTTAAACACTAGTGAGGTAGTTTTAATACTAATTAATCGTGTCTTGAATGTAATTTTCACAAAAACAAACGCGGCACTCTTGCGTGTTTGGTCTCCAAACAAATTTAACAAAACAGATTATACTACGTTAATGACATGACACTGACATTTGATTCGTCGTATACTTGATGGTCGCGACTGACAGCTGTCACCGAATGTATTTTTTCCATAGACCTATATAGTAGGGACACGACATATTGTTTTATACGTACAATTGCTTATATAAATAGCACCCATTTTGAAGGCACATACATAAACATATATCTATCTCGTTCTTACTCAGCACTTTAACTCGCAGGAAAACAATATAACAGTATTTCAGTGCGTACATAAAATGAAACATGAATATACGTAAATATCTCCGTCTCCGTCTAATGAGGCCGAAAATCCGCCATGTTTAGCGCGCCAAATGTCATTGTCACGTCAGTTCGGCCGTCTGTTTTGGGTTGTACATTATTTATTGACTTTGATATCGATTTAATATGATTGATTATATAAAATTTCATAATTTATCATGCTTAAAACATACAAAAATAATAATTAAAACGTATTTTATAGGATCTCAAGAAAGTCGATGCCCTAAAACTATTATCTATATGTATTTAAATTCATTATGGAGCCCTCATCCGAAAAATCCATTTTTCGGTCGGAATCTATTGATCATGACACTAATCATAAATACCACTTTAAAATATGTCATCAAAACATATTTAGACATTCTGTTTAGATATTTCGGGAAAAAGGCTACCGACAAAATCTCTTCGGAACTATTTAAATAAAATAGTTTTATTCCGCAGTGAGTAAAACACTATTGTAAATTTGTTAAATATTTAATAATTAAGTGATTTTAGAGAGGAAGTCACAAGGAATGACGTTTGTAATTAATGAATAAATGTTCTGTAGGTGTTTTTTTTTTCACGCGGTCCCTTGATAAGTTTAAAATTTGAATCACTCTCAAGCGAAAGTGATTCAAATGGTGCGGCGCACCTTCCTTGGGGTGCGCTGCGGTAGTATGTTACGGACTTTAGAGTCAGCAAAACAATTAAAATAGATTGTAATAGTCTAAGAAAAACACGTACTCAAAATACGATAACATTTAGCATGCTAGAAATGGGCTGATGGCTTTGAACTACGCCATATCTTTATGTTTTGCGACAAACGACAACTTTATAAAATCAGTGTAGCAACTTTTAAAAATCATCATATCGTTTACTTGGCAAATTCGAAGGACGAACTTGTCTTAGATTTCACCCATCTAAATCATATCATATTTGCACATAACAATATACCTACTTACTTCCCATTAAAGTATAAATTCTACAAATAAATAATACTCAACAATATTTAAAATAAAATGAGCCAAGAACGTTTATCGATAAAACCTGATAACATTGAAATCTTTTGTACAGCACTAAAGCCGCCATGTTTTGTGGCCAGATGACGTCACAGTGGCACGAAATTTTTGTTGACGTTTCATTTCCATAGGTTTCCTACTTCATTGATTTTTTCGTTAAGTTTCGATGTTAGATAGTTTTTTAGTTAGTTCGTCGTGCCACCTAACCCATGCGTCAGCCCGCTGAGTTTCTCGGCGAATCTTCTCAGTGGGTTGCGATTCCGATCTGGTAATAGATTTATTCGTAAAGCAGCTGCTTTTGGGTTATTAGGTCTCCTTTGGAGGTGCTCGGGAACAAATCCTAGCCCTCCTGGCTGATCCTTTGTTCAACCATCTGTCTTGGTGAAATTGGAAAAGTCTCCGGGCCACCAGTAATCCCTCATTAATAAAAAAATTATCTCCAAAGACTTTCTTGGTATTTTTAAACAGAATAACTCTAATAGCCTTTTCAAACACAATAGACATAACCAAGAGAACATCATTTCACTATGAATTTAAGATAAGATTTTCATAAACAGTTTGTAATATTGTTTTTTTTAAGCACCGAAACATTGTAGGACCATCCCTAATCAAACCAGCTCTCACTTTCATACGGCCACGGTTTTCTCTATATATTTTTTATATTTCGTTAGCTGTACGACCTTATAGCTAGACTATTAAGTTACCAGAGTGCATATAAATCACAGCGGCTGAAGTCTCGTTTTCGAAGAATTCGATCCCAATTGATTACAGTCACAAATAAATCAACTTCATTTCATTTTCCTTCACGTCAATTTCATATAACATATAACATTTCATATAACAGTTTTTTTTTGTATCATGTTGCTACCGGTCAGAAAATTAGAGCGAAGTTATAAATTTATTGCACTATCATCGATCCTGGATGCGCGTACGAATTCACCAAGTTAATTGGATGTCGTGAAGTCGATGAAAATGACGTTTAAAGATTCCGCCACATACAAACAAACATAAGGCCTAGCCTAAGGGGCTATTCCAACTTCACGCGGACGTGTAGGTGAGCTCACAGGCTCAACCTGAGAGAATTGTTAACACAGCCCTAGCAAGAGCAGTGCATCGCTGAATCTACCACCGGATCTGAATCGCGGCCCATTGAGAAGATTCGGCGAGAAACTCAATTGGGTTGTGTATAAAAAAAATTCTACCTTTTTTTTATTGCTTAGATGGGGTGGACGAGCTCACAGCCCACCTGGTGTTAAGTGGTTACTGGAGCCCATAGACATCTACAACGTAAACGCACCACCCACCTTGAGATATAAGTTCTAAAGTCTCAGTATAGTTACAACGGCTGCCCCACCCTTCCAACTGGAACGCATTACTGCTTCACGGCAGAAATAGGCAGGGCGGTAGTATATACCCGTGCGGACTCACAAGAGGTCCTACCACCATGAGAGGTCCTACCTATGCTGATAGCCTTGAGAGGCTATTTTCAGCTTCTCCTTGACGTGGTGAGCTCACGGAGCTTAAACCGGGAGTGTTGCTAACATTGGCCCTAGCAAGAACGTTGCTCGCAGAATCTACCACCGCATCGGAAACGCGACCCAGTTAGAAGATCCGGCGAGAAACTCAGTGGGCTGTGTCTAAGGGTTAATTTACTCGTTCGAAGGGTTCGACGATAACGATGACCGGGGGTTGTGTCTATGGGCTAATTCGCACGTCGAACTATTCGCCGGAATCGACGAATTCGAAAAGCACGGTAAACCGGTGCTTGAAGAGCCTCTCGTTGGTGTAATAAATAAATGAAATGTTTTTCGATTAGGTTACTTTAAATATTAAATCACACATCGAATAGAGAAAATAGCGGAGGAAAAAAGAAATTAGTCGTAAAAAAATATTCACATAAGATCCGAATAACAACAATATATACATACATATTTAAATAAATATAAAATATGGTATTGACCTATAATTGTGTCATAGACCTTGAATCCTTTTTGTTTTAGGTCTAACGCTAAACACATTCTGTTGAACTCCACATTCCACAATTATATTTTTTTTGCTTGCTAATTTGAGTGCTCGGGGATGCATCCCTACTGCTCTAGTTATCTTGAAAAGGACTATGTACAGCCACAAACACGCCGTCGCGGCGTCGGGGTTACCACGGGCTTGTTAGGTAAAATAAAAAAAAAATAGTCTAAAAGTGAGGGAAAGTACCAAAAGGAGATTTTAACTTATCAACAAAAACGGAACGACAGGAGCTATGTCGATTATTGATTTTGTTGATTTAATTATTTTTTAGGACATAAACGTGTATTATTATTTGTTGATTAGCCTGTTTTTTTTTTAAATAAATTGCGTTCTGACTTTGGAACTAACTATTAATGTTCTATAACATTGCAAGATTGCATATTGCAAGATAGATTGCAACTTCAAAATTTGATAAGTATCTCCTTCACGAAGTAATCCTGAAGAGTATAGTGGTTGTAAGCTCTTCAACGACTGATTCGGTAGTAGAGTGGTAATCTGACTGCAGGACCGAGAGTCGTGGCTTCGATTTACGGATATAGGCAAATATTCGTGTGATATACAGGTTTCTTTGCTCTTATTCATTCTCCTGCCCTTCTCCCAGTAACCCAGGGTCGGAGCAACATGTTTCCTTCTTCCATACTCCTCAAACATATACCATTTCTTCGCTCACTCCCCTCTTACACATATCGTATTTCACGCAATCCATCCATTTCTACCACTATCGATTTCTACGTCTACCTCTTCCTCTATATCCTTCCACATTCACAATTAACAATCTCTTACCAACCTAATTTTCATATTATCGTCTCATCACATATCCATACCATCCCAAACGCGCACTTCTCAATTTCTCTGTCACAGGTGCCACTTTCAGGCTTCCTCTTCCTCTAACAGGTTTGTTTGCTCTTTGTCACATCTATATATTTGAACTATATACGTTCAGTGTGTAAGCCAGTTCCCATAGTCCAGGGAGTCCAGTTCTCTCATCATGCTGCATAGGGACAGGTCATGAGTCGTACGACCGGCCACCTTGCTGACTTCATCCTCACTCGGGCTATATCTCTAGTAGTAAATCCGTCGGAACGTGCCATAGTAACTTTTTTGTTTCTACTTTCGACGCCTCTTTTAATGTTCGTTTTTGGTCAAATATGTGCCTATTGTTATTATAAAAATTTATATGAAAATTAAAATTTTCGAATACAATAAAAAAGAATAATAAAAGAGATTTTATTATTTGTCGTTCTAGATTTTCCTATCCACGTATCATACCTGCAATGATTGCAAAAATTGCGTGCTGCTTAAATGCAACATCTTTGAAAAAAAAAAGAAAAAAGTTGATACAGACTCAAAAAAAATCGAAATAAAAACACACAAAAAAAAAACGTTCCATAGTACCCCTACAAAACCTACCCCATTAACAGGGGGGTGGCAAAACATTAACAATCGCACTCTTCATCCATTCTGCGTCTCTCTCACTCGGGTGCAAGCTTGTATCGATCCGTCACGTTCTAAGGGTGAAAAATATTTCGGTCACGGTCTAGCAAAATCGATTTTCCCGTGTTTCCACGGAGTGTCACTTATGATGTGCCTGTAGGAAGCCGCGTCCACGATCCAGCACGTAAATACCAAACAAGTTCCGTTAGAAATTGAAAAATAACAACAAATATTTTTATCTTAGAGATTTTATTGTGGCTGTATACGTTTTAATAGAAAAATATTCGTAGAAAAAGGGCGTGAACGTTCATCGGATCGAGGAAGAGGTGAGCGCTAAATTTAACGAATAAGATTTTTTTTATTCACTTCGAAAACTCTGGTACGAAATAATTTAACAATATGCTGATATACAGCATTTTACGTCCTATGGCATCTGGCCAGTCAAAAAAATCAATTTAATGCCACATTTAAAAACGTGTTTTTATTATCTGTGGCGTTTATTTTAAATAATTTTACATTAGCTGATATTTCCACTATATTTAAAATGTAAATAATATTTATGTTATGATTATAAATAAATGCATTTTTGCGTTTTTTAATTGTATTTATGCCCATTATTTATGTTTATAGACATAATTTAACACGCGCCCATTCGATGTTTGCCTCATCTCTACGGTATTACTTCAAAATATCTGACAAAGAAACTATTAATACGGTTTTATTTTTTTAGTTAGTAATTAGTAATGAAATAAACTCTTAGAAATAAACAATTATCCCGCGTTTGATTCGAAACTCAGTTCAAATCGGTGCCGCCATTATCATAGATGCCATTATTGGAACCGGCGTCAACAAACGCAGTGGGGAAACTGTTGTTTCGTATAATGATATTTGGCGTTTTCGCGTTGATTTTTGTTTGTTTATTTTGTTTAAATTTGCGGCCATTACGTTTTCATTTAATTATGTGAGAGACTAACTCGGATTATTGCAAAATGACAGCAGATCTGCTCACAGCAAAAAATGCTATTTTCAACAGGCTTTTATTAGCTTCATACGTATACATGTTACGGAAACTTTGAACATGATTTTGCCACTCTTCAAAACGTCTGATTGATTCGAAATTTGGCATACTTATCAAGGACCAATGACAATTTAATATGATACACAGTTAGACCCGTGATCCTTATTAGGATAATCAAGATTAGCGATTTTTTGTTGGGACTATCTCCCAATTTTAGCAGCTCTAACGAAGCGTAGGTAGTTCAACCGCTGTACAAGTTAATAAATACATAACATGTTGACGTTTAATTGTAACATTATATTTACTAAATAATAGTTTCAAAAAAACAAAAAAAACACGCTTTTGCAGAAAATCCAACAAAAAAATTGCAAATAAATTTAGTGTAAAAAAAAATTTTTTTTCTCAATTTTTTAGTTCGATTTTCTATAAAATCGTTTAAGATTTTTTTGTTTCCAATTTCCACGACTTCTAGATATAATTGAAGTTATATTTACGGCTTAAACTAATGTTTTTTTAAAATTTCAAAAAGCTAAAGAGAATAAACGAAAAAAAAAAATGCAACTTCCGATGAGTTCAAATGGAACGGAAATTGGTTTCCAACGAGTTCGGAAATCGTTTTGCCTTTTCTATTGGGATGATTAAGCGCAGACATAGTCCACGGTGATCTTACAGCGGATAAAAACACGATTCGTATTAAAATTTTGACAATTTCTATACGATATCCTTTGAAAACTATATACGGTTAAAACTTTAAGAGTACTATTTCCGTGTATTAAAAATTTTCCACTCATAGGAACTTACTGGTGGTACAATTGTTTAATTCATTCAAAGACAATTTAATGGTAGTTAAGATTGACTACCACGGTGAAGGAATAACATCATGTAATAAAATCAAACCCACAAAATTATAATTTGCGTAATTTCTGGTAGTAGGACCTCCTGTGAGTCCGCACGGGTAGGAACCACCACCCCGCCTATTTCTGCCGTGAAGCAGTAATGCGTTTCTGTTTGAAGGGCGGGGCAGCCTGACAGTTAGAACTCATGTCTCAAGGTGGGTGCCGGAATTTACGCTGTAGATGCCCATGGGCTCTGGTAACCACTTAACACCAGGGCTTTGAGTTATTCCACCTATCTAAGCAAGACAAAGTAACACAAAAAAAAGAAGAAGTCAATTAAGGTGGCGCCGTAGTAACAAGTGGAAGCATTTTAAAAAAAACAACGCCTTATACTACCACACTTCATTTTAATCCGGCACACTTCACTCTATTTTAAACTGCTATATTCACATCATTTCCACTTGCTACACTAGCGCTATTTCGCTGTGAGTCTTCCAATAACAACTCGCTATATTAAAACACTTTTCAACTTGTCCCCCCCTATGCAAGATGGTGCTCCATACCTCTATCTTCCATATTGAAAACGTATATTACCGAACGCTATCCATGATGTAGACGAAAATTGCGTTGATAATAACTATAAAAACTCGTTTTATTATCCGCTATTAAGCGTGCTATAAAGCGTGAAATAAAAGTACGCTTTATAGTCCGCTATTTAAGCGTGTTATTAACAAACGCGCAGACCATTATCTATATATTAATACGTGAAGCAAAAACTTTGTATCCCTTTTTACGAAAATTGCGCGGACGGAGGAGTATGAAATTTTCCACACTTATAGAGAATATAGAGAAGAAGTGCACAATGCTAATAATTCTTTAAAATAATGCATAAAAGATACACTAAATCAATAAAGAAAACATTACACACACCACATACCATGTATTTGACGCACACACGCATGCATAGGTACTACACTCGCGAGCAAAAGTTTGGAATCACTTACTTGAAATTGGTTCCGCGCGATCTTGTGTACTAAATATTTTTTTGATAATCATAAAAATGAAATCATTTTAAAGGTTGAACTCTTAACTTTAAACTGATACCAAATACATTAAAATCAAGCCAATATTTAAGAAGCTATCTTGGATTAAGTGAAGGAATAACGAAAAGGACGTGTTTCAATTGCTTGAACGTCGCGAGTTGCGCCCTATAAAAGCACCTGTTATCGGATTTTCTTTATCAGTCAACTTTCACACGTTGGCCGGTACATATCTCCGCTACTTTTGACCCTTTACCTTGTACGACAATTGAGAAAACACCTACAGAAGTAGCACAAATCGTAGCCCTATTGCAAGAAGAGCTCAGCCAGCGGGTTGTCGCTCGTCGGCTCCAAATAAGCCAGTCCTGTGTTTCAAAAGTTTGCAAGCGCTTTCAGGAGACTGCTAGCTTTATCCCGAGACCAAGATCTGGACGTCGCCGGTCTACATCGGAGAGGAATGACCGTTTTATCGTGTCAAGCTCTCTCCGAAATCGGCATTAACCTGGTGTCGACGTCCAACAGGAGCTCCGAGATGTTCGTAGGGTAGCCAGCAAGTAGACAGTTCGTCGATGACTCAAGCAAGCGAATCTGACTCCAAAAAGGCCTGTCACAGGCCCGAAACTCACGGTAGCTCACCGACAAGCACGCCTTCAATTTGCTCGTACCCATCTTAATTGAGAGGTTGAGCAATGGAGGCAAATCCTGTTCTCCAACGAGAGCAGGATGTGTTTGCACGGTAGCGACCGAAGAGGTTGGGTCTACAGGCGGCCTGGGGAGCAATTTGCGCAGTGCTGTTTCGCTGAAACAGTGGCTTATGGGGGCGGCCCTTGTATGATGTGGGCCGGCATTTCCTTCGACGGTAAAACCGAGCTTGTTTTCGTGCCTGATGGGGGACGAGGAGGCGATCTAACTTCGGACCGGTACATTTCCAATATTCTGCTGGAACATGTCGTTCCCTATGCGGGATACACCGGTGATGAGTTCCTCCTTATGCACGATAACGCTCGTTGTTACACTGCCCGTGTAACAACTGAATACCTCGAAGAAGTCGATATCGCCACATTGAACTGGCCTGCGCTCAGCCCTGACTTGAATCCTATTGAGCACGTGTGGGATGAACTGAAGAGAATGGGTTCGTTCCAGAACTTCTGCTCCTTCATGCCTGAATGAGCTGAAATCGGCGTTGATTGAGAAGTGGGAAGGTATCCCACAAGAATCAATTCAAAAGCTGATCAGGTCTATGAAGAATCGTCTTCGAGAAGTTATTAGGGCAAGGGAAGGGAACACATGGTACTGACATTTAATTTTAAGGCTAAACAAAATTTTTATTTATTAATTTTTGTTGTTTTATTCATTCATTATTTTTCCATATTTCCTTGTTTTCCTACCTCCTTCACTTAGTCCGGAATAGAACCAATTTCAAGTAAGTGATTCCAAACTTTTGCTCGCGTGTATATTTATTGTCAAACTTTTGTTCTTGACGTCTGGTCAAATTGAGAATAGATTAAATATTGTTTGTCTTTTTTTGTTGTTCTTTATTATTAAAATAAATAAATATATTTTTTCCGTCTTAAATCGATCAGGATTCTAAGTTGATTATGACTATCGTATCACCCTTGATACACGTGCCACTTTTCAAGTTGATCGGATAATTTGAAGTCGGTGAAAATTACGTTCATAAAACCCTGTGCGTAGATATTTTTTTTGCTTAGATTGGTGGACCAGCTCACAGTTCACCTGGTGTTAAGTGGTTACTGGAGCTCATAGGCATCTACAACGTAAATGCGCCACCCACCTTGAGATATAAATTCTAAGGTCTCAGTATAGTTACAACGGCTGCCCCACCCTTCAAACAGATACGCATTACTGCTTCATGGCAGAAATAGGCAGGGTGGTGCTACCTACCCGTGCGGACTCACAAGAGGTCCTACCACCAGTAATTACGCAAATTGTAATTTTGCGAGCTTGATTTTTATTGCACGTTATGTTACTCCTTCACACCGTGGAAGTCAATCGTGAACATTTGTTAAGTACGTATTTCATTAGAAAAATATAGCCGTAGCGTATATAGCCTATTACTATAACTGCTCGGATTATATAAATGAAACTAATAAAAACATGTTCATAATTAATCGTGTAAAAAAAGAAGCGAATTAGTTATTTTAATATCAAGCAAAGAAAAATGATTGAGCAGCAAAAAAGATTTGCCGTTGGGAGTGAGAAAGCGCTATCAATGACTGCCTACGACGATTGGTCTAAAACAGTTGTTGTCCTTATCTCACTGCTGTCGTCACATGTGGGTTGTTTGTAAGTCCATGTGGAGGCGATTTATATTGGTAATGGACTGCTACCGAAATTGTACCGCGAACCGAATACCTGTGACCATTTTCTCGACATTGATCGTGGCATTTTAGTTGTGGCCCACGGACTCTTTTTTTTATTGCCCTTGTAGGTAGACGAGCATACGGCCCACTTGATGGTGAGTGGTTACCGTCGCCCATGAACTTCAGCAATGCCAGGGGCAGAGCCAAGCCGCTGCCTACTGTTTAATACTCTCCACAAGTCTCGTTTGAAGAAGGACATGTCATAGCGCTCGGGAAACACCGTGGAGGGGAGCTCATTCCATAGCCGGATGGTACGTGGCAAGAAATACCTCTGGAATCGCACTGTGGATGACCGCAGTGGCTTCAGGTAGTATGGATAAACTCTACTCCGGTGGCGGGCGGTGCGATGGTAAAAACGAGATGACGGTATCATCTCGAAAAATTCCTCAGAGGACTCCCTATGGAACATACACTCGAGTGACCACTTAAAGTCCTGGTCAATCTCGAACGAGAAAAGTCAACCACAAATCCATTTTTCTCTTGTGCACACTTCAAAGCTCGTCTCGTGAAATGAAAGGCCCACCCCGTTTTCTCTATAGGGCACCGGGGAAGTGCTTTGGAAAGCTCTGAAAACACAATGACACATTTATTTCACGGCACGCAGGGGTGTTCGTTCATAGTTACTCGCGGCTTTTCAAGCTCTCAATGAGGGGATGCGCGCGCTTTTTCAAAGGCACCCCACAATAACGCCTGGATGAGTATTTTTAACAAGACAAATGTTTCAGTTCGTCGGCTCTAAAACTTTTTCCTGTTCGGTGATAGGATAGGACACGATCTCAAGCATAAATTCGGTGTAGTCTATTGCAGCGCCTCTCAAAGTTTTATATTATTAAGAAATAGACTGTTTTTTTTTTAGTTCTTGTAGGAAGACGAGCGAGAGAATCGATACATTCGAGAATGTTCTAGACTCTTCTAGGTCATTTCAAAATAGAGTTTGTTCAGTGACGAAAATATTCTAGAACATTCAAGAAATGTTCTTATTATTTCGTTATCCGTTTACGTCGACAGATGGCGTTACTCGTATCGGCTCAACAATAGTATGGAGGGTAGAAGTAAGAAGCACCATCTTGTTTAGGTGATAAGTTGAAAAAGTGTCTACCTGTAAACAGAAAGTTATTGTTGGAAAAATCACCGAAATAGCGCTAGTGTATGAAGTGAAAATGATATGAATATCAGGGCCCTGTAACTGCGATACTATAAGACAAATATTTTTTGTATGGAAACTAGCGACATCTTGTAGCAGATGCCCCTAAACCTATATGCTGTTAAAGTTAAGGCAATTAATTATTGTATAACTAAACACAGAAAAAAAAACATACAAGTCTTTATTTGTTGAAGAAAATTTACAATATCCTTTTTTTTAAATAAAATATAGGATAGGTAATATATTACTGCTATCTACAGGAGCAATGAGAAACTAATCGAAGTGAAGCCATCTAGTAGCCGACGCCCGTAAACATTTTTGTTGAGTGCTTGAGTTACTTATCTATAACTCATTTATGTGTATTATCTATGATGAATATAGCAGTTTTAAACAGACTGAAGTGTGATGGATTGCAGTGCAGTGTGCTGGTTAATGGCGCTGATTTTAAATCCTTCCACTTGCTACGGTGGCGCCACCATAATTATGTCTCTTTCAGCGAACACTTTTTAATACACTTTAAACTTAATACACCAAGATGATGCTCCTTACTTCTACCCTCCATAAGCAATAGTCTTTAAGGTTTCATATATCTGATGAGAATTTCAATTCCAGGTCGTATCCGTTATGACGTTGCGGCGGTGAGATGGAAGGTATTCCGATGGAGCCAATAGGCAAATACAAAGCCGACAGGAACGGTTCAGCGAAAGGTGACTATGAAGAAGTGTTTAGGAGATACTGAGTAGGTGGTGCGGACCGGAGGCGTGGTGTCGGAAGGCTAAGCGAAGTGAGGAGACTCGGACGTACCCTCGCCTTAGTCAAAATTAAATAATAAGTCTACTGAGCTACCTGCCTACTCAGTTTCTCGCCGAATCTTCTCAGTGGGTCGCGACTCCGATCCGGTGGTAGATTTAGCGAAGCACTGCTCTTGCTAGGGCTAGTGTTAGCCAATTCGCTCAGGTTGAGCCCGTGAGCTCACCTGCCGGTCCGCGCGTAGCTGGAATCGATGGTTATCGAAAAAATATATATATTACAAAATATCAACTAAAAAGAGTCTGTAGGCAGCGGCTTGGCTCTGCCCCTGGCATTGCTGACGTCCATGAGTGACGGTAACCACTCACCATCAGGTGGGCCGTATGCTCGTCTGCCTATAGGGCAGGCAATAAAAAAAAAACAAGTAAGCCGACTTCAAATAAACTAAAACTAAACTAAAATTATTAACATAACATCATCAATGTAATCGAAGTCAATTAAATCTAACACAAAAACTATCAGTCGGATCTTGATTTAACATAAATGAGATCACATGGAACGTACCAGCTTTTAATTAAATCAAGAATCATCGAAATAGGGTAATCTAGACCAAAAGCTCAGAAAAAAAAACTTTATCGAATTGAAAAAAATCCTATCTGTTTGTGGTCGGTTTTAATTTAAAAAAAACTATTACTTATTTTCAGCAGCGGCCTGGCGTAATATGGTCGATCAAGATCTGGATGACGTGGCATTTCTAGCTGGTAAGTATTGATTAGTCCAGGCCGGATTTAAGGTTGTTTTCAGGTGGGTCAAAAGTAAGGAAACCATCTTATACGGGAGACGAATTGCAAGAGCGTTTGCCACGTGTGCTCCCCTGGGGGAATTGCTCGAGTTGAAGCCTCCATTTAGTATTCCCCAGGGCAACGCCCGCCACTCCATTCCATCGAGAGTGCGTTTCCAGTGATATTTTCTCCTACGTACCATGTGAGTCTCGAATGAACTCTATTGAGGTCGATACTTGGCACATTCTGGCCAGTCACTCTCTCTAAGACTTCTAGACTAAATGTGACCAAACCCCCATCGCGCAAGACCTTGCCCAGCGGAAATGGTGTCGGATAAGATACACTCTATGGCGCAGCGGGGTCAACGCAGCATCAATTGCGTTTCAGTGGCAGCCGCATGGCAGTAGAAGACGGCATTATAAGGCAGTAGAGATGAGGAATGCCTTTCTGACTTTATTTTTTATTTTTATTGATTGACTGAGATGGGTGGACGAGCTCACAGCCCACCTGGGGTTAAGTGGTTACTGGAGCCCATAGACATCCACAACGCAAATGCGCCACCCACCTTGAGATATAAGTTCTAAGGTCTCAAGTATAGTTCCAACGGCTGCCCCACCCTTCAAACCGAAACGCATTACCGCTTCACGGCAGAAATAGGCAGGGCGGCGGCACCCACCCGCGCTGACTCACAAGAGGTCCTACCACCAGTAATTACGCAAATTATCATTTTGCGGGTTTGATTTTTATTACACGATGTTATTCCTTCACCGTGGACATCAATCGTGAACATTTGTTGAGTACGTATTTCATTAGAAAAATTGGTACCCGCCTGAGATTCGAACACCGGTGCATCGCTTCAACACGAATGCACCGGACGTCTTATCCGTTAGGCCACTACGACTTCAGACCTGGAGTGATGTCAAGAAGCAAACGAAACAGAATCAAGTGGAGACAACTTGTGAAGGCCCTATGTACCAGCGGGGTATCTTAGCACCACAACAACAACTTGGTACCATAAGATAGTATATCATAAGTATCATAAGAATTAGACCCTTTTTTTCGGGCAGGGGGCTGAATCTTATCAGAGGAATCCGTACATAGGCGGCAAGCGGGGTATGTGAGAATTGACGGTCTATAATTATTGGGAGTGGACCATATACGCATCTAAGATAATCATAGTGTATAAAATGACCCTAAGATACCCTTAAGACCCTAAGATAAGTACCATAAGAAGACTTGGTACCATAAGATCCCCATATCAACCATAATATCAATTCCGGTTGGTCCGATTTGCTATTTGATAGTGTTTATTTATTTATTATTCTTTTCGTTTTGAAACTGCGTGCGTTATTTAGACACAGATAAGGCGCGTGAAGCCAGAGAGCTCCGCGACGCTCCCGTGGCCGTCTGCTCACAGCGCCGAGCGGTTTGCCTCACCATTCTGGCCTTCGCGACGATCTTCGCCACGTCCTTGCTGGTCGTGTACGCTAGTCCACAGCCGGGTAAGAAGACTGCCTGACCTTTTTTTCTATTTTTATTGCTTAGATGAGCTCACAGCCCACCTGGTGTAAAATGGTTACTGGAGCCCATAGACATCTACAACGCAAATGCGCCACCCACCTTGAGATATAAGTTCTACCATTCAAACCGAAACGCATTACTGCTTCACGGCAGAAATAAGCGAGGTTGTGGTACCTACCCCCGCGGACACACAAAAACCACCACACTAGAATAGACTTTGTCTTTGCTATTCAAAAACCGACACAGTCGCATAGCTAGATACAAAAGCAGCGGCCGTATCATTTAGGCCGCGACCACTTCAAATAAGGCCTTTGAGCATGCTAGCGGTCGCCCTTTTGTCAAAAATCGACCATATTTAGTTTAAAATTATAAGTTTGAACATTATCATCGTTATATTGTCAAAGACTATGCTCTTTAATCATAGATTTCGCCAAGGCTTCACTATAAACCCTCTTTCACATGTCGACCTGCGTCACAAAATATAGGTAATCTTTATTAAATTATCTAATTTCACAGAATGTCCGTGTGCTGAGGAAACGACTTTAATAGTTGGACAGCCACCGACGGACGCGGATAACGTGGCTTCATCAGCTAACAAGTACGGATAAGTTTTGACTTTTAATAAAAAAAGCTAGTGGCCCCGCAGTAGTAGGAATTCGACTCATTACACTCACTAATTGAAATTATAAGTTTAAAAATGATTATGGTTCTATTGTCAAACGCTATTATAATTCGATAATATAATCACAGTATTCGCCAAAACTGCACTATAGATCAATAATATTAAAGACAAACAATATTAATCTATTCTCAATTCGACCACAGACTTTAAACAATAACAAAATTTCCCAATTGACAGTAAACATATAGTATATTTTTATGTACGTGTTGTGTCAAATACATGGTAGTGTGTGTAATGTTTTCTTTATTGATTTAAAGTATCTTTTATGCATTATTTAAAAAAAAAATTAGCATTGTTCACTCCTTCTGCATAGGTGTGAGAAATTTCATACTCCTCCGTCCGCGCAATTTTCGTAAAAAGGGGTACAAAGTTTTTGCTTCACGTATTAATATATAGATACTTACTCTCTCTCTCACTCTGTAAAATTGTGTTGTCAATAGACTGGTCATTGTCAATTCTTGTTGCAGAGAACGCATCGCTAGCAACGGCGCGGTGTTCCCGTGGCGCGGTGCAAGGTTGCCAACGTTCGTGATACCAAAGCACTACAGTCTGTGGCTGCATCCGAATCTTACTACGGGCGAATTGAGAGGTAACGTAAAAGTAGCGGCGAGGTTCGGACTAAGCCTCGGAATCTCACTTGAATCGCCAGTCCAGAGTGGCGGCTAGGTGTGCTTAGTGCGAGTTTTTGAACGTTCTCGATAGCGTAAAAGTTAGCTCATATTTGTATGGAATGGAATCGTTTGCCGTTAGGGGCGCTGTTCCAACTGCATACAAAATTGGGTTAACTCTTACGCTATCGAGAACGTCGAAAAACTCAGACTAAGCACAAGGGTCGCACTCCTTAGTGTGAAGCATAATAACCACCCATTCAGACTTCGTTGCGAAAAGTCCTCCAAACCATTGATTGGCACTTCGACTGTGTTCTGGCTGTAATCCACGCTCTCCCGTCAACAGGTGAAGTTTCGATTGACCTGAAGGTGGACAGAGACACCACGTTTGTGGTGCTCAACGTGAGAGACATGAACGTGACCGAACGGGCGCTCTTCAAGTCGGGAGGATCTCTGGGACCGAAAATCTCTAGGGTCTTAGATTACCCGCAAGCCGATCAGACTTACATTGAATTTAAGGTGAGTTTTACTGTATCGCACTGGAACTGAAGGTCCACCTCGTGCTTAGTAGCTCCAGGAGTCCATGGCCTGTCTACTTTTGCCTACGTCTGAAGAACGCAGCAGCCGTTGTACTTTAAAAACGGAGTCTTTAGAACTCATGTCTCAAGATGGATGGCAGTATTTGCATTGTTGGTGATGTCTACCGACTCCGATAACCGCTTTGCGACAGAGGGACCACAATCTCGTCCACTCATTAACAAGAAAAACATCTGAACGTAAATACTGCCATTAATGTTTTAACACAGATTTAGAAGTTGTCTTCATAACAGTAGAATATCATATAATAATTAAATAGGATTTAAAAAAAACCATGCTCCTTAAACACATGCTTCGTATATTGGTACTGGGATAAGAGGGTTTCCTGGGTGCTATGAGATATCCTTTTTCAAAACGGGATAAAGAGTCCTCAATAGGATGGATGGTGACTTGTTTTCGCCCCTAACATTGTTGATGTCCGTGAACACGTACCGTTATACTAGTCTTTTCTTTATTGACCTTGTAGGTAGATGAGCATACGGCCCGCCTGATGGTGAGTAGTTACCGTCGCCCAAGGACTTAAGCAATGCCAGAGCCAAGCCACTGCCTACCGTTTAGTACTCTCCACAAGCCTCGTTTGAAGAAGGACATGTCATAGCGTTCGGACTCTTGGTCTAGTCTGCCTCTGCTGGCGTTAGAACCTCGACACATCACCGTTTTTTTTAGATGGGTGGATGAGCTCACAACCCACCTGGTGTTAAGTGGTTACTGGAGCCCATAGACATTTACGACGTAAATGCGCCACCACCTTGAGATATAAGTTCTAAGGTCTCAATAGTTACAAAGGCTGCCCCACCCTTCAAACCGAAACGCATTACTGTTTCACGGCAGAAATATGCAGGGTGGTGGTACCTACCCGTGCGAACTCACAAGAGGTCGTACCACCAGTAATTACGCAAATTATAATTTTGCGGGTTTGATTTTTATAACACGATGATATTCCTTCACCGTGGAAGTCAATCGTGAACATTTTCTTACAAATTGCAGGAGAAAATACGAAGAAAATATAACTACACATTGAGTTTGCGTTTCATCACGAGATTGGAGAGGAGTGACAAGCAGAGAGGCTTCTTCTTGACCGGAAACCAAAGACAGTAAGTCTTGTTAACTAAATTTTCTTCGCGGTTATTTGCAGTCTTCACAGAGTTGTCACGGTCATCAGTTCGGAAGGTGATGCCCTTCACAAGACGTCGCCATTCCTCGCGTATTGAGGCCTTTATGCAATCGTTGTCGGGACCATTTAGAATTGCCTTTATCGGTGGCTTTCCCTTGTTATGCCTTGGTCGGTGACATGCCGCGTGGCCTTAATCATTCTCTGCACCAACTGAGTCGTCGGCCCATCGCGACATATGTCCGAAGAAATTGAGAATGCGACCCTGAACAATGGAGGATAGACGCTGCTTGACTTAATATCTAAAAAGTTTGGGAAGCACTGTTTTAGATTATTTACACAATATAATTTTGTTGCAGTCGCTGCGCTGTCTCCAGATTTTGGTTGACCCACGCACGATCCACTTTCCCTTGTTTCGATGAGCCCAATTTAAGGGCCAGCTTCAAGCTGACCATAGTGAGAGACAGGTGAGAAACATTTGAGTAACTCAACTAAGAAAATTTACTTAAGTGTCAGTTGTCATAGCACTTTCTTTCGTCTCAACTAAGCTTAGATTGGTAAACCTAAATTATTGATGACTTTCCATTACCCTCAAAAGACGGCGCTGTCAAAATTCATTCGAACATTAGTACAGTGCCTTCCAATAAATGTCGCACCCCGACCATTGGACAATGACGATGGGCTATATTCACCGGGACTGTACATTACTGAATCGATATGGTACTCGTAGAAAATCGATTTGCCTTATTATTGAAGATCTAAGGGCGCAAATTTATTCACCCTGAATTACCACTTACGACCTCTCTTGCTCTTGAAATAGTAATTAGCTAGAAATTTTAGGACTACACACAGACGGAAATCTAGATTTATCTGAAACTAAACTGCGCACGTTGATTAATTAACATTAACAGATTCCACGTGTCTCTTACGAACATGCCCATAGTTGCGACAGAAGAAGCGGGATTCTATCTTGGACACAGACTCGTAAGTAGATCGATGACTAGGGTAAGCTGTACGATTACTGACACTAGAGCATAATTTTTTATCATCTTCATTTCATTTCATTTCACTCCATATGATAATTTTTCATAAAAATAAGAATATAAATTAAAATAAGACATGACTTAAAGGTCATAGTTACCAGGTCATAAAATCCCTTAAAAAACAGAGCATAATTTTATATTATTCATGGAAAAAATTAATGAACCTAGTAATGGTAGCTTAGTTTTTTGGAACGAAGTTCCTTATCGCGCGTTGTGAAAGGGGGCTAGACGGAAAAAATTCTTACGAAAAGTTGTCACGACACTTTTTAGATCCGTCATTCTGACCAATCAACGTGTAGGCGCTTATCGCGTGACATTGCTCGTATCCGATTGGTCCGCGTAATGAGTACAGTTTCTCGAGATAGCGTTTCAACAATAGAAATTTAGTTCATAGTATTGTTTTTTTCTTCTTCATAATGCCGTAATTTATTATTATAACTTAAAAAAAAAATTACAATTCCTTCACTAATTAATCGAAAGGAACTTCGTTCCATCCGGGTGTCCCTTGACACCTCTGAAGTTTTTTTTATTGCATAGATTGGTGGCAGAGTTCAGAGCCCACCTGGTGTTAAGTGGTTACTGGAACCCATAGACGTCTACAGCGTAAATGCCGACACCCACCTTAAGATATGAGTTCTAAGGTCTCAGTATAGTTACAACGGCTGCCTCGGCCTTCAAACCGAAAAGCATTACTGCTTCACGGCAGAAATAGCCGCGATGGTGGTACATACCCGTTCTTACTCACAAGAGGTGTTACCACCAGTAAAATGTCATACGTTATAGACCTATGTCTGATTGATTTAGTAGTGAACGAATGTGTAAACAGCTTTCGAGTTAAGCTCTCGTTCGTCTAAAGCTCCAGGACGAATTCGCCACCTCGCCCCCCATGCCCCCCCACATGGTGGCGGTGGCGGTCTGCCGTCTCCAAAGAGCGTCAGCACCGACACCGGACGCTAACACAACGGACGCCACCGAAGCGGAGACCGACGGAGACACCAGCACGGCACCAGAGATCAGCCTTTATACTGACCACCCGAGCATATTACAGGAGAGCGGGTGAGTCTGGTGTTTGAAGCTATATTGAAACCACTTAAACCTTAATAACCTTTCACCCGTCGATATTTTGAAAAATGATGACTTTTATGAACTCTACACTGGCAACAATGGCATCCCAAAAAGCAAACTGCCATACTTAAAAATTTAAAAAAACAATAGTTCTTTTCGTCCTTTACAGGCCGCTTTTAGAATGGTTGCAGAAAACCATCCAGCAATTCAGTTACGAGTTGAACACGTCGTATCCTCTACCGAAATTCGGTAAGTCCAGCGCGCTTCCACTACATCTTAAGCCAGGGTCTGCACGAGCTGTCCAAAACAGCAATTTTTTAGGTTCCGTCAAGACAACTTCGCGAGGGGACCGGCAAAACTACTTGGATGCAGCTTTTTGATCGAATTTTTCCACAGTAAATAGGACTTTTTCCATGATTACTCTAGACCAGTCATGCCTTTAGGCACTCAGCGAATACTAAGAGAGCTTTGTTGGCAAGTAGTTCATCCACTGTGACCCTGATCTGCCATCCTCCAGATTGTCGTTTCAGTCTCAATAGAACTCTCTTGGTAGTCATATTAACATCTTGAGGAGACGCAGTCATGACACTGATCACAAAATAGCAAAAAACTTATATTTTACAATCAAAGGTAAATAAAGTTGGTGGAACGGCCTCTGGCTAGGTGGTGGCAAGAAATGGATGAGCAGAGTTGAAGACCAGACTTATTGGTGTAAATTGGGACAGGCCTGTATCCAACAGTTGATGACTGTGGCCTGATGATGATAACGAAATAGATTATTTTTAATGCCTGTGTAGGCAGAGGATCATCATTTATAACCATCATTAGGTTGGCCGTATGCTCATGGACGTCAGCAATACCAGGGGCAGAGCCAAGCCACTGCCTACCTTTTAATACTCTCCACAAGCTTCGTTTGAAGAAGGACATGTCATAGTGCTCGGGGAACACCGTGGAATGGAGCTCATTCCAAATCCGGATGGTGCGGGGCAAAAAATATGTCTGAAAACTGTGGATGATCGCAGTGGCTCCAGGTATTATGAACGGACTCTACTCCGATGGTGGACGGCGCGATGATGAAATTTAGACGATGGTATCTTCTCAAACAATTCCTCTAGATTAATTTTTTTAATTGTCAATATTGCAGATGTTGTGGTGGTTGACAGCGCCAACCACTATTCAGAAGGTTGGGGCCTCATCACTCTCGCGCCAGCTACTTTATCTGACACCAAAACTATAGCAAGACTTTTGGCACAGCAGGTCAGCAAGTACCTTGTTTCTTAGTGTTTTTTTTTTTCTAAGGAAATCAACTGGTTCTATTCCCATTGTATTGATTGTCTAAGCAGCATCTGATTTCTTTAAGTGTAGTTACTTTCCGAATAAAGAAAATTTATTAAATAGATTAAAGACTGATTGGTTCATTAACTAGCTCTTCTTATTCAGTGGTTCGGAGGCCTAGTCTCTCCAAGATGGTGGGCGTCGCAGTGGCTGATGGAAGCCCTAACATCGCTAATAGCTGAAAAAGCACCGCCCTTCAAAGATTCCGCCCTGAAGCAAGAAGAAGCTTTGCTGCTCGACCATGTTCTGCCAGCACTGAGGTAAGGCAAATTTATATCATAATTGGCGTTTTCACTAGTGGTAGGGCGTTATGTGATTACGCACGGAACGGTACCATCATCACCAGTAATGCGTTTCGGTGTGAAGGAAGGAAGGAGGCAAGTCTTGTACTATAGTACTAAGACTTAGACCTCATATCTCAAAGTGGATGACGGGATTCACATTGTTAATGTCTATGGACTCCGATGATCACTTTACACCAAGTGCTTAGGCAATAAAAAATTCATAAAATGTGTTCAAAATTGGTATAAGATTGAAACAGTCTCTTGAATGCAAAAGCACGCGATTCGTATTTAACGGTCAGAGGCTGATAAGCTTACTTCAACGCCAGAATATCATTTCGAGACCCAAATCCCTGGACTGACTTTCGCAAAGCTCGTTTGGTTATAAAAGATAGCTCTAGTTTGGGAAGCTTTTGCTGCCCTAGTTATATGCCAATCCAAGATCGAGTACACTGTTCCGGTCATGTCGAGGCTTCTCCAGAACCAAGCAGCTGGTTTACTCCCCAAGGTGACCAAGTCCGTACCGAACGGACTTTGGCGCTGTACGTATTGTCACCAGGAAAATGCCAAGTTTTTTCGTAGTCTTTTATTTCAAAACTCCTATAGACTGATTACTGGTAGTAGGACTTCTTGTGAGCCCTGCCTATTCCTGTCGTGAAGCAGTAATGCATTTCGATTTGAAGGGTGGGGCAGCCGTTGTAACTATACTGAGACCTTAGAACTTATATCTCAAAGTGGGTGGCGGCATTTACGTTGTAGATGTCTATGGGCTCCAGTAGCCACTTAGCTCGTCCACCAATCTAAGCAATAAAAAAAATCTTCAAATGCTCATCCTCAGATTAGACTCCGGAAGTACAGTTCGGGCGGTCGCGGCATTAAGACTCGAACGCGCTGACATCGAGTCGGCTACGGATGAACTCTCTCTACACAAGGTAACCCTTGCGTCTGTTTACTATACCATTAGTAATATATATATTTTTCCTACCTAAGCTGATGGTCTAGGGAGGCCATATCAGCGTAACCTTAACTAGTAGGTGAGCTCACGGAGCTCAGACTTGACGACGTTGCTAACACGAACCCGAGCAAGAGTCGTGCTTCGCAGAATCTACCACCGGATCGGAAACGCGACCCACTGAGAAGATCCGGCGAGAAACTCAGGGGCTATAATCTTATGCAGTTTGAACTTGTAGGAACCACAAATGTCCCCATAGCAACTAATAATTATATGCATGTGTTAGCGGTAATTATATTGCAATGATGCTACGTGAGTCTCGGGATTGTCGGGCTGTCGATAGCACGTTAGGTTGTAATCCCAATATACGTTAGTCACTTAACTGAACACGTGTCTCATTAATCCTTGCCCGATATAGAGACTCAACAAATTAATTAGATTTGTCTCAACGAGTACCATATGCGAAGGTTGTCTTGTTTGGTTTTTTATCATTGATTTTTTACTGTCCAGGGTGCTGCCATAGTTAGTATGGCAATCGAAGCAGCCGGTGAGGAGACTGGTAGAGCAGCACTCGCACGGCTGTTGCGCGATCACCGCTATGCCAGCGCCGACGCCAGGTAAGCTATGTTTTATGATCGGTGTCTAGGTCTACTGGACGAAGACCGACCACAGAATCCGGATCTGAAGCTGAACACGGATTCTTTGTTAACGACTTCACAGAGGGCATTCCATTTTAATAGGACACCTCAGATATACAACATGTAACATATTTAACGCACACCCTCAAACACCCCAATTAGACTTTAATAGTATAAACGCTATGCATACACCAAATATTATTTATATGTGCGTTAACATTGATTATTTGTGAAATTAGTTATTCCCATTTCGTGGAAATAAAATGGTCACCGATTCACACTCCGCTGCGCACGCACACACAGACACCTACTCGCCGCGCCGCTTGTTCAATGCACTTTAATGACCGTTTTCGTATTTGTTGTTTTATTTTAGATAATACTGCAATGTCACTTTTCACTTTATCAAAGGCGGTTATTATCTTATTCTTTAGTTCTTCGGCACTTATTGTCTGTGTGTTATAAACTAGCGATTTAATTCGCCCCCACAAAAAAAAATCGAGAGGCATCAAATCAGCTGATCTAGGAGGTCACTGACCGAAAAGACAGCGAAATACGGGAGATATTTTATTTGCACTATCACTTGACCTCTTATCGATAAGGTGGACGCGGCGTGACTGACTTGTCAAAAATATTTTGTTGACTTCGTTGTTTAGATTTTTCTTTGATCACCGCCGCCGCAACCGCGTCGCATCGGGATTAGCCTGCCGTTTATTGTAAGAATGCCGACGAAAGAAAGGGATAGTAATTATTTTTGTATTACGTGGTTTTCTTTTATGTATTGTAGTGTTGCTGTGTTCCGGCGGTCGCTGTTAGTATTGTGTGCGTAGGTATTTTATTTTGTAGTAGCCTATTAGCCTTGAAATAAGTATCAGATTTATTTAATTAAATAATATTTTTTTTTACTAATTAGATATTTCATTTTAAAAAGTCTTAATACCCTGACTTACGTTCCATTTTCGTTTCTATGAACTGTTTAGCTAGCTGTGTAGGGTGACTGTAATTTACTTAGTTTTAACTAAATTTTAGAAAAAAAAATTGGTACATAAAAAACAATCAAAATCGATCCAGATTACGATTCTGAACAAATTACTTTCAGGGTGTGCGTTAATTATGTTACATGTTGTATAGGAACGGAACGGGTTAGACCCGTTATGAGTGTGGTCACACATTGCCGAGAACTCAAAATAATAGTTGAGACAATCAATGCAAACGTTTATTTTCACTGTATCAAACAAATTTACACAAGCGTCCAATGCTGGCGGTCCATTATTTACCGTAAAATTATACCTTAAACATCAACTGTCAAACAGCCTCAAACGTCAAACCGTCGGAAATTAGTGTTGCCATCGCTGTATCGACCTTACCCAAGTGATCTATCTACTTGACGTTTCCGACTAAGCTCGATTGATAAAATTTCCTGAGACGGCGACATCTCTTGCCTGCACTAAATCGAATTGAAGTTACAGCCTCGAAGGCGAATACGGACGTGGCGTAACAATACCTTGTTCAAGATTTGTCGTTTGGCATGCAATTGCTATAAACATGCTGATTGTAGATAATGGAAGCTTGACATTAGAGACATTAAATGAGAACTATCTGGTCACGAGGATCAGATTTCTAACATAAAAAATATATATTCAGAGATTTATGGCGGGCGTTGCAACGTGACAACCCTGACGATGCATCGGTGCAGGCCCACGCGTGGGACGGCTGGTGCGAGAAGCCAGGGTATCCGTTGCTGAGCGCGACGACAGTCGGAGATGACGTCATTCTCAAACAGGAAAGGTCAGTTATATGCTCCTCATTTGAAATCTTAACTATGACCACGATTAAGTCCTAGGTTCCTAGTTGCCTTATGCTTTTGACAGTCCGCCCTAGGAATGTGATCTGCCCTTCTTCGTAGCGGGAACAATTTGCGGCACCTACCCGCGGGATTTCGTTAAAGCATACCCCATTCAACTCCCAGGTTCCTGATGACGGCCGAACCACCGCCCCCAGAACCTCCAATGCTGAACGACCTCCTCACTCAGGACTTGAGAGCTGATCTCGAAGCATTGTTCTTTGATCCAGGTAATAAATAAACGTAGATATAAGTGAAACGAACTGAAATGTTGTTTGATTGGTGGTGTATTAGCAGACTGCACGGGTACGTGCCACCATCACAGACCTCATGTCTCATGTCTCATGGTAGGTGCTATCGCTAAGGTGTTTATGAGTTTTAATGAGCACTGGTGGGAATAATCCTGAACTGCGGGATTGGTTCGAACAGATTAAATGGGAACCATACCGTGCGTTTATTTGAAATGTGTGGTGCTGCGGGGTGCAATGAAGGGGTTACAAATATCGATAGCACAATGCCCAAGGGTGGCGCGGGGGGACCTGGATCAGTCGGGGACCGCTAAGTGGTTAGATTAGAAATAGCTTTTTCAAGGTCTTACACATTTCTCAGCGACAGTTGAAGTGGATGTTTGAGTTTTAAGCACTGATTGTTATTGCTATCTGGACCATCGTCTATGGACATCAAATCATCAGCATATAACGCATTCTTATAGAAAACTACACGGACGCTACCGAAGAGGACTACAATGCCACCACCACGACCACCCCACTCCCGACCACCACCACCAAGAAGCCGTCGCCGAAGACGACGAAGCTGCCGCCACCGAAATGGATTATCCCGATTACCTTCACCGTTGGTCCCCTGGAAGCAGACCCGGAGGAAATCCACACAATGCACAACGGAACTTGGTGAGTGGAGACCGTGGGCTGCTGTGACTATCATGCCTGATTCTGTTACTAAGGAGACAAGGTTTCCTCCCGTACATATGTTTGGGGCTTGGTTTTGTTACTGGTACAGCATAACGACATTGACTTATGAAGCAACATGATCTTTGTAAAGATCAATTCTTTAGGAGATACCCATAAAACTCAAATGCATAGCTGGAAGTAGTATCAAGAGCGTGGGGAAACCGAAGGCGGAGGCGAAACGAACGATCACTAGGGCGGTGACGTATCCTCGACTTCACAAACGCGAATCACCCGCGAGTTCTCGAATTCGCCTCCGCATTCGTCTGCGCGCTTATTCTCATAGAGGTGTTCCTCGTGTGGAAATTCCCAATAAATTAACGTAATACACAAAATCGTATGGTACGAAATTTAAAACTTTTGCTCTTGTTTTGTGCCCTTACCTCGCGTGCCCCCTAAGACCACCTCGCAAAAGGTTCCCCCCTACTGAAAAAAAGCCACTTCCGTCTCCCTTAACTTCTGCCTTCGCGGCGACCAAGCTGTGACCATCTAGATGCCTGCGTTAGAACTCTACAAATCACTACTATGACTAAACGAAAAAAAAAGCACTTTCAGCAATGACGAACCCATATGCTCCCACGAGGCCGTTGACCGCACGAATTGATTTTTGATCGCGTTACATTCCGTGCTACACTTTGGAAAGCTTTTCTTTCGTCTTCTCTTGAAAATATTCAGGATTGCGGTTATCGTTGGCAATTAGCCGTGCCCTTGGCCACGGTCTAGCGCTGAGCTCTCTCCCAGTCTAGGAGATACAGGTCTACTCCAAATCGTTTTGCATCCAAACGCTATGATCCGAAGGTACGACATTGGAAACGAGACAAAGCCGCTTCAGACATCGCGATGGACGGAGAACACGACGCATCTCGTCTGGATGAACGATACCGAAAGTAAGTTCATATTTATACCAAGAGAGTTCTGTGAGTTCATATTTATACCAGGAGAGTTGTGCGAGTTCATATTCATACCAGGAGAGTAGTGTGAGTTCATATTCATACCAGGAGAGTAGTGTGAGTTCATATTCATACCAGGAGAGTTGTGTGAGTTCATATGTATACACAAATACACATATAACGGCAACTGAGTGAAAAGTTTGATACTTTTAAAAATCGACTAATCAAAGCTTTCTTGTTGAAGTACATATATTCAGTGTCACTCGGAAAATTCTTAACAATCGCCCGTACATTCGTTACTGTAGAGGCATTTAAAAGTTATAAAAGGAACTCGCATCCACATTCCGGGAAACCGTTCCTATTTTGGACAGCCGTGTAAAAATCTTTACTGGTTTACATACACGAACCACGTAAACCTTTTCTATTTTGAATGATCGTGTAAAGAAACATTAGTAATTCGATCGATAGAGAACCAATATTGACCAATCCAAATAAATTGGACCATTCAGAACATACGGGTCTATGAAGATTAGGGTATTATTTCCTGTAAACATTACTCCGAGAAACTTAGAAGATTCCATCATTTTTTTACCGTCATCTTCCGAGATTTTCTCACCACGTATCATCCGGGTCAGGAGTATCTCTTCTCCTAAAGCTTACTAAATGATAAAGCGTATTCTAGAAAGAGTCTCAAAGAGCAAACAGAGTTTTCGGTCTACCGTGCTATGAGAAATTACTAGATTATTTAAACCAACAAAAGATAATGTTTCGCAGTGGTCATACCGGATCTAGGTAAACACAAATGGATCAGATACAACGTCGGGGCTCGTGGACTGTACCGGGTCGCGCCACAGGACCGAGCTGGGGAGGAGGTAAGGAAGTCCTCAATGCAGACCAACAATAATTGATTAATATCCCCACAGACTCAATCCACTGAGTTTCTCGATGGATCTCCTCAATGGGTCGCGATTCCGATCCGGAGGTACATTTAGCGAAGCACTGCTCTTGTTAAGGCTAGTATTAACAATCTCGGGCTACGCTAGCCCACCAGTCAGGATAAATCCAGAATAGTTCCCTGAGGCTATTTTTTCTAAGATGAGATAACAAGCTCACCTGCTATTAAATAGCTACCGGTATCTATAGACATCTACAACGTAAACAGTACTTGACGGCTACTCTGCCTCGTCAAACCGAAATGCACACTGCTTCATGGCAGAAATAGGCAGGCTATTAGTTACAAAACACCCCTCTGCCTATATGTGCCGTGAATCCGTTCCAGTGTTAAGGCTGGGGCAGCCGTTGCACTTGAAGTGGCTGATCCATCACGTCAGGCCCACCAGTGAAGTGCTGATGGTTAGTCTTCAGCCCGTGACCCCGACCCCGACGGACCAGCCACTTCACTAACGACCCTCAGCGTTCGACCAACAAGTAATGCACGCTACACGCTGCACAAGTCATATCTCAATTTGTGTTTTTCTCTGTCCTGTCTTTACGTTCCTGACTTACGTTAACCAATGAAGCCCAGACAAGATTGACCTGCCAATCTGGCCAATTAATAAAACGCAATTGGGCTGTTGTGAAAATTGAACTGTCTCGTCATCTACCGCTCCAGGCTTCCGATGCTGCTCGCGTTTACGATGGCGCTTCGGCCGCTGAAAGAGCCTTGATTTTAGATGATGCCTTCGTCCTGAGCCGAGCCGGGAGACTGCCGGCCAGTCGAGCCATAGTCGTAGCTGGTAAGTCCACCATCTGGTAAGAAGGTGTTTTTGTCTTTATCCGAGATTATTTGGGTTGGCGCAGCATCTCCCCTCATCATGCTGCTCGGGACTTGGCACGAGCTTTCCGACCGGCCACCTCTCTATCACAAGCTTAAACCTAAAGAAACACTAAATTAAAAAATCAAAAGCACAAAACTTACTTAGGTCGTCATATTTCTTTTTCATCCTAGCTCCCGACCTAGGTCTCGACCCCCTGATATTTGCGTGTGTGTTACAATTATTGCCAGCGTAGTGCTTATAAAAATCTTCGATTGCCACACTTGTACATAGATGCTTAATTTGTTTGGAATTTTAGGCCTAGTCACATCTTGCAGGTTTCCTTTATTTGCTCTATATAGACAGCCGAACGAGCGCATGGCTCTCTTGATACTAGGCGCGCCGACCCTCGAACTGGATCTTATTTGAATTGAGGTGACGAATATGAAAGTTTATGACGGCACTCTAACGTGTTTGTGTTCACTGTCCATCTTGCTATAATTAGTGCACCCTGTGTGTATGGCAGCCCGCATCCGGGGTGAACAGCACTGGGCTCCATGGCGAGTGGTCCTCTCGCACATGTCGTGGTGGCGCGAGTTGCTCAGGGAAGGGGCAGCCGCTCCCGCCCTAGCGCGTCTGCTGACCACACTGCACCCGCCGATCGCGCTGCGTCACCAACGCGACGCCGACTCCGACGATCACTTGTGAGTATACAGTGGGGGAAAACTGGGGTGAGTCGGGCGATATTTCGACGCAGACGTGGCTTTGTCTATGGTGCTGGCTGTGGACGCAGCAGTATGAGGCGCCAGCCTCGACACTGTCAATTCCCGGTTATCGTCTTCGTTGAACTAACCCATAGACACAGTCCACTGACTTTCCCACCGGATCTTCTCAGTGAGTCGCGATTCCAACCCTGTGGTTGATTCAACGAAGCACTGCTCTTGGCTAGTGTAAACAAATTCTCTCAAGTTGAGCCCGTAAGCTCACCTACCCATTCATGCGTAGCTTGAATAGCCCCTTACGCTACCAATAGGGAGGGGGAAAAAGAACTGTCAATAAACCTGTTCCGTTTAGAGTGCGCGCTCACTAGAGGACGCTAGGGTGATGATTACACACGGGCTAGAGACGCCATTAATTTGACCATCTCGCGCGACTTGGGCAGCTGTCCCAGAAGCCAGTCTCATGTTTTTCTAATTGTCGTAATCTATAGCTTATAGCTTTTAACCGATTTAGATATGCGAGTTGTTGGGATGAGAATTGAACTAATCTGGGGTGTGTTTTCAAGATGGCTGCGCGGAGCCCTCCTCGCGTCCGGAGTGGAGTGGGGCAATCAAGGGATCACGAACGAAGCCGTACAGTTGTTCGACCTCTGGATGGAGAAAAATCACACGATACCGGAAATATACCAGGAGGTAGAGAGACAGATGCTTTTGTTCCGGTAGCAGATGCATTCGAGAAGCAGCTGCCCTTGAGCTGTAAGGTCTCCTTCGAAAACTCTCGGGCCGCCTTAAACATTTTTGTTAAATGATTGAGTTGCTTATCTATAAGTAATTTATGTGTATTATCTATGGCAATGTCGTACTGCTAAAGAGTTGCACACTTCTTCACCTGCAGGCGGCGTTCACTGCGGGCGTTCGGACACACGGGCGGGTCGCGTGGCGGGCGTGCTGGCGAGCACTCGTGGACTCGTATTCGGCGCCGCGCCCTACATACAGCCACAGAGCCCTGCTGGCGGCACTCGCGTCGCCCGAAGACGACTGGCTGTTCTACAGGTATAGTCTAAGGGCTGGGCGAGAGAAGCCAAGGATCTTGACCCAGTGGCGCGCAATCTGAGAAGCCTATGTCTCGCAGTGGAGCACTATAGGCTGATAATGATTCTACCGACGCACCACTTAAAACACTTAATGAGCACCTTAAAATTCTCAATTCACTTCTTCCGCTTCGCTTCAGGTGATCCGTTCGCTGTTTCGCTTCGAGTAATTCCGATTACTAACTGACTGCGTGCCATCTCTGCAATGCTTTTACAGTCGAGACGACATCCCTATAAATGAACATTCTGGGCAAGTCGAGTACCTTCGATGTGTTTCCGCTATCTGACAATAGATGGCGTAATTCGTTATTGTGGTTATTGTCTTCTCGATTTGACTGGTACCTTCGATATTCGTTCGGTTATTCGGCGATAAATAGCGTTACTCTTACCGGCGTAGCAATAGGTAACCCTTAGTGTAGTTGAAACGGTTGGCTAAAGTCTTGTAATTATCGAAAATTTTATAGCCTGGAAGCCAAGTTCATCCATACTACCTGGAGCCACTGCGGTCATCCACAGTGCGATTCCAGAGGTCTTTTTTGCCACGTACCATCCGGCTATGGAATGAGCTCCCCTCCACGGTGTTTCCCGAGCGCTATGACATGTCCTTCTTCAAACGAGGCTTGTGGAGAGTATTAAGCTGTAGGCAGCGGCTTGGCTCTGCCCCTGGCTTTGCTGAAGTCCATGGGCGACGGTAACCACTCATCATCAGGTGGGCCGTATGCTCGTCTGCCTACAAGGCAATAAAAAAAAAAAAGCCAAGTCATATATTTTCTTTTTACATTCCGTTAGAATATGAAAAATGTGATGAAGCGAAATCAAGTTCAATAATATAAGACTTTAATCAATAGGTAATTAAATGAAACAAGATGAAAGAAATATCAAATTTTAAGTTGTCGAAGTCTTATTCACTTTCTTTCTTTCTTATTAACTTACTGTCTATTGTACTATACTACTTATTGGCTATTTAGTGAGCTGCTTTCAGGAAATACAACCACCAAGTTTGACGATAATCGATTCGTCTTACCCAAATGCGAATTCTGCGGAATTTTATAAAATTATGAAAACTTATTATTACATTTATGTTTAGAGGAACAAATTATGTTTAGAGGAACATTTCCCCACATTCTTGAACTTTTGCACGTGCTAAATACCTAATATACACGTTCAAACCTGAGGCAACACTAAATACTTAGCGATAGACAGCGGCTCACGAGCGACGGTAACCGTTCGTCACCATCACCATCCTGATGATCTGATCTTCAACAGGTTCGCGTTCACCGTCCTCTCGACGGAGGCTCAGCGCGGCCGCGACTGGACTGAGTGGATCACCGCACTCTACACGAGCACATGCAGGTAGATTCACAGGACTGACTGGGTGGTGCACTACGTAGCGGCCCTGACTATCGCGCCGAGGGTTCGATTTCCTCAACAAGCAAACATTTGTGTCATGAATAAGTTTGTTTGCCCTTCATTTGGGTGCTTAATACATATAAATTACGTGTCACGTTGTTTGTCCGCGATGGACACCTAAACTACTGAACCGATTTTAACTTTTTTTGTTTTTAAATATGTGTTTTGTTCTAGCTTAGGCCATAGGATGGTTTTTATTTCGATCAATGGTCGCAACATGTATTAATTAACAATAAAATGATTTTTTTTGTTAATTATGGTTATTAATTGTAAGTTTCATAAGTCTAAAACAGATGGCGCCTTAAATCGGTTTTTACAGACAATTGTGATACTGTCTCACATTAATATCTCATAGATGGCGCTATGTTAAAAATACCTACGTTTCACATAAGCTACAATTTAATGGCATAAACACCACGTGTTGCTGAGGCTACAGTATAAGTGAAATTTGTTTCGTAGTAAACGCAATACAGTGAAATCTAATTTTTTTTTATTACTTAGATGGTTGGACGAGCTCACATCCCACCTGGTGTTAAGTGGTTACTGGAGCCCATAGACATTTACAACGTAAGTGCGCCCCCCACCTTGAGATATAAGTTCTAAGGTCTCAGTATAGTTACAACGGCTGCCCCACCCTTCAAACCGAAACGCATTACTGCTTCACGGCAGAAACAGGCAGGGCGGTTGTACCTACCCGTGCGCACTCACATGAGGTCCTACCAACAGTAATTACGGAAATTATAATTTCGCGGTTTTAATTTTTATTATACGATGTTATTCCTTCACCGTGGAAGTATTTCTACCGTGAAGCAGTAATGCGTTTCGGTTGATACGAACGCACCGGGCATCTTATCCTTTGAGCAACGACTTCTAAGACTATGATAGTCCTAGTTGAAGCATGGTTTTGTTCGAAGATGGCGCGGCGCTGCTGGCATTTGGAGGATCCTGAGGCCTGAAACCTCGCTACCAGCGTCGGCGCTCCAAGCAGCCGCCCGCTGTCTCCACCAGCCCTACGACTATTATCGGGTATGTACCGGGGACCTTTTTCTAGATCATCTTCTAGAAAAACAATGTGCACCGGGTGCACGCACGAAAAAGTGTCACGTTCCGCCCGAGCGTGCGAGCGAGAGCGCAGAACAAGCGATAAAGAGGCACAATCGGCCCTTTTTTCTACCTATGCTGATAGCCTTGAGAGGCTATTTCAGCATCACCCTAACATGTAGGTGAGCTCACGGGGCTCAAACCGGGAGTGTTGCTAACACTAACCCTAGCAAGAGCAGTGCTTCACAGAATCTACTACCGGATCGGAAACGCGACCCACTGAGAAGATCCGGCGAGGAACTCAGTGGGCTGCGTCTATGGGTTAATTTACTCGTCGAGCCCTTCGTCGCAAGCGACGGGTTCGACGAGAACGGTGACCAGTGCTTGAGGTACCTAAAAGCACCGTTAGTGGATCGGGAGGATCCGAAATGACGTGTTTTGGGCACATGTCGACAGCGCATGCGCGGCACAATTCAAGTTGGAAAGGAACAAGACTTTCTTTACACTTCTTTACTTTACTTTATTTCTTCTGTGCGTGTGTTTGTCACTGAACTCGTCCTAAACGGCTGGACTGACTTGATTGAATTTTTTGTATGCGTTTGTGTGGCACCCTTAGATCCTTAGATTCACAAATCAGCCCGGCAGATGGCGCTGCAGTGGATATCTAGGTTAATTTATCTTTCCTAGAAATAATTTATAAGGCAAAACAAAGTTTGCCGGGTCAGCTAGTATATCTATATAGTTACGCGCTGGGGTTCGGGATAAATAAAATTTCAAGTACAACTTAAAAACTGTATTCAACACATAAAACACTTAAACACTTCACAAACACTTTAAAACTCTCAATTCACTTTTTCCGCTTCGCTTCAGGTGATCCGTTCGCTGTTTCGCTTCGAGTTCCGATTAGTGACTGACTGCGTGCCATCCCTACAACGCTTTTATAGTCGATACCTCATCCCTAGAATTATGGAGACTGTTCCACACAACTCTAGACGTAGTTTCCGCTATCTGTCAATAGATGACGTTGTAATTCTCGAGCATTCTGGATCCTTCGATATTCGTTTCGACTATTCGGCGATAGATGGCGTTACTCTTGCCGGTGTAACAATATTAATATCTTTTCAGTTTAAGGAGTTGTTCGGTGAGCTTCGAGACTCGCAATCGTGGCTGGACACGATAGCCCTGAACGCTGCCTGGGTGTCCAAAGCGGATTCGGACCTGGCCCGATACTTCGCGACCCTACACGACCCACAGAGCCATTAGATTAAATCGCCACAAATTCGAATAACCAAACTTGACTTTAAAAATATCGGTTGTTTGTAAAGTCGGTTTACTGACGATAGTTGAACGTGACAACGTCATAAGAAAATACTGATGGAATGGTTTCATGGTTCAAAAGAAACATTTAATTTTATTTGTTTGATAGATATTTTGTATGGACAATTAACACCACATTCACTTTTCATTGAACTTCCATACTTGACGAAAACATGTAAATGTCTTATTGTATAGCAGCTGTCCACGCGGATGCATCGCTCACTCAAGTAGGAGAGAGACAGATGTCGAACGCTGCCGAACGCGGAGGCCGATTGTGCCTCTTTATCGCTCGTTGCGCGCTCTCGCTTACACTTCAAGCCTTAAATGGAACGCCTCAGAGCGAGGTAACGCCGCATGAGTCACGTTTTTTCGGGCGTGCAGCCGGCACCATCGAATTATAAGACGTTGTCACGTCAAAACATGACGTCAAACATTTTACGAGAGCTCCCAAATGTTTTGTTCTGGAACTTTTTTGCGACAACAATTTTATTATAGTTTCAATGTAACCTTTTACTAGTGGTAGGACCTCTTGTGAGTCTGCACGGGTAGGTACCACCACCCTGCCTATTTCGGCCGTGAAGCAGTAATGCGTTTCGGTCTGAAGGGCGGGGCAGCTGTTGTAACTATACTCAGACTTTAGAACTTATATCTCAAGGTGGGTGGCGGCATTTACGTTGTAGATGTCTATGGGCTCCAGTAACCGCTTAACACCAGGTGGGCTGTGAGCTCGTCCACCCATCTAAGCAATAAAAATTTATATATATTAGGAATGTCGTAAACAAGTGAAGATAAAAGCAAAAACAAAAAAAAATAAGCCGAGATATTAAATTTTATATTAAGTTTTATTTAATTTAAATTTAGACTAATTTCTGAGTTTAAATACTGATTATGTCATCGTGGTAGAACAATTTATTTTGCCCGTAACTAATATTCTTCCTAATGAAGTTGCCTTTATGTAATATAATTGTATCAGAACATATTATAAAATCACATCTACATAGCATACTATGATGTTGTTTATCGAGGGATAAAAATCTATGTGGTTTAAGTGACATTTTTGCAACTTTACATTAGAGCAATTTAAAGTTTGAAATTTGGAAAGAATATAAACATAACAAAAAAAACTTCTTCGGCTATTCGAATGGAGTAAACTTAATTAAAGTTTAATTAAAAACAACGAACTGTTGGTGTTAATGCCAAATAAAACGGACCTTTAATTAAAGGCTTATTACACTTGGCTAAATTTAGTCGACTGAATTCAGTCGCTACTGTATTCAGTGAAGTGTATTAGCATTCAGTAAGTTAGCCTACTAAATTCAGTAGCAAGGATGGTTTCTGACTGACTAAATCATTTAGAAGCCTAATTAGAAACGCATTTAGCAAGGTGTAATCGCATTTAGTTACTTAATGGTTTCAATCGTCCCATAGCTCTCCGTGCGTAAGGACAGTTTAGTTTGTTTTTTACTTCCGAATAAAAAGTATTTATTTCAGTCACCTTTATTTAATGTGACAGACATTTATAAATAGCTCGACATGTTTCAGGTATAATTTTTGTCAGCAAGGGTTGGGGTATTAAAGAACAAAATTTTAAATCTTGATACGAATTTCCTGTTGCAAGAAATCTTAATGTTACAACCAATCTTTCTTTTGGACTTATACTATCGTAGGATTAGATATGTAATAGTTATAGAATAGATATATAATAGACTATCGTAGGATAGTATCTTGCTTTTGAATAAACCATGTCCCAAGTTTTAATATTAGGCCAAACGATCTCGAATCCATTCGTAGATAATTTCTGAAGTCTGCTGGTTCTAAATAACTCATAATGTTCATACTTGCTAACTTTCCGCGCAGCAACAAATATTTCTTCACCTATATTCTTCTTATTCTTTTTTTTTATTTCAATTGAGCCTACATCGAGGGTGTAGCCCAAGACCAATTTTTGTTGTCTAGACAATACTGGGGCCATCCTCTTACACACACGACACGTCCTTCTTCGTCGCGTTTAAACTGACAATTGATTCAGTAACTGAATTTAGAACAGTGTAATCAGGAGCTTCTAAATTTGCTTCTGAATTCAGTCGACTAAATTTAGCCGAGTGTAATAAGCCTCTTACAAAGATAAATGTAGCGTGTTAAGCGAAATGACGCTTAAACCAAACAGCCTTTCAACCTTCGATTTATAAATAATAATGATGAAAGAACACCTTTTATAGCGCACTAAGATAATATATTTTATGATTATTCATAGTATATTCGTTTGGGGTATATATAGGCAGAAGTTAAATAATGCGTTTCAAATTAAGAATGTGCACGTCAATGACCTTGATCTGTCAAAGTTCGATAAAAAGTATGGACAGCAACAACAAAAAAAATTATATTAAATTTTTTAGTGATTTTTTTGCCTAATTATGAAGACTATTAATACGTTTGTTTTAATGAACCGAATGTGGGAACAAATGTGGGAAAATGAAACAAAGCCGCTGGACGTAACTTCTCTGAATCCTCCAAAAAGTCCACTAAAAAAATTTCAGTAAATAACCACCATTTTACTGAGATTATATTTCATCCCATATCATCTCATTTCATTTAATTTCATGCCAGTTAATTAATGTATCAAATTAATCATCTTCATTTCATTTCATTAATCTCCATATTATCATTTTTCATAAAAATAAGAATATAAATTAAAATAAGATATGACTTATTATTATTATTAGTCTTAGATACCTAGTCATAAAATCCCTTAAAAAAAATTACTCAAGCAGTGGCATAAGTGGAATCGGCAAACTCGAATATTTGGATTATAGATTAATATTTAAAAATTCCTACCTTTTTTTACTGACTTTCCCTATTTTTTTCGAATTGACAGCTATGACGTCACAATATGGCGCAGGTCCGTGCACATTCTTAGTTGAAACGCATTTTATACTTAAAATTATGTATATTGGTAAGATGCCCGAACTGTGTGGAGTTTTATGTGCTGTAGACGCCATCTTGGCGTATTTTACACGTTTTATTTATTTATTAAGTGTTTAGGTCGTCTCGCCTGAATGTAGAGATCCCTGTAATGAACCTCAACATTAGGGGCGTAAGGTCGATTTCAATATGTATTTGGTTATTTATCTAAAACGACTATATTATTATGTGTATTTTTGAACTGAACTCTTAAGCGGCTGGACCGATTTTGATTTTGTACTTAATCTTTGTGTGTGCGAGTGGCTTGGATGGTTTAGATTTACAACTGGATCCGACAGATGGCGCTGCGTTTTCGATTCCGGGATTATTTTTTTAAAATCGTAATGGCCGCTCAACCTCTTCCGGATCTGTTAGTTTAAAATTAAGAGAATGTTTTATTTAAATAATCAATTGAATGATTTTAATGTACGACCTGAAATTTAAAAAAAAAATTGTACGTGTTTATAAATAAATAATCGACCTTTACGCTTCCGATGTAACAAAATGTATTTTTAGAATTAGGTTAAATTTGAAATTCTCTGTCACTGAGGTTATTATTAAACTTAAATTATGAATGTAGCGATTTTGAGATAACGGGCAAAGAATGGATCTATCTACTGTGCTTAGTGCGAGTTTTTTAACGTTCTCGATAGCGTAAAAGTTAAAATTTGTATGCAGTTGGAATGTTTGCCTAAGTTTGCCGCCAAGGGCGCTGTTCCAGCTACATACAAATTCGAGTTAACTTTTACGCTATCGAGAACGTTAAAAAGCTCGCACTAAGCACAGAAAGATTGATTTATCGATGGTTGAATGTTTTTCAAGAAACTCATTAACTTCCATTTCAAGCTATGTTTAGATACGTCGGCGCTTAGGTTGTAACACACTGCCCCACGATTCAACTTTGCTTCAACTTTCATTTAATTTTAATCTTACGAGTCTCATACTTGTAAGTTTGATTCAATCCTTGCATCAAACGGATTTACACGCACCAGTCATTCCATCAAGCTACAAGTCTGGCGCAAAACTGACAGCAAGTTTGGTGGTGCATAGCTAATTTAACTGTAATATTGACGTTTTGATTTAGATAGTAAGATTTTTTTTTAAATGTTTAATGCAGAGGATCCGTATAGAAGGAAGGCTAAGGAAACTAGGGTGATAAGTTGCTTTAGTGTCTGCAATGCAAAAATAAATTCACCAAAAATTAGCCTTAGATATAGATGCTAGAAGATACAAACTTATATTACTACATACAATATACATTAAAAAATTCGAAAATCCATAACTATTATATAATGGAAGCAAACGATATGACCAAGCTAATTATATCTCACGTCGCTCTCAGTGGAACACGTACTTTAAGATTGCCTGTCGGAATTTTTCTATTGAAGTGACAAGAATTTTGAATTTAAAACGTTTTTGTAATAAATGTACTGTATTATTAACTTCGTAAAATTTTGTATGTGGCTTTTGTAATAAACTTCCCTTCAGATTTTGATGTTTTATTTGCTTCTATCTTTAATAATTTTTCTGTTACTAAGGCGCCGGAATATTTAGTAGACTTCGAGAAGACGAATCCGAACGATATTGAGAATGAATATCGACGCTTGAAAGGCAAACGTGACTAAGCTACAATGCGTGAACTTTACAGTAGACTGACAAATTTAAAGTTGAAATACCTGAAAACAAAATTTATTTTAACGAATCAACCTGTAGTAGAATCTAGCTAGTAGCTGTAGGATTGAAATGATTTTAATAGTCCTAGAAATATTTTTTTTTTGCGCATCGAATATGGTTATTGCCTATCATTTATGTACAAATCAGTTATTGTCGCTTAGTCACTTTTGCCTTTCAAGCGTCGATATATTCCTAAGAAACCTAAAAGATTAAAACATGCATTAACAAACAAAAGAAAGCAAAGTTAGGCAAATTTAACTACCTAGTTACTCTATTTAAAAACAGATGAGTTAATGTAATTGAATGAGCGCCTTATTCTCAATACCTAGTTTTGAATTTAGAATTTACACGCTTGTGACGCCGCACCGCCTCTTTCTACATCCAATGAATAGGCAGGTATGTACATACTATTTGAAGGCGCCGGAATTTCAAAAATGGAACATCATCGAACATAGTACCTACGTTCTTCAAATATTTATAGTATGTTCAACAGTTTCAAGTTTTGAACTTAGAACTCGCGCACGGCCATTCGCGTTCCCGCTTCTTAGGCTAACAACTAGCAAAATTAACCTAAAATTACACTTTATTAACCACAGCTATCGCATCGATACCACAACTTTCTTTGATATTGTGAATTGCTCGCCTCTCGAGTATTTATACATAGCGATGTTTGTATTCTCCGATTTTGGGCCTTTCCCAATTTGGCCGCGACACTAAATATTCCTACCGCCTTGCGAATCGCTAATTTGAATCATTTTTGATCCTGACAAACTATATGACCGTACCTATTTACACGCCACTCCAGTTATTAAACTGCTTTTCGCAACATTCATTCCGAAAATATTAATATTACTTGCGATAAAATCACAAGCGAGAAATTAAAGTAATTGGACACGAGAATATATTGAAATAAAACAAAAATCCCCTTAAAAAATCTATTTATTTATTTACGCCTTAGGCTTATCATCAGCTTTAGGCTTATCGGCCTTGGGTTTCACGGCCTTTTCAGCTTTCGGCTTCTTATCTGCCTTCTTCTTGGGAGGAGGCGGGGTCTTCTTAGCAACCGGCTTCTTGGGTTTCTTGGCGAGAGCCTCCTTGATGTTCTTGCGTCTCCTCTCGCGTAGTTTCTCAGCCTTCATAGCGGGGTTTCGCTTAGACAGCTTCAACTACAAACAATTAACAATATTAAGTAACATTATGTATAACAATTATCACTGAGTATCATATTAGATTCGTCATTCAGTAGATTCGTCAACGTGATTAGTAATCATTTCGGCTCATAACCCAATGCTCTGATAGAGTGATTTCATCATTAAATAAATGCACTATACAGTAGATTTTGTAATAAAAAAAACAACATTAGAATACATTCCAAATTTAACTTCAAGTTCTTCGCTGACTGTATTTGTTGCGGAATACAAATAATTGAAGAAATGAGTGGACAAAGGGGATATGATACAATTTGTTAATTTTGAAAAAACAGATAACAGACTTTTGTTCCTTGCACTTTTTCTTTGTACATAACTACTTCATCACTTGCAATTTCTAAAAATAGCCTTCAAGCCCGGAGTTTTAAGGTCTAATATGGTACGCACATAACAGCTTCATTTAATATACAAAAATCTTAAAAATGGTACTTAATCCACCCCTTTATCCACTCATAGTCTTCAATTATAAATTTGAAAGTATTTGTTTGTTTGATTATCCTTCTTTCAAGTTGAGCCAAGTAACCCAGATTGACATAGTGATAGCATTAGTCGGATAAGTGACTTAGGGTAAATAGTATATAACATAATTCTTTCTGGGTGTGAACCCAGTCGAACACATACTCCACTCTTCTCTGCATCAGCCAGGGCCTTCAAGTTCTTCCTTCTGCGCAGCTCTAAGATAGCTTTCCTCTTCAGCACGGCCGCGTAAGGATTGAGTTTCAGCATGGCCTTGTTATTGGTGAGCGGGTTCAATTTGCGTGTAGCACGGATCACGCGTTTGCTGCAATAAAAATTGAACATTTACAAGACCCGGTAATTATTTGGCTAGTCCGTTACTACATTACATTATATTCTTTATTCAGTATGTGTCAACGTGTTAGGTAATCATGGTTTGTATCATAACCCAATGCTCTGTAATGCAATATCATCATTAATAACCTCGGTTTTGATTATTCCATTAAAAAAAAACAACAAATTCATGGATTTATCATCTCAATTACTGGTGGTAGGAGCTCTTGCGAGTCCGCACGGGTAGGTATCACCGCCCTGCCTATTTCTGCCGTGAAACAGTAATGCGTTTCGGTTTGAAGGGTGGGGCAGCCGTTGTAATTATACTGAGACCTTAGAACTCATATCAAATCAAATCAAAAAATATCTCAAAGTAGGTGGCTGCATTAACTTTGTAGACCTCTATGGGCTCCGGTAACGACTTAGCACCAGGTGGACCGTGAGCTCGTCCACACACATAAGCAATTAAGAAAATAATAAATAAAATATAGAATCTCTTTCATCCAATAAATCTACTGGTCAATATATACCTATACAACATCAGCAGAATGATTGTAATATTTAGGAACCAGATAATAATAATATGAAGATCCAGAGGTGTCCGTTTCAATGACATGAAGAAATAATTCAATGCAACACAAAATACATAGGCATTCATACAGAAAATTCAATAAATTGCAAATTATTAATATTGGATCTTCATAAAACTATATGACATTTCCGAGAGCAACCCTAAAGATAACATACTTGGGAGCACGGAGGACCTTCCTGATCTCATCAGACTTGAGAAGACGTGTGAGGTCAGTGTTGGCCATCTTCGGTTGGGGCAGGTTGAAGTTCTTCTTTTGTTTTGATGGTGTCTTCCATGACCCGAATAAGGGGTCTGTAAGCCAAAATTAAATATATAAAATACCTCGTAAAACATTGATTACAAATTTTCAATTGTGTGGAATATATACAATCTAGTGTACTAAATAATAATTTTAGTATATCATAATTTTTGCCCTACATACATAAAAATATTGGCATATATTTGTATTAAGTTATTTTAAAGTTTAAAGGGGATGGCCCATTTTAGGCCCAAAGCGGACAATAGATTATAGAAAAAATACTTAGTGCATTAATTTTGTCATAAATAAATATGCATTTACTTTCTTGCAAATAAGCGCCACTATAGTTTACAATAAGTAGTTTAAAAAAAGTAACTCTATTGAAAAAACAAGGATTTTTATTTTTGCGGGAAAAATATTGCCAGCTTCAAATCCTTTTACGTATGAAGTAAATATTTTGAGTATATAAATAAAACATATAAATAAATCATTTTAAGTATTATCATTAATCAAACGATTTTAATGGATTTTATGCACATAAAATAACATCGACGACATACCCATTGGACTTTAACTTGTAACTATACTTGAGACCTTAGAACTTATATCTCAAGGTGGGTGGCACATTTACGTTGTAGATGTATGTGGGCTCGAGTAATCACTTAGCAACACCAGGGTGGCTGTGAGCTCGCCCACCCATATAAGCAATAAAAAAAACTTTACTAGTATTGTTATTTAAATATGTACAACTAAAACAAAAACATAAAAAATAATGTGTACTCGTAAAAAAAAGATTAAGATATAAATCAATTATCGGTTATTTAAAAAAATAATCAATATATGAATTTCATGTAATTATTTTTCTTTATACTGACAACACTGAATTTAATCTGACTGACTGATACTTCGCTTGCTATTCTTCGATTTATTTTACTTTTATCAATAAAGTTTCATACTACGACTAAAAAACATTGTGTGAATTGTGGTTTTACCCTGACCGAGATTTAAAACCGTGTATATGCTCTCTTTTGCTATTTTTAGATGATACTAATTGTGTATGAAGATGAAGAAAATATAGATATTTAAAGAATTAAGTGTGTTTTTATACCCTATTGGATAAAAATTCATTAGGAACATCTTAAACATTAAGAAAAGAAAAGTTCTTGAAGTATCTCACAATCCGACACTTATTTATATAGAAAATTAACCTCAAAACGAGTTTTTATTTTCATTATATTTTTTATAATAGTGGCGTCAATTTCAATATATTTTTTAGATATCCAATACATTTAAGAATTTGAATCAGTACATTTTTATAGTAATATTTAATGTCCATCTTGGGCCTAGCACACTATGGAGAGTGGGCAATCCCCTTTACGGTTACATTGAGAATATAGACATCAACCATTTAAAATAATTAGTCAAGATTAGTGAGAGTCAAATACTCAAATAATACCAATCTTAGGGCACAATTTTAAACAAATTTTGACAAAATTAGACAAAAATTTGACTTGAATGGGACTTTACAACTTTCATTGGCAACATTCTTTTCAAGTGTCTTTATCAGTAACTTACATTAAGTTTAAGTTTAATTTAAGTTTAAGCAGAAGCAAATTAAAATTGATTACAGAACACACTCATTTTTTCATAAAATGTTTGAAATGAGATGTATTCCTCATGTCGACACACCACCCATCGTGTACTGACAAGTGATGTTTCCTTTGGGAACATCCTTCAATATATCCCATATAAATCGTAACTCCAACCATATGCGGAACGAAAAGAGTAAGGCTTTATGGGATTGTAGGTGTATAGAACAGATTCATCATTATTTCTCATCTGTTGTTTTTGGGGAATTGAGAAAATATCATATCCTTCCTAAAATGAACAAGATAAACTAGTGATTTTGCCGATTTCAACATCAGATTCTGCACTATTTTTTTTTCAAATTTCAGTATTGGTCTTTGATCAATGGTTAAAAATTCAAATCTAGGTCTCTACTTATCAGTTTTAGGTAAATATTCTGTGAAGCAAGAATGCAATTTGGATTTAGACACAGCATGCTGTTCCAAAACATTGGTTGTGTAATGAAGATTTTATATTGTGAATGTCAATACTCAAATTAAACTTTCTTAATTTTGAAGAAGCTATATCCTACAGGAACGTGGTGGGTTTATCTACGAAAAAAAATTAAGAACTAACCAAGCCTGCCGAATGCGGACTGAGTCCAGATGACGAAACGTCCAAGATGACCTCCCGGAGCCAGCTTCAGTAGGTTCAGCTTGTTAACATTCAGGAGCTCCACACCGGGGATGTTGCGGAAGGCGCGTGTCAGACCCTGTCCAAGAAAGAATAACCAAAAGTTTTGAATAAATTTTCATTTTCAATCAATAAAAATAATGATCTCAAATCTTTTCTTGTCATTAGCATCTAACTATAAACAACGTATGGTTTTGAAAGATACAATATTTTTATTATTAAACGAACAAAATGTCATCCACATGTCGACACACTGACCCTTTCAAATTTCAGGATCAATGTTTCCTTCGGGATAATTTATTTTACCCTCAATTCGTGACAATACACATATTAACTATATGTAAAGTAAGGCTTATCAGAGGGATCCCATTCAGAATCGTACAATGACTAAGAAAATCTTAGTCCACCCTCAGAAACAGTATTACCTGATCCTTGTTGAAGATTATGAGGGGCCCCTTACGCTGGATACGACGACGGTTGCGCATTTTACCCTTACCAGCACGAAGACGCTGAGACTTGTACACCTAAAAAAAACAAATATCAAATACAATGAGCAACTGCAATTATTCCATTTGATACTTAATGAGAGTTAAGACAGTAAATACACTTTTTTTTCCTACTTATTTTAGTAACCTCGACGAGTTATACTATACTAGATTCTCCAGGTGAGTAGCTGAGCTCACGGGGCTCAAACCTGACGACATTGCCAACACAAACGCTACCGGACGCTACTTGCTAAATCTACGGATCGGAAACGTGACCCACTGAGAAGATCCGGCGAGAAACACAGTGGGCTGTGTCTGTGGGTTAGTTTGCTCGCCGAGACCTTCATCGCAAGCGACGGGTTCGGCGAGGACGGTGACCGGTGCTTGAGGTACCTAGAAGCACCATTAGTGGATCGAGAGGATCCGAAATGACGTGTTTTAGGTGATGTCGACTGTTTAATACACATACAAACACACAGACAGTACTAAGTAGTGAGAGCCTACACAGCACCACTAAAGCAACCAAGGGTTGCTTCAGAAAATAGGAAAGAGTATCCTTTGAGTATTACATCAATTAGGTACACTGTGTAGACAAGTTCCATAATGTTAAAGAGAACAAGTGGTCAAATGACTGGTAGTTTAAATAGGACTAATATTACACAAAATTTAAAAAAACACCTCACGTAATTTAAGTGCTGGTGTATAAAATATAGAGATATCAATTAACCGAAATGTTAATAAATATGTGTCCTTAAGCTTTTAATTCGGCAAATTCAATGATGAAACACTATGTATGTCTTCTAATGTTTATATCAATTCAGAATAAATTTCTGAATTGACTGTTGACATAGAAGCATAGTCTCGTCCAATGGTGTCTGACTCAAATTTACATTGCACATTTGAGTTTTTTGTCAATGGACATTTCGTGCAGTTTGCTTTAATATTTGAATATGAGACCGAAAGGAAACAAAGGCATACCTTAAGGATATCAGACCATGCCTTGAGGCGCCTCAGGAAGATGACAGCCTGTTTGGTCTTGTTGATCTCCTGGACTTTGTCGGCTACAACCAAGGGAAGCTCGGGAATCTTTTCAATAATGTGTCCTGTGTTAATAGAAGATATTTAGTTCACATTACATATTCAAATAACTCAGTATTCACTACATTTAGGCAATATTCCTGGATGTAGTATTCCAAATTGATTTGCAATTGAAAAAGCTATTATTGTAGTACAAACTTTGCACCCGTACTCGCTACGTAAGCTAGTCCAGAACGCCATATCTGTACGCATTTCTGTTGCACTAATCCGCAGTAACACTTACAATGATCGACATCACAAGCGTGGACATTTAGTGCCGATAATTAGATATTTATTAACTTTCATTTAATACAGGAAACATGAAATGTAATTTAATGTTTACCGAATATACGAATATAAACCGTTAGTAAACATTTCAATGTCTTTGTATTCTCACAAGATAACTTTTATACTTTACTAAGTATTTTTCTAAGCCATGAGCCATTTTTTTAAGAAGACATGCATTGGCTCCTCTTTCTACAGTTTATACTTTCGTTTTTATTTAGTGGCTATAGACAGTTTTATTTACGAATAAATGAAATTGCAAATAATTCAATTTTTTTTATTCTTTAATCAATAACACAACTAAAGAGGAATATGTCGAATTTGATCATTAACACTAGTTGTATTAATTTATGGCATTAGATAATAATATGCTTGTTATATCGACCCTGTTTTGGGATTTGTTGAAGCCTGTATATATATTTTTTTTTATTGCCTAGGTGTGTGGACGAGCTCACAGCCCACCTGGTGTTAAGTGGTTACTGGAACCCATAGACATCTACAATGTAAATGCGCCACACACCTTGAGATATTAGTTCTAAAGTCTCAGTATAGTTACAACGGCTGCCCCACCCTTCAAACCGAAACGCATTACTGCTTCAGGGCAGAAATAGGCGGGGCGGTGGTACCTACCGTGCGGACTCACAAGAGGTCCTACCACCAGTATATACTACATGACTAGGGACTTCAGATTGGATCTACATAGTTACCAAACACACCTACTTCACTCAATTCACACTACCAGTACAAATATACTGCAAAAAAGAAGTGCAGTTCATACATGCTCAGAAGGAAACCTTCACAATTATTCTCTATCTCATTCATTTGCAGGCTACATTTTGTAGATGTATATTTGTCTCTTTTTAGTTTCGCTTTTTCGTTGTGTAGGATTTGGAATGAGAAAACTGGTAAGGTAGTTTTCATTTCAACAGACATCTACTAACCTCTAGCCTGAACGAGCGCTGGGACGCCGGTAGCAGCAACGGCTGCTGCCAAGGCCGCTCTCCGCTGTCGGAGGTTGACGCGACGGTGCCAGCGCCGCCAGGGCTTCGTGGGGGCGAACATACGTCCACCACGACACATGTTACCGAAGGCACCCTGACCGGACCTATAACAATATAAAAAAATTACATATACGCCAAGCTATGCTCCATTTTAAGTTTGTTGAGACATTTTCGTGCGTACTTAACATTTTCTTAAATTTTACCGCGAAAAATCTTCCTGGATAATGGATGGAATGGAGAGCCATCAACTTCCAAACTGAATTTTTCATCAGCACCCTTTAACCTCATTCCACAGCAAAGACATTTTTTTAAATCTGTCTAACCCTCACGTTCTTAACAAGTCAACCAACAAGTCAAGTTCTTTCAAACAAAGTCCGACCATGATTGTGACTCTTGTAACATCACTGATCTATCAAAAACTCAATAAATATTACAATAACGGTTAAAGCTCATCAAAACTTTTTATCAATGATTAAGTCATTTTTTTTTATTAATATCATCCTCCTTTAGAAGGGGACTCTCCTCCTCCATTGAACGACTATGACTAGCACTTTATTTACTAATAAACTAGTTGCATGGATTTTATTAAATAGAGTTGATTATGTCATTGTCAGCTCTATTAGAATGTGTTCCACACGTCGACACAATATCAATCAGCTACGATCGATACTGTTTCCTAAGGGAACGTTTTAATCTACCCCTGTTGTGTACCTGAGAGGCTATATCAGCCGGACAGGAAGAGTTCGGGGATTAGTCAAAATTTTGGACATCAGTTAACTAGTCTTTATAGCAAAACCAAACTGCACACTATACTCCTAAAGACACATGTAAAACCTTTAGCATAGAATCATAATAATTAACATTTCAGTCTCTGAGACCAAGCAACCCAAATGTAGGGAAATGGGTGCTTTTGAATCAGGGAACTTTTTTATATCCTGCTTTAATACCAGAAATACAAAAACCCAGCCTGGTATGAACAGGGAGTCCATTTAGCTTTTAGTCTTGTGATAGATAGTGATCTTAAGAAGGTCCAGGTCTGAAATTACACTTTATTTCATCTAAATGATGACATTTTTTTCTACTTTGGAAAGACAAATAACCTTGCCACCCTCATACCAAGTGACCACAGTATACATAACTATAGTTACTGTAACATCCAAACAAATCTTGCTATCCACCTTGTAACTTGCTCTCAGACTGAATTGTAACAATATTCAACAAGCATCCTCCACATTAACATAACAAAAATAACTGGGAAAGTGATATATATTTGGTGCTTGGTGCTTGAAATGTGCACCTATGGCACAATTTATATTGCACTGATGCAGATTTTAGAATAGTAAGTGGCTATTTTAATAAGGCACTATCATTTTAGCTTATACAGTGATTACTGTATACTGAGAGAGAGGAATGTGCTGAGATGACAGCTAATTGAAGATAATAGAATAGAAAAAATTGTTGTCCTGACCCCCTACTGGGATAAGGTGATAAGACAAAGAAGAAAAGATTAATTTATATATGCAGTTAATTCATGTGTAAAAGGTTACATCATGTGTATAGATTGAAATTCCTTAGTGATCAAACTGTCTCATCACATGACTCAGACTGCTTGGTGTAAGCTCAATAGCGTAAAAGAGAACTAAAATTTGTATGTAGTTGGAACAGCGCCCGTAGATTCAAACGTAGGCAAACATATTCCCACTCCATACAAATTTGAGTTAATTTTTAAGCGATTGAGAACGTTAAAAACTTGCACTAAGCAGACAGCTACTTTACATTGGCAAATATTTGAAAAGCTACTGACCTATGGGTACCACCACCACGGACACGAGGAATTCGGGCGACAGCCCGTCCGGTACCCCATGATTCGGCACTGGTTTGGTGACCTAAGAACAATATAAAAGTGTTATATTACAATTGTGTTGATGATTATGGGAGTAAATTGTTACCATAACACAAACACTACTTTCGGTCATGAAATCCAAGCCTCAATAATATGCTAAAACTGCTCCATCCATTATGTCATAAATTTAGGAGTCCTAATTCAAATATAAACCAAGGTATTTATATGTTAACTTTTATCTACATATACTTCAAAACATTTACTTGTAGTACAAAATTTGCACCCATACTTGCTACATAAGCTAGTCCAGAACGCCATATCTGTACACTTTTCTGTTGCACTAATCCGCAGTAACACTTACTGTGATTAACACTGCAAGCGTGGACATTTAGTGCTAATGTTGACTTTCTTTTTTTAAAAATTACAAAAATACACTTTCCATATAATACCTAGTCCATCCAGTGTAACTTTTTAAATACTCATGGAAAAAAAATCACTATTTTTTTTTTTTTTTTATTTGCTTAGATGTGTGGACGAGCTCACAGCCCACCTGGTGTTAAGTGGTTACTGGAGCCCATAGACATCTACAACGTAAATGCGCCACACACCTTGAGATATAGTTCTAAGGTCTCAGTATAGTCACAACGGCTGCCCCACCCTTCAAACCGAAACGCATTACTGCTTCACGGCAGAAATAGGCGGGGCGGTGGTACCTACCCGTGCGGACTCACAAGAGGTCCTACCACCAGTAATTACGCAAATTATAATTAACTTAATATAATAATAACTTAATATTAATATAAACTATTATCAATTTGTTTCAATTTGAAGGGTGGTGACAGCCTTTGTACTATTAAACTGAAACTTAGAGCTCATGTCTCAAGGTGGGTGGCAGCATTTAGGTTTTTCATGTCTAAAGGCTTCGATAATCACCTAACACCATTTGCACCTTGGTGAGCACTTCCACCCATATACTTCTTTTTCTTTCCTATTGCCCTCTGCTAGGGTGTAGGGCTCGAATCAAATTCCCCAATTTGCATTCATCTTGGGCAGTCTGTTCTAGCTCCTCCCACATCATGCCCTGGACGGCCAATTGTTCTGCTACGGCCTCACTTCCTTTTGCCACACTTTCCAGGTCAGTTCTCTCTTGGATAAGTGGGTATTACATCCATCTTAGCAACAAAAAAATCACTCAAAAAACTCACCAGCCTCCTTGCTCACGCAGTAGGGCTGCCTCGAGTTCTTGGACATAGAAACGTGAACATCATTGACCAGGTCCGGACGGATGGGCGCCTTGAACACGAACGGGAGGGGCTTGGCTGCACCCTGCACCGTCTCACTCTTCTCTGAATACACCGACACTAAAGGTCGGGCTACCGATAGACTCTGAAACGGTTATTGATTTTTTTAAAACCTTATCTATTGCCACGAACACTATAGAGTTGAAAACTGGTGGTAGGACGTCTTGTGAGTCTGCATAGATAGGTAACACCGCCATGCCTATTTCTGCCGTGAAGCAGCCGTTGTAACTATACTGAGATCTTAGAACTCATATCTCAAGGTCGGTGGCGGCATTTAAGTCGTAGATGTCTGTAGTCTACTGTAACCACTTAACACCAGTTGGGCCGTGAGCTCGTCCAACCATCTAAGCAATAAAATAATAATTAAAAAAACATCGGAAATGATTTGATGACATTAAAAACCTCTTGATTAAATCGTAAAGGCTCGCGAAACCCTGTGAAAATGCTGAGGAAATCATTGTTTAGTTGTAAATTTCTTATACATACATACATATTGACAGAACAGTTGTTCATTAAAGCCAAAACAGACTTGAAACTACTTGAAAACCTTCAGATATTTTTTCCCTACCTATTCTTTTTTTTATTTTATTTTTATTGTTTAAATGGATGGACGACCTCACAGCCCACCTGATGTTAAGTGGTTACTGGGGCCCATAGACATCTACAACGTATTCGCTGGTAACCTAAGGGGCTAACATCAGCTATGCCCGGAGGGGTAGGCAGGTATCCTTCAGAGAAAAGTCCATACCTATAGGGTATTATTTAACATTGAACGACTATGACTAGCGCTTTATTTACTAATAAACTAGTTGCATGGATTGTATTAAATAGCGAGTTGATCATGTCATTGTCAGCTTTATTAGAATGTGTTCCACACGTCGACACAATATCAATCAGCTACGATCGATACTGTTTCCTAAGGGAACGTTTCAATCTACCCCTGTTGTGTACCTGAGAGGCTATATCAGCCGGACAGGAAGAGTTCGGGGATTCGTCAGATTTTTGGTATTGTTTAGTTGACAAACAATTACGAAATATAAAGGACAAACCCCGTCTAACCTAAAACCGTAACACATTTTTTTTATAAAAATATGGCGATCGAACGTGCTCTTCGAATCGAAAATACTTTAAAAGATATTGTCAATATTCAAACCACTTCAATACGCTGAGGTGAAAGTCAAATTAAAAGTATTGTTTTAGCTGCCATGTTTGAGTAACCTAAACGAACATTTAATTTCTCGCAATCATTTCTCTGAAACATATTCTTATTTGAAAAGATGTTAAAATATGCCGCCTTGAAACTCTAGGTTATTAAAAACTCACTCTACTTCTTCTGTAAAGTTTTAATTTCCCAGATTTACAAACTGCATACACGTGTTTACTTCACCGCACATTTTTACGAAGGAAATACACTTCACTAAACAATTTCTGCCGCGGTAGCCATGTACGACAATATTATACGGATTTATTATTTTGTACTTACCATTTCGCTACTTTAGCGAAGCTATACCTCCGAAATATACACTAATAGCGGTGATAAAGACCATCCGCCATGCCACGGAGGTGTGAAAAGACCGGAAATCAAGATAGTTTTTTGACAGCAATCATGGACAGTTGCCAGACTAACGAAAAAGAATGAACCGTAAAATAACACAGAAGGTCTCGACCTCGTTGATTGTTACCTCATTGATATTTTACATCGTAATTCTTTAACCTCAGCCTTTAAGTTATTACCACATGGGAGCGGTAGAAACTTTCTACTAGAAAGTGGTTTGGCTATATATTCGACATTGTTATTGTAGCCTCTCACTGTAAAGTGAACCAATGTTCGATCTCTAAGCAGGCATAACAAAAAAATACGAAAGGAATCAATAAAAACATACGTTTTATGTATGTATCGTGTTATTAACTTTCATGGACATAATTTTAAACACATAAATGGGCGTGAAATTAAAACCGTAAAACTACTCAATTTCTTTGTTTTAATTTATAGTAACCGTTCGAACATTTTTGATTAAAAAAGCAATCAAGAGCTACAAAGTTAAAAATGAAGAAAAACAATTAAGTTCATTATTTAATCATTTAATGATGTTCAATAAAAGATACCTTTTAACATGGAAATTCCGCTTTTTTATTCAGTCCAAGTACATGGAAAATAATACGGTCAGGATAGTGTGTTGTAATAAAGACTGACAATTATTGTCACATTGTGAGATTTGTCAATATGGTTTACCGGTGATGGTTCACTAAAATTCGTAAATCGGGAAACAATAACAATTTATTGCTACGTTTTTATAGAAAATGGAAGGCAAGGATTTAAATGTGTCTACACAGTTTGGAAGTAATTGTGAGCAGGTAGAAAACCGAATCGGTGAAGATAATGAAATGGCCAGTTCACGAGAAATTGTTTCACACGACTTGAACTCTTCAACACCAGAACCTCCGAATCCTTTCAATGACGCATCCAACATATCCTTGCCAACAAACAATAACGTTCCTAGTGTCTCTTTATCTCGATCAATACAGACGCGCATCGCGTCCGATTCCCCTAATACCTCCACGACAAAAACAAGAATCAATCAACCTCAATCGCTATTCATACAAGCTTTAACAAAACTAAATGAAGATTCTGTAAAATTTACAGTTATAAATATTATTAAAACGCAACAGGAAATAGCAAAGATGGCGCTAAATGACGATCAGCACACTTTGAGCGCGCCAGATTCGTTAATGAGTGCACCGCCCTCGTATTCATTTGTTTTGAGGCAGATAGCAGCCAGACCTAGAACAAGGTTTATGGGAACATTCATCCCTTCGCCTTCTTTTATTCAACATACGCCACCTCCGAACTATGCATCCGCATTTGATGTTTATGTAGACAATCCAATGCCGAGGCCATCAAGGATATACAATTTCGGATTCAGTCCTATGTTCGTCTCGTGTCCTGAATGCGGTTATACTGGAATGAGTATCGCTATAAGTCAGATAACAATGAGTACGCACATGTGTGCATTCATTTTATGTCTATTCTGTTGCTGGATCTGTGTACCTCTACCGTATGTGATGCGGTCATGTAAGCACGTAAATCATTTTTGTGCGAACTGTCGTCATCATTTGGGTAGATACTGTCCTACTAATCCTGAATCTTGTACTCATTCATAATCCGCCATAATTACATAATATGAGAATGATGAAATCGCTCAAATTACATATTGTAGATTATATTTCTAGGTAAGCGAGAAATCTAGTGAATTAAATTTCGTTTTTTACTTTCAACGTGTCCAAATTACCTTTTGCCTTAAAAATAACAGTTTCACAATAACGTAATGAGGCAAATAGTTAACATAACCTTATTAAATATGACGACATCAGCGTCCGGTGTTTGTAATGTAGATGTATTTAACTGCAGTCATAGTAGTCATAGCACAGCAAAACAATCTAACAAAATGTAATAAACTTTTACAAAATTAATTAAAACTTGTGACCTCGCCCAGGCTTGCTTACAAAAGGATTGAATCAGCAAAGCCAAAGTTGAATTACTGGTGGCGACAAGAAAACGTCTAAGCTTAGAATAAAACTTGTAGTAGCTTTTACCTTTTCACTTTACACCTGATATCTGTGCAATATTTTACGAAATATGTATTTAATGAACCAAAATAAACATATTGATGGACCACTAAATTAAAATAGGGTTTCATTATTTCTTTTCAGGTTTTTCTTAACAATGCCATTTATGGAATATCTTTTAATTACGTAATTAGTATAGGATCCTTTTTTATTTAAATCTTAATATTCATTGTCATGGTCTGCTATGTTGAAATTAACGAGAAACTTCAATGAGATATTATAAGAATGAGATTATCCCCATGAAATTATCGTATTGTAAGTATTGAAATGTAAAATCGGAAAGCAGCCTCGTTTTGCGGCCAACTTTAGTGAAACCTTTAATACTTGACACGCCGAAGTTAAATTCTAAACTCTATAGATGCTCATATCTTTATGTATTTTGTAAATTATTTACGTTTACGTATTCGTTTTTCTGTCCATAATTGATTTTTGAAACAATTTAATTAAAATTAATAATCTAACAATTTTGACACTAGCAGTGGTTTAACTCGCGACTCGCATTATTATTAGACTAATAGAGGTCAGTAGCTTAAAGTCACTAGAGCCAGCGGGCTATTTCTTAACGACTATTTCACAACAATTTCGCGGTGTTGCCGACTTCGGGCTAGAACGTCATAATCACTAGTAATTATTCTATCTGTGGCAAACGGTGAGATTGCAACACATCGAAAATGTGATTTAGAATTGAATGCGTTCAGTTTTCTAAATCTACTTGTCAACTGGTTGAAATGAAAAAAGTAAAGCTTTTAAATTTTCAGTTAATACATGTAGTACACTACTGTGTAATACTTGAATAAAAAATACGTTTCTGGTTTAAATCATTCGGAAATATGAAATAATGATCATAATTCATGTATTAACTTGAACGCATTACGATTTGACGAGCTTTTAGCGCCCTCTGTCGGTTAAATGTCGTCTGTGTAAAATTAGAAGTCACAGCCTTCCGCAAGTTCCGTGTGTGTTGCGGAAAAATCCCTTTTTGGGCGTCCGACCACATGTGTGAATTGTGAACAAAATATGGTTCTATTGTGATTTGTCGTTTTTATACGTGTTTTTCACCACAAACAGCACTTTCTATCGATAGATACCATTCGTGCGCTTTATTCAGTATTGAAAAAAACCTAGAATCGGCCGACGGAAGTGAATTTTTTTGATGTAAATACGGTCCGGCCAGGGTCAGTGTGGTGTGCTACCAATTTCGATCAAATTAGTTCGTAAACCCGTGCTTTTGTGTTCTGTTTGTGATTTTGGCTTACGCGCTGAACGCACAAAACGCTAAACGTGTCCAAATTCGCATCAAAATTGTTGGGTTAACCCCCAACATGGCCTGTTGAAGCATGGATGCGCGCTCGTGATCGCTTCACGGCGCGGAGCGCGCGCCCGGACTTATATAAGAGACAGCGGCGGCGTTATGGCTGCGCGCGTGTCTGCTGAGGGCGCAGGACCCTCTTACGCGTCCGTGCTCAACTTCAAAGGAGGCGAAAGTAATAAAGAAAACATTGAGGCCCACGCAGAGGAGGCGTTAGACGCGCCTCCCAGGCCAGATATTGAAGAGGAGGAGGGCTTCGTACCGGTCATCTCTCATGGACGGCGTCCTGGTAAAAACCGGAGGGACAGGGAACGGAAAGCACCCCCGAGAGCTCATAAAACACCACAACAGCATGCTGACCCTCAGCCCACAGCGGAGCAACAGCAACAAGCTGCAGAACAACAGCCGAAGAAGTTTGTTGAAGCGCCTATTCCAAAAGTAAATCCGTGGCAGGTGAGTTGTATGTTCTTGAATGTAAACATGTGGAAATTGAGTGGTTTTATTCACTGCGAAGGAGATAAGTAGATGTATATTCATTTCTAGAAAATATTTACACAGTATCTTCGTTTCTTACCTAAACCGAGCATAATCATATTTCGGAACAAAATTTAATAAAGATTTGTAATCATGACTGAAATTCTTCTTTGTATAACGAATGTTGACATAAAATAGATTTTAATTAAATTTTTATTGTAGCTCACTTAAAATGCAGAGGATTTTTTTCATTTAAATATCGAAGATACTAAAATACACTTTGTTATATTGAGTCCTGGGATTGGATTGGTTGATATTATAGTTTTTTAATTTTACAATTGATTGTCTTCATCTCATGAGATTTTGCTTCAATATTAAGCATTCATCTTGTAATGTTTTTATTTGAGTGGTCTTTTGACGGCATGTTGGTGCAGTTGCATTGGAGATTGGGAAAGATGTTGGCATTTAAAGTGTGTTATTATAAATACAAATTGAATAATATCTGTATATTTATTTAAAAGTTACAAAATTTAAAAAAATGCACAATGGAACAAATATTTTTTTACTAATGACATAGTTCATACACATACTACTCAAAGAATGTTCCGAGAATAAGAAAACTAGAAAAAATAGCAAAAATATCTAATATATAATATTATACTATAACTGCTGGTAAAATACACAGTTCTAGTTTTTCCAAAGAGAAGAGCTTAAATATCGTCCAAAAATGTCTATTGAATATTGCTTTTCTTAGTGCTTCATTCTTCACAGCTACATATGTGTGCCCATGGTAAATTTATTCTTTATGTATATTATTTACATACAGTAGGGAAGGAGTACATGTTTAAAAATTGTATAAAACAAATCGATTGTACCCCAATATGTATCTATATCTAGGTTTTTTTTATTGCTCTTGTAGGCATCATACGGCCTAACTGATATTGAGTGGTTACCGTCACTCTTGGACGTAAGTAATGTCTAATTTAAAAAAATACTGATTACAGTAATATAACTAAATTAAAAGAATTAATATATTTTCGTCCTTTGCTACATTTTGTATGATTTTACACAAAATGAAGCAATTCAATTGGTAAATAAAAATTAATAATTTCATACATTATATGTGGATCAATTAGCAATTTTATCCTTTATTTAGATATATTTATCCTTTGAGTTCAATATCCTTAATGTTAGTCTTTAAATAATTACCAAACAAACATATTTTGTTTTTGCATTTCTGCATTAACTAATGATCACATTATTCTAATGCTTTTCAAGCAATTTAATGATTTTAATTGTTGTTATTGTTAATATCCAGCAGTGAACATCGGGGATGATAGATATAATTGTCAGATTGATTTGTAAATTTCAAGAATTATTTGAGAACCCATCATNTTTTTTTTTTTTTTTTATTGCTTAGATGGGTGGACGAGCGCACAGCCCACCTGATGTTAAGTGGTTACTGGAGCCCATAGACATCTACAACGTAGACGCGCCACCCACCTTGAGATACAAGTTCTAAAGTCTCAGTATAGTTACAACGGCTACCCCACCCTTCAAACCGAAACGCATTACTGCTTCACGGCAGAAATAACTTCCCTCAGAACAGATAAATAAACGTATGTAGTACACAAACATCATACAGTCTGATTTTTTTTTTTTTTATATACAATTGTTTTTCATTGTCAATTTTAGAAACTGTTTTTTAATCATTCTTCTTAAATCATTTCATTCTTCTAAAAGTTTTATTGCGGTTTTCTTCTTTGTTTGTTACCGTGTTTAGTAAAGTAAGCTGTCTAAATAGTGCAACATTAAATTGTAATTCTTACAATTTAATCATGCGTACAGCACTTGAAAGTAAATTAAAACGTTGAGATAAGATATATGCTGCACACATCTTAAGTAATGCAACTATGCCAGTGTGATCTAATCTGTAGGCATTTACATTTTACATAAATTACATATTGTAGGGACACATTTAGCAGCGTATGCAGTTTTGTGCATCGCGTGCATTTGGTCAGTTGTACATAGCCCACCCGACATGGCAGACACTGGTGAATATACCGAGTTAAAATTGCAATCAACTTGTTTCATTAGTAAAGGGCAGTTTACTCTTTACTCTTGCTAAAGCAACCGTACACATATACATTTTATTACATACTAAGGATTTTACCGAAAATGTGTTCAAGAAATATCATCACCGTTGACCGACACAAAAATCAAATTAGAAAATTTATACATTTAATATTATTTTATATGTAAATTATTCATACAAAACTTGATTGATGAAATAACATATTTCCGAATATACGAAGCAATCATGCGTTGCTATTTGATTGGTGGGACAATCATTATAGTTACAGAATGGAACAGCTTGCCAGAAGATGCGGTAATAAGTACCAACATTGAACATTGTCTGTGAACTCCGGTAACCACTTAACACAACAGTGGCTCAGAGCTCGTTCCCTTAGTAAATAAAATTAGTTTGCCCAGTTAACCCTTATACTTATTTACGTAACTATATGTTTAAATAATTTTCTTCCTTATGTAACTGTATTAATGGTAATACCCAAGTGTTATCTAAACATTTTAGTTATTGTCCTGGCTGACTGATTCATTAATGCTCAGACTTGCAGCACATTCCTATAAAAGCATAAGTGACTGTTTTTTTTTGTTCTGCTCAAATTGAGTCGTGCGAAAAGCTTAATGTCACACTTGGGTCATATCTCAAAGTGCTTTATAAATATAGTAATGTCATACTTTGGTCATATCTCAAAGTGATTTATAAATATAGTTCTTGGTATAATTGATCATCACTGTAATTTCGTTTTGTTGCACATCCTCCTCCCTGAGTCGTATCCTCATGTCTAAGGGTCATTTGTGACTATCTCCTGCCATTATCCTTCTCTGTATTATGTTTTGCCAAGTTGAAATTTTTAAAGTTGTGGAGCTTAGGTCTAAAAGAGGACTAATTCATACAACATGTTTCACAAGCTAATTATAAAATACACAATATTCCAATTGCATCCTCTAAGGAGAGCTAATTTGTTGATGCACAAACCTATTCTTTTTCACAATAAGCCATAACTTTGGATGAACATTGTGAATCGTTGAATGTAAAAATATAAATGTAGCTTAAAAAGTTCAAAATAAACCACGTTAATATAGCATACCCAACTACTAACAATTAAGTTCAACTTTTTTAATATTATTCGTATAATGATTAGGATATTGGAGTCAAATTATAAAATAATTGTATTTTCATTGGTCTCATCTGATGCAATTTCAAAGATTCTTTGTACACAAAAAGAAACTTACTTACATACATAACCAATCCAATAAAAGCCTGATATAAAGCAAAAATATTAAATTGATCGAGTTTACACCGCGACCCGATAGATGGCAGTGTAACGACTTTGCAAAAACATATCGGTTCATGTTATGTTTTCTTATTTAATATATGCTGTTATATGCAGTTTTGGAATAAACAATCTTGCACCAGGCAAGTGAGAATTGACCGATCGACGCTCCGAATGTTATTGTTCGGAACTTGTGCATATGTTATCTTGAAAATGTTGATAGCGCGATTCAGGCAGCTAACCGCAGCTACGCATTTTTGCATACAACGCGGCTATCAGAAACCGATGCTCGAAATGGTTAGCCCACTGAGTTTCTCGCCTCATTCTCACAGTGGGTCGCGATTCCGATCCGCTGATAGACTTTGCGAAGCACTGCTCTAGCAAAGGCTGGTGTTAGCAAATTCTCTCAGGTTGAGCCCGTGAGCTCACTTACCCGTCCGGACGTAGCTGGATTAGCCTCTTAGGCTACCAGCGACAGGGAGAAAGTGGAAATTGTATTTTATTGATATTTTTCATAACAGCTGCCAGTGGAACTGTGTGTTCGGTGCGAGTTTTTTAACGTTCTCGATAACGTAAAAGTTAACTCAAATATGGAGTTGCCTACGTTTGCCGCTAGGGGCGCTGTTCCAACTTTAACTCTATCGAGAACGTTAAAAAACTCGCACTAAGCACACTGTAACCTAATATCACTGGTTCACGTCGTGGATAATCTATTGGGACTGACTCAAAGTTTTATTCATTGTCTAAGGTCAAATCTAAGATGAACTGGTTCCCTGGTGATTTCGGAGCAGAGAATTTCCACTGGACTATTTTACATATATTTTTTGTTATCGTATAAGAATTGCCACCACACATTATCTATTGTTTCCCAATGTTTTGAATGTGCTTGTTGGGTCTGATGCCACAATTTGTATAATATAAAAAAAATATCGACATTAATATTTAGAAGATGTTCGTAATGTTTTATTTATGAGGCCAACATGACCTGAAACAGTTGAGTCAGCAACTAATGATGTATTTGTTGAAGCATACAAAAATGCAGATGTATTAATAAAAAAATTAAAATGCATCGCTCAGTACTGACTATTGTTAATAAATTTTTTTTTGGGGCGATGCTCAATTTTTTTTTTTTTTAATTATGATTCATTATCTTTGCGAGATTTGAAAAAAACTTTGTTTTTGCTTACGCAATCGTTTTGAGTTTGTTTGGAAAAATTGTACGTGTTTATGATCGTAAACTATACTTGAGACCTTAGAACTTATATCTCAAGGTGGGTGGCGCATTTACGTTGTGGATGTCTGTGGGCTCCAGTATCCACTTAACACCAGGTGGGCTGTGAGCTCGTTCACCCATCTAAGCAATAAAAATAAAATAAAAAATTGGCATTTGTAAGTTCGTATCTTACTAGTTTTTTTTTTTGGAGCACGCAATGTATTGAAATCAAAAATCGACCGGCGCGCGGTTTTGCTTTTTGCATACGAATGCAAGCGGTGGCAAGTCAACCAACCGCCTTGCCTAACATTCCGATACCACTGGAACTCAATAAATTGAATTATTTATTAGAGAGCAGCTCATAAAAGAAGAATTAATATGAGAAAATCCTTCCTCTCGAAAGAAAT